AGCAAATAATCGGAATAAAAGATTTTTACATTGAAAAAAAAGGAAAAAACAAAATTTGCAGAGAAAATTTGATTTTCAAATGAATCACAGATGACACACAATGTGTATACAGACTATGACGACGACGACGACAAGAAAATTTGAAAGAAAAACAAAAACAACACACACACACACACAAAAAGGAAACTCTGTTTATATATTTGTTTATAATGTATTGATCCAACATCAATTTGGATCAATAAAATACTGTGTTGATCGGGTTTTTTTTCCTTTTCTCTCTCTCTCTTTCTATATGTGTGATGATTGTTGTCGATAAATCAATTTCCGGCTACGGAAATTGGATAACAATACCGAAATGAATTTGATGACGACAACAAATGAAAATGAAAATGAAAACAAAAATCCATGTATTGAATAAACATGCATTATGTGAAAACATTTTCAAATCGATTTTGATTCATAAATGATGATTTCCAATATGATAGAATCGAATTGACAGAGAATTTTTCATAATTAATTCCATCTAATTACTACACATACTTGTCACTTACTTAGTTAATTGTTGTCGATATTCAGTTGTTTTTTTGGCCTATCGATTTTTTTTTGGTCCATATATAAATCACAGTCAAAAAATATTGAGTGATTGATCGATTGATTGATTGATTGATTGATTGAAATTGTTTGATAATTTGGAATTTTTTCTTTTCGTCACTGACACATAAACACATTTTTTTTTTGAAAACAAAAACAGACGGTTTTTTTTTGGAGAAGAATATTCTGTTTCTTTAAAACAAAACAAAAAAAAAAAAAATTCAAATTTAAATTCAAAAATCAATAAATTCTATCGATTGATCGATCCAAAACCAAATGTGATTCAACAGTGTGACACTTATCAGCTACTAAGAATCAATCAAATAGATAAAACAATGGCAAAAAAATTTTTTACACACACACGCACAAACGAAACTAAACGAAATGAAACAAAACACGATGTTGGCGCTTCAATGTTGATGATTCAAATGATGTGTGTGTGATATATTCCTGTATATCTTTGAATGTTACCAGACCACTGTGTGTGTGTGTGTGTGTGTGTCTGCTTCAACGCGAAGACTTTCTCTATATTTTTTCCAACGATAAATAGCCTAGATAGTTAACTGATTTTATAACAAAATGCACACATGCCAACTATGTATGTATTTACAGGGTGTATTATTACAACACAAAATCCACACACACACACACACACACATACGCATCATCATCATCATCATCATTATCCACAACAACAACAACAGCATGATTCTTGTGTTCCAGAATTCAAAAACAAGACCATATTCTATATAGTGAGATATACAGAGTAGAGAACGAGAAGATTTTATTTCATTTCATTTTTTTTTTTTCCGTAGATTTTCATTGAAAATAATACATGTGTCATATCTTGTGTGTGTGTAAGAAAACATACATTGTAATTGTCACATAATTTTCATTTTTAATATTGAATCCAGATGATGATGGTCATCGATGACAACGACAACCACAACCACAATGATGATGATGATGATGAAGAAAATTTCAAAAAAAAAACAAAAGTAATAATGATTATGGAAAAATTAAACTGACCAATGGTTCTGGTATGACAGAAAAAAAATTCAAATTCAAATTCAAATTCAAATTGATTATCATTATGGTCTCATGTCATCATACACATAAATATTGAACAAACAGAGAGAGAAAAAAAATAGACAGCCGTCAACACACACACGCACGCATACATAATCTTTGATCATCACATTCATCTCTCTCTCTCTCTCTCTCTCTCTCTCTTTCGCTTTCTTCATTTTTTTTTGACCATTCTTTATTCCAACAAAAAAAAAAAAAAAAAAAAGAAATCTACGAAACAGACGTCATCAAAAGTCGTTATTATCATTGTTTTAATTTTCCATTTTCTTCCGGAATATTCTTTGTCCAACAAGATAACATAAACTATTACATGATGTCATAGAATAGGAATAAATAAAAACAAACTGAAACGAAACAATACGAGTAAAGAGAAGAAATAAATGGCCGCAGCAAATCGCAATTATTCTTATTGTTGATTTTTCTTTTTTTTTTATTTGCAAAAAAAAACCACATAAACATGTTGAATGTCGTGTGTGTGTGTGTGTGTGTGTGGTAAATGATGTTTTATTATGTTGAATTCAAATCTAGAATTTATTGTCTTCGGGTATGGCCATCGGTTTGGTGATGTGTGGTTGTTTGTTGTTTTTTTTTTTTTTTTTTTGACAATTCTCAGTCATTAAACAACTGGAGAGGATCATCATGAAAAATTTAAATGAAATGAATTTTTTTTTTGGCCACCATATAAACATTAACGATCATCATTATTGTGTAATGTCGTCGTCGTCGTCGTTCACATATAACATCACCATCATCAATCATTGTGGACAATAAAGAAATTGAATTATTCATTTTCAATAGTTCAATCAATCGATAATAATGTTACAAAAAAAAAAATTCGATATTTTTAGATTGATTTTTCATTCACTTTTTTTTCCAATTCATTGGCCATATAAATGATTAATGTAAATTTTTCATTCTTCTCTTCTCTCTCTCTCTCTCTCTCTCCAATTGATTTTATTCAATTTTGATTCTTCTTTGATTTTCCATTGAATGAACCATGAATCATTTTGATTCCACTATTTACACACATTAATAAATAAACATTACATCATGTGTATAAATAGTATCGAAACATTTTTTTTTCGAACAATTTGATGATTTTTTTTTGAAAAAAAAATCGGTAAATTGATTTTAAATTGAGTCATTATCAACATCATTAAATCTCTCTCTTCTCTATTCTGTTCGTGTGTGTGTGAGTTTAACAAACAAACATACAAATTGAATTGTGTCAACAACAGTTTAAAATTTTTTTTTTTATGAGAATTCACTACAACAACAACAACAACAACAACAACAACAACAACAACAATGATGATAAAAACATGTGAATAAATTGTAATTAATTTCAAATTTAAATTTTTTTCTAAATAAAAATTTCGAAATTTGAATTTAAATTTAAAAAATAAAAATCAATTCTATCCAAAACAAATTCTGTGATGATGAGAATTTTTTTTTTTTTGTAGTAGTAGTGAATTGAATTCTTTATTCTGTCCACACCAATTATTGATGGAATGATGATGAAAAATATTTCCACATACACATTGAAATGTATTGAAAAGAATCATTCAAAATTACTGTATACGATTATTGATCTTTTTTAATCTTGATGACCAACATTACCACCCCCATCACCACCCACCACCACCACCACATATCAACCATTATACAAGCCAATCTAATTGAGAGATTTGTTTTTTGTATTTTATTTCCAAAAATTGACATTAATGTGCGGTTTTTTTTCGGCCACCACTCATTCAATTACTCCTCATCATCATCAATGAAACAAATTCACTGAAACAATAATGATAATCGGGTAAGTGATGGTGAGTGTGGAAATAAACACACACACACACACACACACCCATAAATGACGGATGTTATTGTCGTCAATTGTTTTTGGAACACACGACCAATTTCGATTATGGTCACTGCTATACTATAGTCGATATTTTTGGGGCAAACAAAAAAAAAAAGATCGACAAATGACGTGAAACACATGTTCGTTTTCGGTCTATTGGCCTCACTTTTTTTTCTCCAAAAGCAAAAGGTTTTCAAGCTTGATTTAATCGAATCACTAATTTCGAGTTTGTAATGTATAGCGCTGGTGGTGGTGGTGGTGTTTGTCCGGATAAAAACTTTCATACATTGTACCTATGTCAATGTGAATGAACGAACCAAAACGAAAATTTCAAAATGAAATGATCAATCATTTTATATATCGCGCGAGAATGAAAAAAAAAATCCAATCCAATCGTTGTCCAATTATTACTCTATTTTGAATTCCGTTTGATCCGTCCGTCCGTCCGTGTGTTTAAGTTTAAGTGTGTAAGTGACCGGAAAAAAAATCTCAATCCATCAGCCAACAATCAATTGGCCAATCAACTTGAATAATGATGATCGGTCATATTTATTTATTCATTCATGTTATATGTCATTTTGTTGTTCAATTATTAATCATCATCATCATCATCATTTTTGCCACAAAATTAATAAATAATCAAAGAATATTTTTCGAACATTTAATTCAATTAAATATAGAATCAAAAAATTGAATTACCACTTACCGTGTGTGTGTGTGTGTGTGTGTATTCGATTCTGATTCTGAAATTTTTATTGTTGCCAGAATTTAGTGAATTGCGATTTTATTTCGAAAAGAATCGGCAGCTTGGTTCTAGAAAAAAAAAAAAAAAAAAATTTGACTTTAAAATTTCGTTTTTTTTCTACCCAGAAAATTATTGCTAAATTTAAATTTTTCAGCAAAAAAACTTGGATGCTTTATTTTTATTATTTTTTTCGCAACACACACACACAAACAAACGGATTCAATCGATGGCCATTAAAAAAGATTTTTTCCATGTTTATTGTCATCGATTTATTCGATTTCGATTTGGTATTATCTACTTTTTTTTTATTTTGTCGTGGCAAACCAGAAAAAAAAAATTGTTGAATAAAAATTAATGATCACTTTAGGGTTCTGAATTTCTTCATTTTACCGTTTGAAAATGTCATGAAAAAAAACGACGATATTTATTACCCGTTTTTTCATGGTTACATGCATGTAAAACCAGGAATTTTTTTTTCGGTTGCTTTTATGACCACTATTTTTTTTATTGTCAAAATTTTGAATTCATTCAATTCAATATATATTTTTGGAATATATTTGGCATTCGATTCTATTGCCACCTAGATGCGCTTCCGTCGGTGTATATAGTGGCCATATATTTTTTTTTTTTATTTATAAAAATATTTGAAACACGCGTATTTCAAAGTAAACGTGTTTTCAATTAAAAAAACTTCAAACAAACAAAAAGAAAAACAAAATGCAAAATTTAATTCTTAAACAAAATTTAAAGACACAATTATTATTGAAAGAATCATTCGATCAACAGGATCAATTTGTTTTTGATGGTTATTATAGAGTGGCATATATTGTTACTTCGAATTTTTTCATATATTCATTTCAATTAGACAATGGACAGGTAATTTGATTGTTTTTGAATTCATTTTTAGTATTAAAAATAATTAATTATCTTTTACAGATTATTAATCGTACGAATTTTGGACATTTACTTGAAAACAATGGTGATAATGATTGTCCGACGATTATATATTCCTGTTATATTGTTGAAGATGAACTTTTATTCATACTATTCACCAATGGCCTTATAATCACCTATGATACTGTCAATGATTCTTTACACAACCACTCATTGGATAGTATTGATCATAATGATGTGATTGATGATGCACAATTTAGCCATGATCAAGAATTATTGGTGATCAATACACATAACAATCTGATGTTATTATACAATAAACTATTGGTATTGAAACGTCGTTACGATCTAAATATTGATGAATATGGTGCCAATGAAATGATCAACGTAAATTGGGGCTCAAAAGCCACTCAATTTCATGGTCAAGGAATGCGTGATCATCGTATGGTGGTTGAACAACAATCAAAAACAACAGTTCCACTGGCCGAATGGGATGATCATAAATGTTTTATTGATTGGAAACATGATGATGATTATTATACAATTAATTTTTTATCATCAAAAGGTTTGATTTTCATTTCTAATAAATACCTCTAATAATTCAATTATCGTCAATCGTAGGATATCGTCTATTGAAAATATTTAATCGTGATGGTATTCTTCAACATACCAGTGAAACGATATCGGGTTTAGAAAAAATGATTGCTTGGAAACCATCCGGTACATTGATAGCATCATCACAATTCATGGCCAATAATACACGAGAAATTGTATTTTTCGAAAAAAATGGTTTAAAACATGGTCAATTTAAATTACCATATAAGGTGGATGAATTTCGAATCGATAAAATCATCTGGTCATATGATTCATCCATATTGTTGGTGTGTGGATTTCGAACCATCAAATCAGCCGACAATGATCATCAAATACAGGAAATTTTATTTTTCACACAAAACAATTATCATTGGTATCTGAAACAAAAAATTCAATTCAAAGAAAATCATGAATTCATACGGAAAATTCTTTGGGATGGAATTGAATATCTAAAGATTCATATGATTTCAGTTGATTATCATTACCATTGTTATCAATATGAATTGATAAGGCAAACAACCGAGAACGGAAATGTGCTATTAATTGATGGTAATCAACTTAATGTTTCCGATATGAATTCGACTGTTATACCGCCACCATTGTATACGTATTCAATCAAATTTACCGATGCCAAAGTAATCAATCAACTTTGTTATCATAACCATTTTTTGGCTGTCTTTTTCAATGATAACGATGTTGTCATCATTCTGAAATTGACTGAAGCTACAATCGAAAATATTGATCATGTTGTCGGTGATTATCCAATCACTTATCAATTTGAAAATATTTCCACTGATTTTCGAATGATTTATTTGCCCATATTCTGTGATAAAATCATGGATATTGGCCAATTTTTACTTCCATTAATCGATGATGATGTTCGAATATTTGGTTGTATTGATCGTAGAAAAATTTGCTGTTTTGATTACAGCAGTGATCACAAAGAGATTCACATCGATCATCAACTAGAATTTGATTGTAATCACATGTTATTGATGCCTGATAAAAAATCACTACTATTGATAAATTCAATGAATCAATTTTTTCAATTTGATTATGACACTGGAATTGTATCGCCACTCGTACAGAATGTTACTATGAATTCATATGATGGACAGATTTCAAAAATTTTGCTTTTCACTGATGATGGATTACAACATAGTTTTATTCTAACCAAAAACTATTCATTATATCACAATGGAATGCTTGTAATGAAATCGAATGTAAATTCCATTCTTATCCATAACAATGGTTATCTACTATTCACCACTATTGATCATCAATTTTATTGTTGGCCAATCAAAAATTTCGATCTACAACGTTTACAGCGAGATTTTCCGGGCAGAAATCTAGAACGAGAAAGTAAATTGTTGACAATATCTGAAGCGAATTCTCGGGTGATAGTTGAATTACCACGAGGAAATTTGGAAGCATTTTATCCACGATGTTTGCTATTAGATCTAGTGGATAAACATTTGGATTCGAAAAGATTTGTTGAAGCATTCGAAATTCTTCGAAAAAATCGTATCAATTTAAATTATCTTTGTGATTATAATTTTGAAATGTTCATGAAAAATTGTGGCGAATTTGTTGAACAACTTGGTGACGATGATCATATCGATTGGTTATGTTTATTAATGTTTGATTTATCATCGGCTAATCATTATCATCTGTTGACCAATCATAAACCTGAAATTCGAATTGAAAATAAAATGAATCGAATTTGTAATGAATTTATGGCTATATTCACACAAATGGATGAGATTCGATTTTTGAAACCAATTCTATTGTGTCATGTGAAAAAAGATTCAACTGAAATTGATCAAGCATTGATGAGAATTTATCGATTAAATGATGGAAATTTACAATCAATGGCGTTAAAATTTCTATTATCAATTGTTGATTCTACACGTTTGATTGAAGAAGCATTAGGTACATATGATTTTAATATTCTACTAATGGTTGTATCGAAATCGAATAAAGATCCAAAAGAATTTCAAATGTTAATCGATGATTTTCGTTCTATCGATGATGATAATTATCGTAAATATCGTATCGATCTTTATCTTCATCGTTATCGTAAATGTTTACAACATTTACAAAAATGTCCAGATAAATTACAAGAAGCATTACAATTGATTGAAGATAAACATTTATACAATGATGCCATTGAAATTTATGGCCTAAATCAAATTCAACAACAAAACATTGTTGTCAATGGATTCGAACAAATATGGAATCTGTATGGTGATTATCTATTCAAAAAATGTTATTATGAAGAATCCGGTATCGCATATGATCGTGCATCGAATCATTTGCAAGCATATAAAATGTATGTACAATCCGGTAATTGGCATCAAGCTTGTGTTTGTGCACGAAAAGCATATCCACATCATCATCAACAATAGATGATGATGATGATAATGATAGCAATTATCAACAATTATTACATTCATTACAACAAAATTTAATAATGAATGGTAATCATAATGCTGCTGCTTATATTGTTGATAATTATCTTAACAATCATGAAGAAGCATTCATCATATTGATCAAAGGTCATCTTTGGTATGATGCGATTCGATTACATCATAAATATCGATTAAATGATTGTTTATTGCAGAAAGAATTCCTAGATGAAATGATTGATGCATATGATCATTTAATGGATAATTTGACCAGCAAAATTGAAATAATCCAAGAACATTTATTACGATTAAAAGAATTGAAAGAAAATTCCATAAAATTGAATAAAATTACATTTGAAAATCAACGATTCATTGGATCGGAACATGATATTGATCAATATTCGGATACAAGTAGTATACATAGTGATACATCATCATTACAATCATATCAATCTGGTATGACAAATCAAACATTAAAAACAAATGTAAGTTTGGCACGAAAAGCTAAACGTATGGAACAGAAACGATATTTGCTGAAAAAAGGTTCCATAAATGAAGATATACAAATAATATATGCGATAAAAGAATTGATCATACAAAATTCACCACCATTATTTCAACAAGGCCATGATTTAATACGAATTCTTTATGATCGTTTTCGAGTGGATCAATCGAAAAATTACAACAATCATTACAATCATTTGAAGATTGTATGAATCATGCTATTGAATTTATATGGAAATCTACTGATTATAATGAACGATTACAAGATGGTAAGTATTTTCATTTTTTTTTTTGTTTCTGATTTGTTTCTGTTTTTGAAAACCTTGAAATTAATCGACGAACAAAAAAATTTTTTTTTTTTTTCTTTTTCTTTCACACACAAAAATAGATGAACTATTACGATCAATAATCCGGATTCCTGATCGACCAAATTATAAATTAATTTTGAATCGAATCGAATGAATGAATTTCGTTTGAATCAAATAGCGTTACGAATTATTCATTAAAAATGTTTTGTTTGATTTGGATTTTGGATTTGATTGGATTTGATTTTATTTGTACTGGTGGTGGTGGTCAATAAAGTATCAATAATCTCATTATGGATTCTGGTTCAAAAAGAAAAAAATTCTTAATCATGAGGGCGGGCGGTTGTTCTTGTCATTTCAATTTTTCTTGATGGATTAGGAGCATAATTACGTGACAAAAATTGATCTAATAGAATTTGATTTTCTCTCTCTCTCTCTCTCTCTATCGCTATCGTCCACAATCGGAAGAATTGATTTTTTATCCGTTTCCCAATGTAATTTTGGTGGCAAAATCATGTGTGTGTGTGTGTGTGTATAAATGGGGCCCACCATCGTCCATTGCCAATCAAAGATTAATTTTTTTTGACGTATAATTAAGATGAAAATCAATTCAACTAATCTTATCGATGATGATGATTATGATTGTAGCAGAAAAAAATATACATAAATACATTCATTGTGTAATAATTGTTTTTTCCCCACCTCTCAATCATCATCATCATCATTCTTTGTTCGATACAGAGAAAAAAAAATGAATGAATGAATCCATAGAAAAAAAACATACCAAATAATGTTCATTGGAAAAATGGCAATTTGTTTCCCTCTCTTTCTTTCTTCAATTTGTTGTTTGTTACCGTTGATTTTCCAGAATCAAGAGTGTGGTTTAGAATTTGGTTTTTTATTTTTCTCTCTGTTGGTATACATAATTTTGTCATCATTCATCGACGACGACGACAACAACAACAGCCAGCTTAACTTGAAAATCTCAATTGCAAATCAATATTGATTTGATTCCGTTGGTCAGTCTATCAATCGTTGATGGTGATGGTGGTGGCTGTATACTGTAATTGCACAACTTTTATTTATCAAAATCAAGAATGTGTGAAGAAGCCTTTTGATTTGGAATTTGTTTCAATTTTTTTTTCGTTCGTTGTTTGTTTGTTTCAAAATACACACGCACATATCACGGAAATCATATATCGAATTTCATTCATGATGGTAACAAACATTCCAATGTTATTATTATCATCATCGATATTTGTTTTCATTATTCATGATCATCATTATTGGTTAACATCATCATTCATTTCAGATGTTAACTGTTCACCATTGTTGACAGATAATACAACGATTCGTATTGGATTTTTAAGTTCTTTTCATTATGGTTTAGGTAAAATAATTGCCGGCGCTGTTCCATTGGCCATCAAAGATTTGAACAGGTAATCCAATTTATTCACATTCACATTCTATTTCGACATTTATCTAACTCGATTGTGTTTACATAGCGATGATTCTATACTACCAAATCATACAATTGAATTTGTTGGTAAGTTTCCTTTTTGTTTTTCAAAAAAAAAAAAAAAATCAATTGATCAACTTCTTACATTATCATCAGCTGCTGAATGTGGAAAACCAAATGGCTATACTGGTATTAAAAAAATGACCGAATTAAAAGATCGTGTTCATGCTTTTATTGGGCCAGATGAAAGTTGCGCAAGTGAAGCATTGGTTGCTGCAGCTTGGAATATTCCAATTGTTTCATATGTATGTAAGTCATTCAATGAAAACTGATTGAATCTAATTTTTTTTTTTTCGTTACTCAAAATCAAACAAGAAATGTATCGATCAAAATTTATCGAATAAAACAATATATCCAACATTTGCTCGTACATTACCGCCAAGCTCAAAGATTTCCAAATCAGTCATATCATTATTGAAACATTTCAAATGGAACAAAGTATAGTATTTATTAACCAATTTTCTAGTGGAAGCCATTCAAATAATCAATTAATTTTTGTTTTTTCTTCTTCACACACACACACATACACACTAATAGATTGCATTGATTGTATCGGAAAATCCATCCAATAAACAAGTACAAGAATCATTAATGAAATTGGCTAATGAACAACAGATTCAAATAAGACAAAAATATTATTTACCCGATCAATATATTAGCCGTTATAAACAGAATATTGAACAAATTATTAATGATAGCTATCAAAAGACAAGAATCTATATTCTTCTTACTGATACATTTGTATTAGTGGATTTTATACGTTTGATGCAACGAAAAAAATTACTTGATACCGGTCTTTATGCCATTGTTTCGGTTGAAGAAGAAGTATTCTATTCTGTGAAAAAGGGTGAATATCTTAATAAACAATATAAAAATCTACGTAATCAAAATGATCATCTTGATCTACGTGGTTTAATGATCATTACACCTAGTCCACCATTGAATACGAATTATTCAGAATTTCAGAAAGATGTCCTGCAATATAATCGTCGTAAACCATTTGAAATACCGTTTCATAAAAAAATTGCCATTCAAGTACCAATATATGGTGGTCTTTTATACGATGCCGTTACTGTTATTGCACAGGCATTTCATAAAGTAATTGAACATGGTGAAAATCTTACCAATGGAATCGTAGTCATGGATGCATTGAAAGATCTTAACTATAAAAGTTTGTGGACATTTTTTTTTCATTATTTAACATATGAAGTAATAATGAAATTTTTCTTCCCTTTTTTTCACATGACAACAACAACAACAACAACAGGTATACTTGGATTTAATGTTCATATGGATCAGAATGGTGATGCTGAAGGCAATTATACATTGCTTTGTTTAGAAATTGTTAACAAAAGTATCGATATGCAAATTGTTGGTTCATTTCATCAGACTGAAAATGATTTACCAGTTAGTAGAAAAAAAAATGAAATTTTCGAAATGTTTACCTCATCATGTGTTTTTTTTACACCCATAAAATAAATTAGGTATTGAAATTGAATCGTAAATTAAAATGGTATGGTAATGGACCAATATTATCGGAACCAAAATGTGGTTTCAATAATGAATTCTGTGAGAATGGTACCAGTGTAACGATAATCATTGTAATCATATTGTTTATCATCATATTTATGGCAATTGTATTTTTCACTTTTAAGTAAGTGTCAAAAGTCCATGAATTGAATTTATTTTTTTTTTATCATTCATTTCATTCAAACAAGACATTATCATTATGAATATAAATTGACAAAAGTATTATGGAAAATCGATATGAAAGATATATTGTTCATACATACCGATTTTGAATATGGACTGCAGAATATTCGTAATACAATCAATGTATGTAAATATGAAAAAAAAAATTGAATTCATATAGCTAAACAATAATTGACTGTTTTTTTTTAAACAGCTACATAGTCTAAAACAGATGGAAGTTGTGTTTAATAATAATGTACAGAATAAAAATGAACAATTTGAAAATTCTTCAAGCGATATTTTTGATAATCAACTTTATGGTGTAGCAATCTACAAGGGTTCGGTTACATTTGTTAAACGAATATGTAAAAAATCTGTTGATCTTACCAGAAATGTACGAAAAGAATTGATACAGGTAAAAACATTTGTACAATACTTATCTTGGTTATTGAATTGTTTTTTTTTTCGTGTTACAAAAGATGCGTGAAATGCGACATGAAAATATTAATCAATTTATTGGTGCCATAATTGATGCACCAAATATAGCTGTAATGTTTATATATTGTGCACGTGGAAATCTTGAGGTACGTTATGTTTTGATATGATTTTATGATTTTCTGATTATTGAAATTTCTGATTCTTCCGATGCACAGGATGTATTACGTAATAAAGATATTAATTTGGACAACATGTTCATTGCATCATTGGTTGCCGATCTGATCAAAGTTGGTGTGAACTATCAGATGATGGTTGTTGTTCATGTGACAATTTATTTTTGTTTCCGAAAAAATAATAAAATCTTTAGGGAATGATTTATCTTCATGATTCAGATATCATATCACATGGTAATCTTAAACCATCCAACTGTTTGATCGATAGTCGATGGGTGTTACAAATATCTGATTATGGTCTGCATGAATTTAAATCAAATCAAGATTTATTTAAATCGAAAGAAAATCAAGAAAAAGGTAATCTGTAATACGGCGAAAAATATCCATAAATCATGTTCAAAGATTCTCATATGATTATCTTCTTCTCTTATCCACTTCAACAATACTACAATAATCATCAGATATGTTATGGAAAGCACCGGAATTGTTGAAAAATTTAAATGCATCACCACGTGGATCACAAAAAGGCGATGTTTATTCGTAAGATGTTTTTTTTTCGTTTCTTTAAAATCTTTCTGTCTACCACATATTAATGATTGATCATTTTATGTGTTTTATTTAGATTTTCATTGATATTATACGAAATAATATTACGTAAAAATCCATATGAAGAGATTAACATGTCAAACAATGAAATTTTACATCGTATTATCAATCCAAAATTGTATGGAGAGGTTTTTCGTCCACGGTTAAAAAGGCTAAAATGTTCAGCCTATATAATTAAATGTGTATGTATTTATAATTTTATATTCCACTATATATTGCCACTGATAACAAACATTGTATCCAATAGATTGAAGAATGTTGGAAAGAAGAACCAGAAGAAAGGCCAGATTTTCGTTTCATCAATATCAGATTACGTGAAATGCAATCCGGATTGTATGTTTATCTGTTGTTGTTGTTGTTGTAACAAATCATTTTTTTTGTTGAAATCAATTTTATTGAATAGAAAACCCAACATATTTGACAATATGATTGCAATGTTGGAAAAATATTCATATAATCTAGAATCATTGGTACAGGAACGAACAATTCAATTGTTGGAAGAAAAAAAGAAAACTGAAAATTTATTATTACGAATGTTACCAAAGTAATTCGATTGATTATAATCAATGATTAATCATTTTTTTCATCCAGATCAGCAGCTGAACAATTGAAACGTGGTGAAGCAGTGGAAGCTGAATATTTTGATTGTGTTACTATTTATTTTAGTGACATTATTGGTTTCACTGAACTTTCAGCAATGAGTACACCTATTCAGGTATGAATTGAATCATTAAAATTGGAAACAATTTCATTTTTTTTTTTTTTTTGAATATAATTGCAGGTGGTTAACCTATTGAATGATCTATACACTTGTTTTGATTCAATTATTGGTAATTATGATGTTTATAAAGTGGAAACAATTGGCGATGCCTATATGGTGGTCAGTGGTTTACCAATTCGTAATGCAGAAAAACATGCTGGCCAAATAGCATCGATGGCATTACATTTGTTGCAGGAGATATTCAATTTTGAAATTGCTCATCGTCCAGGTGAATATCTTAAACTTCGTATCGGTATTCATTCAGGTCCATGTGTAGCCGGTGTTGTTGGCCTTAAAATGCCTCGTTATTGTTTGTTTGGTAAGTTGTTTTTGTTTTTGAATGGAATCTGTTCATTATTCTATCTATTATATTACAGGTGATACAGTGAATGTAGCATCAAGAATGGAATCCACTGGTGAAGCACATAAAATACATGTTAGCTATTCATGTAAACAGATTCTGGATAAATTGGGTGGCTACATTCTTGAAGAACGTGGATTGATTTCAATCAAAGGAAAAGGACAGATGCGTACCTATTGGCTACTTGATCGATTACAGCCATCTGATTCTATATTGTGAATGAAAATTTTTTGTTTTGTTTTTGTTTTTCATCAAAAAAAATGTTTTCAAACAGACACACACACACACACAGACTCAATTTGTTGTTGTTTAGTTGAAATTAGAAATCTAATGAATTTATTTGTTTTTTTTTGAGAATTTTAATAAAAATAAAATACAAATAACAATGTGTCAAAGTGATTTGATTCTTTAGGATTTTATCCAACAAGAATATATATGTGATTTATATGGACATCAAGTAATATGATAATTTTGATGAAAATTAATCTAATGGGCGTGTGTGTGTGTGTGTGTGTGTGTGTTTGTTTGGATTGATAAATTTAAATAAGGGTTTCAATGTCAATGTTTTTCATTATCTTCATGATCCTGATCATTATTATCATGCCAAAGTAAAAAACCATATGACCAAGCTGCAATTATAGCGCCAATATGTGGACCAATAATACCGGCAACAATCCAATAAAGTGATTCAACTGGTCTAAATTTCATATTGATTGATTAATTTATATGTGAAAATTTAATGAAACAAAATGATGATGATTTACCTGAAAGCATCAAATCCATAGCCACCGATTAGTAGAAATAATCGTGGTGATAAATCTCGAGCTGGATTTAATGCAGCACCACATTGTAATCCGAATGCAACGACAACACCACAAATAACCATGCCCAACATGAATGGATGTAAATATTCTGGTAATTTAGCACGTTTATCTGTTACGGCTAAAACACAGAAAACCAATGCAAACGTAGCGATAATTTGATCCAATAATGCTGTAGTTACGGAAACCCATGGTGCTGGAAAAGTGGCAAATATATCTCCCGATGCTAATTCAGACATTATTGTTTTATTCTCATGGAACCATTCACCAGCATAAGCAATACGTGTACCATGATCATATTCTTGAATGCCTTCATAATAGACTATAAATACTGTGAATGATGCAAGCAATGCACCAATATATTGGCCCAATAAATAATGTGGAACTTTATAAATTGAAAGTCTACCACTCAAAGCGAATGCCAACGATACGGCTGGATTTAGATGAGATCCAGAAATTGGCATCGAAGCTGCTATACCGGACATACCACCAATACCGAATGTAAATGCAACGGCAAAATGATCGACACCTACTTTGGAATTACGATTCAATTTATAATTGGCTACAGCTGCTAGACCGATCATCTAATTCGAACAAAAAAGAATTAATTTAATGGCAATCAAAAAAAAAAAAAAAAAAAAAATTTGTTCATAACATACCACAAGCAAATAGGTTCCAACCATTTCGGCCAATAATTCTCGAATGAATATGGGCATCTTAATCAATGAATTACTTCGATTCTTTCTTTTAAGATTCAATTTTGCTATCTCTGGATAATGACCACCACCACCACCACCATGCATCGAATATGATGTCGTATCACTGGTTATTGTTTCGGCTTCCATTTTTTTTTTCGTGAACAAAAAACAATCTACTGGACGGCTGTTGGTAATATGAACCACACGAGTCAAATAAACGATGTCAAATAAGATTATATCAAAAACAAAACAAAAAACTGAGAAATAAAAGCTATTAAGCTGACCGCAAACTTAACAACAACAACAATTTTGATAAATTAAATTCGATTAATAAACATTATTGTTATATCCTGCACACACACACTTGTTCCACATTATTATTTATTTTCTAGTATTCGAAAATTAAATGTCACCAAATGATGAAATAAGATTCAATGTGTGTGTGTGTTTGGCTGGTTGGTTGGTTGGTTGGTCAACGGTCAATCAATCATTTTCATTTACAATAATAAAACTGGAATATTAATCGACTTCCTGTTGTTGTTGTTGTTGTTATTGTTTTTGTTAAGTTTTTGACAAACGTTTTAATATATCATAAAAAAATGAAATGAAATACAATTCACACACACACACATGATGAAACAAATAACATGTGTTGCGTCAATAGCGATTCATCAAGATGAAAAAAATTCTTTCGTTTCAAGACAGACACACACATACATAATAATAATACATTCATACGCGCTTATATACAATATAAATGAATTCTATAGACAAGAACAAATTGAAAATTAGAGAATACACGGCTAAATTATATATTACTATATATTTGAGCTTGTGATGTGTGATGTGTGTCCTTATGTTTATTTGTTGTTAATAAAATGATCACCATCACCAGGAAACAAACAAATAGGTTAGAAAATAAAATTCAAATATTCAAAAACACTATAAATCGATATATGTAATGTTTGGCCTCACATTCGCTTGATCCTGGATCCCAGAACGCCCACCCGATCAATTTTCTTTAAGCAAGCAGATGGATCAAAAACGAACTGAGTTGCATTTCTGGCTATCAATTCAGTTGACCAGGCGTTTTAAAGTCATTCGAATACGTTCACGAATTGGTGACGTACCCGAACAATTATTTCATACCGATAATCAATCAAAACGCGGATGAAATGCCACGAAGTCTATTGATTAATGAGACCGTGAGAGGATATTTCCATCCAACATATCCGCCAGGATTCATCGACATCTGGCCAGTTGATACCGATGTCCCTATCCGAAATACAAAACGCGGAGAACAAAAGAAGTCGCTAACCAAACAACAGACTGATGGTCATCCGTCTGGTTTATGACATTTGGCTTTCGAGAACAAAAGGACTGACGGGTAATGGATCAAACTGTTGTCCGAAGTCCAAACAATGGAATTGGACGCACCTGGACAGCAAAGAACAAAAGCCTTCATCATGATTTCTTTGGTTACAATGCGGACGAACAATGGGTTTCCTGTCAAAACTGACAGCGTCCTCGCACCTGGTCTGCCCAACCATCTAACTAATCCGAAATGTCACGTTGAAACGACCGCGACAAATCCAAAAACGATTGGGCATCCTCCGCCAATCGAGGGCCTTCTATCTCATTGTGAATTTATGCTTGCTGCCTGGATATTAAGATCACCATTAAAATCAGAACCGGAGTGCCCGTCTGAATACGGAAGTCGGGCGACTGACATCAAATGATCGCCATCGGCTAGACATGTCTCATCATTTCCATCTTCAATTTTCGACATTAATTATTCTTCTGGACCTCCATACATTTACGAAGCATTTCGATGAATTCTATCTCTATTGAATTTGGCCAGAGGCCATCTCACTTCATCTCTCAATTCGAAGGAATTATTCTTCGACCTCCATGATTCTGACGCGGCTCGATGAATTCTATCTCTATAGGAATTTGTCAACGATCTCTCGGCAGCATCAATTTTTCGAAGGCAATGGGTTCTTCGGGCTCCATGGTATGACGCTACTCGAGTGAATTCTATCTCTATAGAATTTATTGACCATCCTCATTTCATCTTCAATATTCGACCTAATCACTTTCTTCGACCTCCGCTGGTTGAACGCATTCGTCGATAGAATTCCCACTCTGTAGAATTTATTGACCATCTCATTTTCATCTTCAACATTCGACTCAACAATCCCTTTTCTTTTCCACAAAAAATCGACACTTTCATCATATAGAATCTCTATTTAATGTGTAATGTGCGTGTGTTGGTTACATGGTAAATGTCATTTCTATATATAGAAATAGCTATAGATGATTTGAATAATTTGTATGTGTTGAAATATTCCACTTTTTTATGTTTATTGTTGTTAATAAAAATGATCACCATCACCAGGAAAACAAACAAATAAATTAGAAAATAAAAATTCAAATATTCAAAACACTATAAATCGATATATATATATCGACAATCAATTGCCATAAATATAGCACATATATCAAACATCCGTTTCATCAATCATTATCGTCGTTGAATTATGTTGTTCTAAAGTAGAAATTTTATTTATTCATTTTATGCAGAAAAAAAATTGTAAAATGAAACAAACAAACAAAAAACATTTACCATACACATGCATTCATGCATTTATTGAAAATGAACATTAAACAATGTTGGCTAATTTGCTTCTAATTGACAGAATGGATAGTAGAGAAATATTGGTGTTATATATTCATCGATAATTTTCTATTGCTAATTATTTTCTTCACTTTTTTTTTGTTTGTTTGTTTGTTTGTTAATCAAATTGGAATGAGAATGAAAGAATGGGAAAATTTTCCGTTAATTTTCAACATCGTGTTTCATATAGACCACTACGTCCAATATATCGTACCCATTTAATGACATCATGATCATTATAATTTAATTTCGGTTCAAATACTTTCAAGTAACGAACTTTTAAGCCGGATGGTGCAAATGGTACTTCAAAATTCATTGATATTGGTGGCCTATTCCATTTCTTTTTATTATCCGTCAATAGTAATTCAATTTCGGCGCTAAGTTGTGTTTCTTTCATACCTGCCATTCGTTTGATTCTGTAAAAAAAAAGAAAAGAATGAGATGAAATTCATCATGATAAAAACATTGATTAAACTAACCTCCAGACGATAGCATTTTCGCTTGCCTTATATTTAGCTTTTCCTTTCATACAAATCAATTGTACACCAGATGTATTCAATGGTGTTGGAATTTTTACTTCAATTTTTTGGCCAATTAATGATGGTTTAAAATTGGATTTAAGAACCACTTTTACTTCCATTTTAGTACGGCCAACTTCACGAACCAAAGGGATGATTCGAAATGGAAACGATATATCTTTAGTGATACGATAACGCATTAATTCATATTCACCATCCGGTGGTATAAAACTGATTGCATGTTCGGATTCAAATTTCGATAACTTAACACATTGATGAAATTGACAATCATCAATCGCTATCGATGATTTAGATGAACCACTTGGACGTGATGAATCATCCATTATAGCAGACTGAGTGGATTTACTTTTATTTTCCATTGTTATTTTATCGTTGATACCAAATTTACATTCAGGCATACCAGATAAATAGGATTTCATTATAACTTTTCCAGCTACATGAGCCGATAATACCTGACCTTGGGCTGACATCAATAGATTTACATATTCCAATACATCCAAAAATAATTCATTACGACGATATTTGATGCCTTCACGACGCCAACCAATTTGTCCAGTAACTTGTGATGTAATCTGTGCCTGTTCTTCTTTAGTAGCCGATTTAACACCAGTCTGTGTAATGAATGTTTTCAATATTCCAGTATCAGTATTTTGAGGATAGCCAAAATCAAGAATTTCATCCAACAATTCATAGATAAGAACAAAATTATTCTTGACATTTTCTTCGTTTATCTTTCCAAAATAACTTTGCATAACATCGCACATTTTCAACAAGAATTCAAAAACCATTGCAGCAGTAACATTTTGTTTAGTAACGGCTGCAAGCCATAGATTTCCACGTTTTACATGAAAAAATGATGTTCGAGCAAGATTTGTCACCGGTGATCGAACTTGTTGTCGTGCATGTATTACATTCACACGGAATGCATCCACAGCGTTACGTCTTGAATAAAAATTCAAAATGAAGAATAGAAAATGAATAAACAATTGATGAATATCAATCACTTACCCAATATCATCACGATAAACTCGTGAGATAAGAACTTCTCCTTTATGGTTATAGATGAAAAGTCCACCAATCATTGTTGTAAAGACATTTGGACAAATACTATCCAACAACTAAAAACCAACAAATAATGATTGAATCGTTGAATTTTTTATTAATGAATTGGAAACACCTCTTTGATTAAATGTTTTAACAATGAACAAAACTTTTTGTGTCTGTGTGTGTCAGGACAACAAAGTTTACAGAGATTTCGATGGACAATTGTCAAACATATATTTGTGATGGACGAATTACTCAATTATCGATGCGGACATGCTCATTGAATTCTATGGAAGATATCGATACAATCACAATACGATTTACTCTCGAATGATTTGACAAATTTTTCAAATATTTCGTATTTAATAACAAAAAATAATGGCTACATTCTTTGGTGAAGTTAACGATATATCATCTCGATCTGCCTGGTGGTCTGATTCGGATTGTGATGATGAAACCGTACCAGATGATGATGTTCAAAAAACATCGAAACTCGGAAAATTTTCGATAAATTATGAAAATGGCTTCACACCAGATTCTGAATTCAAATTCGAACGAATTTATGTTACTAATGTTAAATCGATTCCGAAAAATTTGAAAACAATTCTTACCATATCAATCGAAAATGTTAAAGTTCCGGTTTGTTATTTGAATTTATTAAATAATAATGATCATCCACAATGCTGTTGGTTAGCCATCAATCATCGAATATTATCACAACATGAATATTTGACTGTACAGCTAGTAGACTATCTATTCGATGCCATATTGAAAAAACTAATCGATTCCAGCAAACCAGAATTGTTGATCATATCGAAACAAAAAAATCGTTCTAGTTATGTTCAATATCTTCGATCACCAAATACAAATGATGATGATTATATCGTAAATTTGGGCAAAAAATGTAACATTAAAAAATTGATGGCACCTGAAACATCCAACGATGAATTTGAATTGGCCACAATGCAGCATTGTATTATACATCGAATAAATTTTATATTTTTCATTCTACCAACCGAATACGATAATGGACAATTTGTACCGAAAACAATTCGTGATTCATTGAATCAATTTTATGATTTTTCCCATAATAATAATCTGATTGTCTGAAATGATGATAAAAATAAATTTTATTTTATTTACATTTTAATTTTCATATTTTCCATGATTTATTCTTGATTTAGCTTGATATTTCCATCGTGCTTTTCGTTCTTGTTCATCATCAGAATAATCTTGATGTTCTGGTGGTGGTTCATTATTATCTTTCCATGATGCATCACATCCTTTTTCTGTGATTAAATTATTTACAAAAACATATTTAGTATATGGTTCGGGAAAATATCCATTATAATATATGGCCATATTAATCGTAATGTTCATATCATGAATTTCTTTTGGTGAATTAAAACGAACCACATAATTTGGCTGTCTTACAGGTCCAATAACATCGAATATTTGTCCTAATTTATCAAAATTTAAATTATTACGATTTTTTCCCATAGACAATAACCAATAAACATACCTAATGCAGAACCATCTTTGAGGAATAAAGTTGAATCAAGATCCAATACATGAACCGTTGTAAATGATTGGATGATAACCAATTGATTGACAATTGAACTAACCGTACCGATTTGTGTCAGCTGTTCGATTGGAGAATGAATATTTAATCGTTCGATTTTAGGAAGTTCATCAAATGTTAATTCGCCTTTTGTTTTACAAGCAATGGTCGTTGTTTCCGTATCAGAATCATCATCGATATTAATATCCGATTCATCATTATCAATGGACCATGGTGAAAGATGATCATCGCCAGAATCATCAGAATCATAATGAATAGGTTGTTCGCGATGTGATCCAAAAGAATTTTTGATGATAACACGTTTTTGCACTTTTATCAATATTCGATCGATAATATCTTGAATAATTAATTCATCAACAGAAATTGGATTTGGCTGTTTATTATTGACAACATCATCATCATCACCATCTTCCATACAATCTGAATCAGATGAATAAACAACAATTGGTCGATGGGCCATGATTCAAATATAGAAATTCAAGCTTGTAACAAATGAGCAAAAAAAAAACCATGCTTGGATCACGTGATTAAAAACTGTATTCGTGAAATGCTCACAAGCTTTGTTTGCATCATCCATGAATTGAAACACTTTGATCAAATCAAAAATGGATTTACGAGAATTTTTTGATAATATTTTCAATATTGACGACACAATTGAAGATTTAGAAAAAAGTTTTATACGTGGTAATTTTATATTCGATGATGGTTCGCTAAGATCAAATATACGACCACGTGATTTAATGTTGAAAAATTCATCGACAATTCGACGATCAACAACAAGAAATGGTGGACATCATTCAATTGATAATTTTTTCGAATCATTCGCTGATGATCGTCAACAAAATATTGGTGGTGGTAGCATAGCATCGAAATCACAATCAGTTATTAAGGAATTTAAATCCGATTCAAATGTAATTATCAAATCAATCGAAAATGAAATACTAAACTGGGCTTTTTTTTAGGGCAAATTTGAAGAAAAAATTGTCATCAAAGATAGTAGTGGTAATGAGAAAATCATTACAAAACAATCGGATGGAAGTAAAACCGTACAAAGAGAAATACATAAAAAAGACGATAAAATTGTTCAAGATAAAGAAATTGTTTCCGATATTGGAGGTTAGTGATAAATAACAAATGAAAATATAACTGATGACTGATGTTTGTTTTTATTTTAATTTGATTCTTATAAACAAGATGATGTGAGAAAAATTGACATAATCGGAGAAAAAGATGGTGGTGGTTCAAATTCGACTGGAAGTTATTGGCCATATATATGGCCATTTAAATAGCTTCGTTGTCGTTGTCGTCGTCGTCGTCGCCGTCATCATTCGATGGTTCACGATCCAATTCTTGCTCCTGATAATCTTCATCTTTATTATATTCGGAATCTACTTTTTCATCATCCGAATCTTCTTTTTGTTGTTCTGCGTGTTGATTTGTTTTCATTCGTTTTTCTACATCTTTAGCAATATTAAATACACCACTAGTTTGTGACGAACAAACAAAACATTTTGTTGATTTTTTATAATGATCCAATGCACATTGTTGACAAAAATAATGTCTGCATTTTGTAACCACAGGATTTACAAAACGATTACGACAAATAAAACAAGCGAATGGTAAATCATCATCATCATCGATTTTATATTTATCCGGATCATCATCATCGCCATCATCATCTTGTTCATCATGATGATGTTTATGTTTTTGGTTTTTTGTTGCTTCAAGTTCCAGTTGCCAACCAGCTTTATAATCTGAACGATCATGTAGAAATTTACAGGAATCACCAAAACCACAAAATCCTGTTTCTTTATAATCTTTACATATATCTGGCTGATAATCCCAACGAACGGTTGAACGGATATTATCCGGTGCACGTACAGGACCTTTACGTACATGGCCCGATGATGCATTACCGAATGGTGTATCTTTTTTCTGTTTATATTGTAGATAATTATTAGCGCCACGATAGATGGTTTGATCATCATCCTGAGAATTATCCTGTTCAGTTTGTTCTTGTTGTATTTTACGTGCACGTTCAAATATACTTTGTGCATCTTTATCACGTTCGGTTTCTGTTTCCAATGTCATCGTTGCACCCATATCGGCAGGACCATCACGTTGACCCGATTTACTTGATGCATAGCTCACATGTATTTGATCATCATCGTCATCGTCGTCGACATCACTATCGTTATGAGAAATTCGTTTTCTATTTACAGATTTCTTAAACGAACATGTCGATTGTATCATTGGATTAGGTTTTCGTTTCTTTCGATCACTAATGATAACACTTGATTCTTCATCACTAGAATCGCTACTGTTCGACGATGCAATGCGTGTTTGTCTTGTTGTTCGAACACTGTAAATATGAAATGAAAACATTTATTAATATGGTCTTTCAGCATTGTTGTACTTACTTTTTATTTGTAATTCGTTTCAAAAAAAATTTACAATTATCATTATCAGACATTTTTCAATATATTACACGAGAATGACAACTTTTGGATATCATATGCATGAATGATGAAATTGTAATATAAAAGTCATGTGCTGTCATCTGTGGATGAATCGGTAAAGTTATTTTTTTAAAAATAATTTTATTCGAAATCAAATTGAATATAATGATGGTGTAATGAACAATGGTGTGCAAAAATCAACAACATTCGAGCTGATAATAATAATGGTGTGTGTTTTGAACAAACAATGGGTTGGAAAAAAATACAGAAAAAGATAGACATTATTATGTGTAATGTGAATTTAATTGGGCTGTGTACCACCACCACCACCACCACTGTTTCCAGCACCGGTATTGGCCGTTTGTGAGGATAGATAAAGATGACTTCGGTCATGATAAGCTGATTCCTGTGATAAAAGGCCATCTAATTGAGATCGATCTTCAAAACTATATGGATCCTAAGAAAAAAAAAATCATAGAATAAATTAAAAGAAAACAGCAACCACAATCTCAACATACCTGTGATAAATCTGTTTGTGAGAGAATATTTTGTGAATATCCTTGCATTGAATATAAACCGCCGGCACCTGGATGATGTGTTTGACTATTCGATGATAGTTGACCAAATGTACCAGGTTGTGTGAGCAAATTTTGTGATAAATTTTGACTATCTTGACTACTACGACTAATCGTACCACTATTACGATTATATCGTTTATTCTGTTGTTTATTATTATTATTATTCGATCTTTGGTTATGAGCCATTTGTTGTTGTTGTTGTTGTTGATTTTGCCCGTAATAATTAGCCTGTGGCATCGTTATGAATAGACCAATAGGTACAGGAAAATTTGATATTGCAGCCAAATTAGTCTGGGCACGATCATTAGCAATATATGATAATTGATCATGCTGATTATGTCGACCACCACCACCATAATGATGATGAAGATGATTATTATGATTTTGATGATGACTATATGGCTGTGAATTTGTTTGGCTGTTTGATGAATACAGTGAATAATCATTGTCGCTGTTGTTGTTGGTTCCACCACCACCACCACCAGTAGTAATTGGATTTGATAATAATCCAGATTGTGGTCCACCAAAACGATTATTCATTCCGAATGGCATTGTCATTTGAAATGGTAAATTATTATTATTATTGCTGCTGTTATTCATTGGTTGTGCAACCGAATTAAATGGTGATAAACCATTGGTGATAGGATTGACAAACATTTTACGTGGCTTTGGAAAATTGAATCAAACTTTCCTTGAGATTATTCAATGGACCTTCCACTAATACGCGTTGTTCTTTATAAAATGATAGTAGATGATTCCATATAGGTTGTTTAGACAATACTTTTGGATTACCAACAATTATGATTCCATAACGAGCACGAGTCAATGCGACGTTTAATCGTCGTGGATCATTCAAAAATCCAATACCTTGGTGTTCATTTGAACGAACACATGAGAAAACGATTATATCTTTTTCACGTCCTTGAAATGCATCAACACTTGCCACTTCAATTTCTTGATATAATTTCGTATGAAATGATCCATTATGTTGCATATATTGTACAAGAAATGATCGTTGTCCTTCATATGGTGTGATTACACCTAATTGTTCAGGTTTAAGGCCAGATTTCAAAAATCTGGTTATAATCTTTTCAACATATGCAGCTTCTGTTCGATTCAGATATGATGTACCGGAACCAGCAATCTCTTCTTGACCTTGACAACAATAGAAAAACATTGGTCGATCCGGTATTGGCCATGGAAAATCATTTCCTTTCAATTGTCGTTCTGATCCATGTACACCATTTTGTAATGATCCTTCATAGAATAGATTCGATGGAAATTCACTAAGCGAAGGATGCATACGATATTGGACTTCTAAACGTATGGGACGTATACCAAGTACAACTAAACGTTCAAATAATGATCGTGAAAGTCCAGCTTTTGCTGCTTTTTTACACATAACAACAGGACCAAGTTGACAATGATCACCAACAAGTACTAGTTGTCGTACGCCAAGAACTACTGGTACCATACATTCCGGTTCGGTTGCTTGCATCGATTCATCAATAAGCATCGAATGAAATTTAAATCGAGTCAATCGTGGATCACCGGCACCAACACATGTACAGCAAATAACATCGGCAGATTCCAGCAATTCACGTTCACATTGTCGTTTCAATATTCGATATCGTTTTTCATCAGATGAAGATAATTCACCAGTTTCATCTTTCAATTGTTGTAGTTTACGAAATTCAGAATGTCCAACCATTTCACGAATTTGATTATGCAATGCAAGAAATGATACAGGTGAACTGATTGCTTCACGACTTTTTGCACATATTCGCACAACTTTCAATCCGGTTAAATGAATTTTTTCCGTCAATTGATCGACAGCAATATTACTTGGTGCACATACCAATACAGGCGTTGAACCGGATCGTACAAAATGATATACAATCGATGCAGATGTCACTGTTTTACCCGTTCCTGGCGGTCCTTGAATCAATGTTAAACTTTTCGATGCCGATTGTTTCACGGCAAACATTTGTGATTTATTCAATTCAGGTAGATTCGGTGGTATATGTAATTTTATGCCCGATAATTTTGCTACCTGTTTATCTTCAACATTATGACCAAGTAATTTATGATAAATACTACTATTCACCGATGTATCATCAATGGTAAATCTACGTAAAGCAGCTTGCATTCTAATGTTGTTTCAAAAAATGAAAATTAGATTTGAGAGAAAAAATTTTTCACTTACCTATCGAAACTAGTTGATTTCCAAACAAAATCGACAGCAAAATTTGAATTGAAATTTGTTGGTACGCCATGATTCGTTTTCAATTCAATGGCCACTTCATCACTATAATTATCTGGAATTTTCGTTACATGGCCAATACCGGACCATAGTTTTGTTGGATCACCACCAACATAACGAAGTTTAAGCTCATCACCATGCATTAAACGCATATCCGTATCGGATTTAGCAATACGAAAATAGGCAATGATTTTCATATTGAGACCAACATCCCATCGTACTTCAATATTATCTTGGGTTTGTGATTCTTTCAATTTTTTATCATATTCTGCTTCAAGTTTAACCAATGGTGAAAATATACTTTGATATTGATAGGCATCCTCATAACTGACCAATACTTGTTGTGGTTCTTCATCGACACCCGGTTTCTCGAGATCCAAAAATGTCGCATCAGAACTACCTTCTTTCCAAAGTTCTTCCAATTTATTAATCTGTTGTGCTGTGATTTGTCTAGCTCTCAGCTGTTCTTCATCTGATGGAACTTTCACTAACCATGAGAGAAACATTCGTTCCGATATTAATGGTTTCCATTGATCGGGATCCCAATTCATATCTTTAAGGCTTGATTGTGCAGCACATGGTTGTCGACAAAGCAAAACGACAACCGAATCAGCTTTAGCCGGTATAAAACCCAATACAAAAACATTACGACAACCACAGCTATAACATTCAAGTACAGTATCACCAAGTGTACCATCTTTATGTAGGCTAACTTCTTTATGTTTCGATCTTACTAAATGATTAATAATATGACTACCCGATGTATTACCACGACCATTACAGAACCATTTTTTACAAATATTACATTGTACAACAGTATTTGGATCATGTATACAACAATATTTACAAGCATGTCCAGGCAATTCTTTATTATAATCATTAACGATAGCATTTTCATCGTCTTCATCTTCGAAATTTAATTCACTAAAATTCTGTGTTATACCCGTTATATCCGATGTTATTATCGAATCAGCGGCTACACTATTGTTTGGTGATGAATTACCGGCTTGATCCTGAAACTGAATCAATAATGAAAATGTATTATTCAAAAAAAAAACGGTAAATAAACTTACAACATCATGATGATTGTATGATTGTTGTTGTGATGATGATGAATTAAGTCGTTGTGAATATTCGCCATAATCAAAATTACTACATTGAGTATTCAACAACATTAGATCATTGTCTCGATCATCAAGAAATTGTGACATTTTTAAATCAGAACAAATAATCTGTAAATCTGAATTCGCAATTAAATTCTAAAATAAATAGCAAAATGTGCGATCCACTATCGAATATTACATTAGGATCAAGTAATAACACTCATTATCATCATCATCATCACAATGAAAAGCACATGACCGTATGGCGTCATCTAGTGGTCAAATAATTATGTTTTGAAAATGGAAAAAAAAACTGAAAATTAAATCAAATCAAATCAAAATTGTTTTAGTTTGATTGAAAAAAAAATTTATTTCAAACAAAAAAAAAGATACAATCATATTAGGATGTTTGGAAAAGAAGAAAAGCTGATAATTATGATGTCGTTTATTCTTCTTCCTCTTCTTCGGCAGCCGTTCCACCTTGAGCTTTTTTCATGTTCTTCCTCTTGACACGGCCCGGTCGACCACCACCATATGGTGAACTTAATGAAAAATTAATGTGCTTTTCAGAATCCAAACGCACAATGAATGATGGTATGTTGACCATTTGTTTACGTACACGGATGTGTCGTTGACGGATCAACACTCGTGCATGATGGATACTTTTGGCCAATGCATGTTTCAACACTTGTGTTTGTAATCGTCGTTCAAGAAAATCTTCGATACGTAAACCAAGCACATAATCGAGTTTCATTTGATCCTCTTCGAGTACACCGATACGTACTAATCGTCGAAGAAGTGCATTACCTTCGAACAAACGTTTTGGATCTTTTTCATCCAATGTCAATAATTCACGGGCAGCTTTACGAATTTTGGCCAACGTATATTTCACACGCCATACTTCACGTTTATTACGTAGACCATATTTACCGATCAATTTCATTTCTTGATCAAGACGTTCTTTTTCAAATGGACGACGTGGAGTGACGTACGTCTTTGAATAGACGATCGGTACACGAGGCATTGTTCAGAATGGTTTCGTTTTCAACCTTTTTGAAATAATCAAAAAAAAATGATAAAAATTGTTAGTCAAAGCTTGATCCAAAAAATCAATATAGGTAGCTAAGCTAAATCGATTCGGACTGATTGATTGATTAAAAAAAATTTTATTCTTGGCCAAAAAAAACACCGAAACAGTATCCCAATTTTCGAATGGAATCCTTTCCAAATAAATTATATTGGCCACAATCTCATTAGCTCGGTAGCCAATGTATTGATTATCGTTGAAAAAATCAATCAAATTTTCGATTTAAATTTGAAAAAATTAAAAAATTTCAACAAAAACTTACCAAAATTAAAAAAATTTACAAACACACAGACACAAAAAAGCTATGAACACGAGGCTTGACGGAAAAAGGAAAGCCGTACACACACAAATGCAACACATTTTAAGCGTGGCGTGTGAGTTTGAGAGAAATATTTCGTTAAGATTTTCTGCGAAAAACTTTCCGGGAATATTTAGAAATTGAATTTTTTTTTCTGGTGAAAAAATGAATTTGATATTTTTTTCAATTTTTTTTTATTTCTTTCCATTTTTATATTAAAAAAAATTGACAATTACAAATTTTATAAATGAAAGAATTTATTATTAATTTTTTTTGATGTTGAAAAAAAAATTTTTTAAGCTGACGATACTGAAGCTTTAGCTCCAGATGATGCTGATGATCGTCGACGACGGGCTTCATCTTTTGCTTGTTTAGCTTCTTTTTGACGTTCAGCCAATAATCGTGCATATTCATTTGCTTGTTCTTTACGTTTTTCCGAACGACGACGTTTAAGTGCCATACGTCTTCGTTTACGTTGCAATAATCGTGGCGTTATCAAACGTTGAATTTTCGGCGCTTTTGTTCGTTGCGGTTTACCTTCTTTCTGTGTCAACGGACGTCGAACAACATATTGGCGAACATCATCATCTTTGGATAGATTGAATAATTTGCGAATTTTACTAGCACGTTTAGGTCCAAGACGACGTGGTATTGTTACATTGGTCAAACCTTCAATTTCTTGAGCACCTTTATATATAAAAAAAATTGAATGAATTATCATGATTCTATGGCCATAATGAAAAAGTTGAATATATTACCTCTTTTGACAATAATCAATGACAATACACTTAAATTCGAATCAACAATACAACCACGTACAGATTTACGTTTACGTTCGCCGGTACGACGTGGTCGATAACATGAATGGCCAGTCGATAATAATAATCGTACTCGACCATTGGTGAGTACACCTTGTTTCATTGGGAAACCTTGTTTATCATTTCCACCAGTAATTCGAAAAACATAGCCTTTCCATTCATCACCTATTGAATCGGCTTCAACTTCTTGGCCCATACGTTTATCGTAGAAAATACGAAGCTTATGATCATCATCGATTTCGATGAGTTTCTGAGCGCTCGTTTGTGGATCAGCAATATTTAGCTAAATATGAAAAGGAAATACGTAAAATTAGAGAATTTTTTTTTTGGAACAAAAAATCGTTAAAAAAATGGCAAAACAAACCTTCATGTTGTTGATGGTGAATTGGATGAAACCACAGCGTAAAAGGAAAGGAATAGGAAATGCACACAACAGAACATTGCAGACACGTGAAACTCTCAATGCTCACACACACACAAACTGCCAATACTTTTTGATTTGCGCATGTGTTGGCTATTGTTACATTGTTTGACCTAACAAGTCAATCGACACAACATTTTTTTAATTTTCAAATCCACTACTAGATGGAATACTAATCGAAAAAAAAATAATTCGAAATTTTATTTCAAGATAAATCCTCATCCAATTCATCTAGTTCAGAATTATCAAGAAATTTTTTATAATTATTTTTATCGGATGATGATCTTCCTAATCGTAGATTAATTTTTTCTTCCATATAACGTATGGATGAATGATATTTAGTATTCTGTGCAACATGATTAGCCGGTTTCCATTGGCTCCATACATTTGTATCAACTTCAATGGTTGTATTTTTTAACATTTGTCGAAATTGTCGATTAACATTGGCGAACAATTGACGAATTTTTTTAGAAATCGATTGATGATTATTTCGATCTGCTTTCAATATTTGATCACGATAATAGCTAAGCATTATTTCAATACGTTCAATATCCATTATCGATAATTTGATATCATGTCTGTCCATATAGGATAAAAGAAAACGAACATAGGTAAGATCTTGATGTCCACATGCCAGATTAATTAAAGTTCCCATTATATTATTATTAGGTCTAATCATACATTGTTTCATTTCATCAAGAAATTTCCGTGCATCACCCATACAACCACAAGTAAATGCTAACGCTCCAAATGTCATTATATCTGGCCGTCTTTGTTGTTTTTGCATTTCTCGTATCATTCGTTCACATTTTTCTCGATTTTTTTGTTTAGCATATACTTTGATTAGAACATTGTATAAACAAACATCGGGCCTTAGATTATAGTGATCAAGAGCTTTTTGTATTTGTTCGAAACATTCAACATGATCAGCAAGTAATTCAGCCATCAAAGTGAAAGTTTTTAGATTCGGTTGAACTTTATGATGATTCATCAGTTGAAGAAAACCATCGATACCACCAAACAATAGAAATCGATTTGTTGCCGATTCAAGAGATTTAAAATCAATCGAAACAATAGCTGAATTTGAATTATCATTGATCATCAATAAATTGGGCAGATCATTATGAATCGATTGTTTCATCGGTAATGTAGTCTTCGAAGTAGAATGTACTAAACCTTCTTTATTATTTGAATAATTATCAACAAGTTGAGCAACTCGAGCTTCCGATTCAAATCGACAATCACGTATTGATCGAAGAAATAGATTAAATGGTGCAACATTCAACGTCATTGTTTTTTGATTAAGAATTTTTCGCATAAAATTCGTAGCATCATATAAGCCATTTTCTGGATATTGAATTGCACCCATCAACAACATACAATATGTATCCATATTTGGTGAAATACGATTACGTTTCATTTGTGTCAATGTTGCATCAACATTTTGTTGATCACCATATAATGCAAATGTTTTGATCATAACATTATATTGGGTAATGTTATAATGATAACCATTAGAATCTAGTTCTTTTCGAAGTTCAATAGCTTGATTTAAACCATATTGAAAATTATCACCAGAATCGGAAACCATCGGAAAATTAGCACATGAATTGAATAATGCTGTAATCATAGCACGTGTTGGACGATATTCATATCGTTTCATTTCCGAATATAATTCAAATGCTTTTTGTGTATAACCAGCCTTGGCACAAGCATTGATAATCATTGTGTATATATTACGGCTAGGTTTGTATCGATCTTCATATACCATTGATCGATATGTATCAAGCAATCGATATAGATCAAGTGGTCGTTTTTTATATATTTGTTCCAATATTCTTTCATAACCAGGTAATGAAATTTTAATACCACGTTTTATTTCCAATTGTTCATAACCATCAGGATCATCTGGCAATCGTTCAGATTTTAATGTTGATGGTTTGGAATTTTTTGTCGATTGTTGTCGTTGCAATTTCTGTGCTAAATCACCAAAGTTATCTGGTTCAAATTGTGAAAAATCAATTTTCAAACCAGATGATGATGATGATGAACATAGCTGTCTAATTGAACATGTGGTCATCGATGATGGTCGATAAAATCGTAAGGAACAATAATTTCGACATGATAATTGGAATAATAATCGTTGAATAGTCAAAGAATTCATGATGATTTAATCGAATGATTGATAAAAAAAAATCACAATTTGAATGTTGATCATCATTCATCAAAACAATTAAAATCACATGTGACAATCATGGCATAGAATCGTTATTAGATGGCAGCACATAGTCGATTTCAAAAAAATTCTTCAATTAATACGAATGATGATGTTGTGGAAGAAAATTTAAAAATGGAAATCTGATGAATCTCTTGGTTTAAACAGAAAAAAATTAATATAAATCATTATTGATGATTCAACAAAATAAATGTGAATATTCTTTTCTTTTCCCCAAATTATCATCATCTGGATCAAGATCATATTGCCAATTACAAACATATCTCATACGTGGTGGTAGATATTTAAATTGAATAAAATTTACATATCTACCACTAGATATTAAACGTATTGTTATTATACGACAATCGATCAATATATCAGTACGGATATCGGATATTAAATGATCATCATGTTCGGGACAGAAATCGAATGCAACTTGAAATTTATGTGATTCTGATTCTAAATGTGAATCACCACCAATTTCAATATAATCTTTTGCGTGTAATGTTTCACACTGGAAAACAATGAAAAACAATAAAATTAGCAAATTTTACACTTGAGAATATTTATTGAGAAAACAAAAATTCGATATTTTCTTACCGATTCCTTATTATTATCAGGTATGATTCTTGAATTATTGTGTCTTCTTTTTTGTCCAACTTTTGATCGAACTATTTGTAAGTATGGTGAATATTTATGTTTACGTTGTTGAAATATATATGCGGAACAATTAATTTCACGATGAAAATTCTGTAACACATATTTATCACGTATAAATGGTGATCTTCCATGTTCATGTTTTTCTTCATAAAACATAACATTACATGCTTTTGTGAAAAAATTAAAAAAAATGAACAAATAAAAAAAAAGATTTCCATTACTTACGTTTAACAATATCTCTAAGCATAAATGTAAATGTAAAACCGGTATTAATTATCGGTATACGATATGTAATCATGGCGAAATTTTGTGAACTGAAAAATATATGATTCATTTCCATTTCATATGTTTGATTACTTTCACAAATTCGTGTTTTAAATGGTTCAGCATGTTGACCAGGTGATGGAAATCGACGACCATTTTGAAATTTCCAACCATCATAATAATTTAAATAATAATTTTGACTATTAATACAGGACGAATTACGTTCATTCAAAAAGATACCAATCGATTGATTCAACCTTGATGTAGTAAAATATATTTGTCCTTTGATTTTTAATAATTTTTCATCATCAATATAGAATGCATAACGACCGGGTTTTGTGATGTAAATTATCGATTCTATATTGGAGAGAGAATTGGAGTAAATATTATCGGTTTTATTGCAATAAATAAATAAAAATTCACCTGATTTCAATCGTTGTGTTTTCAAATCAAGTTCTGGTAGTTTAATTTGATCTTTCAAAACGATATCCGTTGCTAATATTTGATTTTCATCATCACATAATAATAATAATAATAATATTGATAGTATCGATGTTGATAACGATATAAATCGAATTCTAATCGATTCGTTCATTATTTGAAAATTTAAATTACAGCAAAGAAAATTTTAAGAAAAAATTACAAATGTTTTAATTTCGTGTAAGAGATTTATTTATATGCAAATTTATTAACAACAAACAAATGAAATTTTTTTTTTGTTCAATTAAATCAAACAAAATCAATTATTCAATTGATTTTAACAAAAAAAAAGATAATATTTAAATCATTATATATGATTCAACAATATAAATGTGAATAATCTTTTCTTTTCACAAAATTATCATAATTTGAATCGAGATTATATTGCCAATCACAAACATATCTCATACGTGGTGGTAGAAATTTAAATTGAATCTTATTTGCATATATACCACTTGATACTAAACGTATTGTTATTATACGACAATTGATCATTATATCATTAGGTGTATCGGATATTAAATGATAACCATGTTCGGGACAGAAATCAAAAGAAACTTCAAATTCATGTGATTCTAATTCGAATTTTGAATCGCCACCGATTTCAACATAATCTTTTGCTTTTAATGTTTCACACTGAAAAACAACAATATTACAACCGAATTCTGAAAATTCAATATTTTCTTACCGATTCAGGATGATAATTATGTATGATTTCTGAATCATTGCGTTTTATTTTTGGTCCAATCTTTGTACGAACTAGTCGTATGTATGGTGAATATTTATGTCTACGTTGTTGAAATATATAAGCCGAACAATTAATTTCACGACGATAATTTTTCAACACATATTTATCACGTATAAATGGTGCTCTTCCACCAGTGCCATATATATTATATGGCTCTTCATAAAACATGACATTACATGCTTTTGTTTGTGTGTGTGTGTGTTGCAGTAGATAGGGTTAGAAATTTATGAATTTAACAAAAACAAATAAAAAACAAAAAAACATTCACTTACGTTTATCAATATCTCTGAGTATAAATGTAAATGTGAATCCATTTTTAATCACCGGTATACGATATGTTAACATTGCAAAATTTTGTGAACTAAAAAAGAATGGATTCAATTCTGGCACTTGATTATCTTCACAAATTTGCATTTCAAATCGTTTTACATGTTGACCAGGTGATGGAAATCGACGACCATTTGGAAATTCCCAACCATCATGAAAATTTATGAAATCTTCACCAGCAATACAGCTACCATTACGTACATCAATATAGATACCAATCGATGCATTCGATATTGGTGTATAAAAATATATTCTTCCAAGGGTTTTCAATAATTTTTCATCATTCATATATAATGAATAACGACCAGGTTTTTTGATGTAAATTTCCGATTCTAAAATCAAAGAGAAAGAGAAAAATCGCTATTTAAATTGATTGAATTTATGATGACTTATTTTTACCAGGTTTCACATGTTGTATCCACCCAAATTTTGGTACTTTAACTGTCTTTTTATAAACAACATCAGTAGCAAATATCGATGATATCGATATTGATAACAATAATAATAGCGATAATGATACAATCGATACATCGTTCATCATTCACACAAGTTTCGAATTTTGAATATTTGCCAAGTAAAAAAAAAAAAAAAAAAGATTTACATTTTGTGTGAAACCATTATTTATGGAAAAAAATTTTTTATTCAATTTTCGAATTTGTGGTAAAAAAATTTTTTTTTTCAAAAAATCAAATCATTATTGATCGAAATATTTTTCAATTCAACAATATAAATTTGTAAATATTGATTTAACCGTGATCAATCGAAATAAACTTGTATCGAATTTATATTGCCAATCACAAACATATTGCATACGTGGTGGTAGATATTTAAATTTTATAATATTTGCAAATCTTCCACTTGATACTAGACGTATGGTTATAATACGACAATTGATTAGAAAATCAAATGCTCTATAATCCGGTGATTCAGGCCACATAACATTTGTAGGTGCACTATGATGATCACATACATCGAAACCAACTTCAAATTCTTTTGTTCCAATTTCAACACTAGAATCGCCACCAATTTCAGCATAATCTTTTAAGCCCAATTCTTTACACTGGAATAAATGAAAAAAAAAGAAATTCATTTCACACACACACACACACTCATACACACATCCACTTACCGATTCATTATTTCTTTTAGGAGTAGGAGCACTGAAGCTGTAATCTGTTTTACCAATTTCCATACCACCTATTCGTAAGAATGGTGCAAATTTATGTTTACGTTGTTGAAATATATAAGCGGAACAATTAATTTCCCGATGAAAATTCCTCAACGCATATGTATCACGTACGAATGGTTCTCTTCCACCAGCGCCATATTTATTATAATTCTCTTCATAAAACATGACATTACATGCTTTTGTGTGTGTGTATGGGTGGTTGGTTGGTTGATGTGAAAAATCGATAAAAATCATAAACAAATAAAAAAAAAAGATTTCCATTACTTACGTAGACTAATATCTCTATGCATAAATGTGAATGTAAAACCGGTATTAATTACCGGTATACGATATGTAATCATGGCGAAATTTTGTGAACTGATAAATATACGATTCAGTTCCATTTCATATGTTTGATTACTTTCACAAATTCGTTTTTTAAATGGTACAGCATGTTGACCAGGTGATGGAAATCGACGACCATTTGGAAATTTCCAGCCATCATAATAATTTATAAAATAATTTTCACTAGTAATACAGGACGAATTACGTTCATTCAAAAAGATACCAATCGATGCATTCAATCTTGATGTAGCGAAAAGTATTCGTCCTTTGGTTTTTAATAATTTTTCATCATCAATATACAATGCATAACGACCGGGTTTTGTGATGTAAATTACCGATTCTATAGAGAGAAGCAAAGAAAGAGAGAGAGAGAGAGAGAGAATAATAAATTTACAGAATTTTTCAATCATCAATTTTATCTTTAAAACGATATCAAATATTTGATTTTCATAATCACATAATATTAATAATATTGATAGTACGATGTTGATAACGATTTTGTGATTCGTTCATTACTTGAAAATTTCGTATAAATTACCGATTCTAACAGAGAGGATTTTTTGTTCAATTAAATCAAACAAAATCAATTAATTTATATGAAAGAGAGAATTTGAATATTATTGGTTTTTATTTTGAATTTACAGAATAAATAAAAAAAAACCTGACCTGATTTCAATCGTTGAGTTGGCCAATTAGGTTTCGGTAGATTAATTTTATCTTTAAAAACGATATCAGTTGCTAATATTTGATTTTCATAATCACATAATATTAATAATATTGATAGTATCGATGTTGATAACGATATAAATCGAATTTTAATCGATTCGTTCATTACTTGAAAATTTCGTATATCGAATATCAGCAAAAAAATTATGTTTTGATTTCGTGAAACTGATTTATTTATATATGCGGATTTATTCTCAACAAACAAATGGGATTTTTTTGTTCAATTAAATCAAACAAAATCAATTAATTTATATGAAAATTTTCATTTGAAAATATTTTTGGTTTCATTTCACTTTCAATTTCTGTACCAAACATAAATTCTAAATCACAAATATAGCCAAGTTTTGGTGGCAAATATTGTAATTTAACCCAATCATAATATCGACCACTTGATACAAGACGTATGGTTATAATGCGACGATTAATGGGGATATCGAAACCATTCAATTTATTTAATGAAACATGATGATTATTACAAAAATCTAGACGAACTTTTGAATGAGAATCATCAGCAACAATATCGTTATTATTGCCACCATATGAATCACCAATAACTTCGACATAATCTTCGCGTCCTTCTTTTTTGCACTAGAAAAAAAGACCACAAAGAAAATCAATCATTTATCATTCGATTAGATATATTTTAATACACATCATTATTACCGATTTAGTATCATCTATTTTACCGTGTCCATATTTTTGTGGATCACCAACATTAAATTCAACTATACGTACAAATGGTGTGTATTTATGTACACGTTGTTGTATGATGAATAATGAACAAATTTTTTTCTTATTATAATTTTTCAATAACATTGGTTCCCTAATAAATGGTTGCCGGTCATGGATATCTTCAGATTCAAATTTCATCATATTACATGCTTTTTAATTTAGAATGATAAAAAAAAAATTCTACAATCAATACACCACTACTTTGTGATACACAACACAAACCTTTTACACTTACGTTTATCAATTTTTTTCGTCCAAATTCTAAATGTAAATCCGGTATTCATAATCGGTATACGATATGAAATCATGGCAAAATTCTGTTTACCAACATACACACGTGAAAGTTCCTCAGCATATGTATGATTACCTTGACAAACAGGCATTTCCCATGGTTCAATATCATCATCATTTACAATGGACTGTTGTGGTGGTGGAAAACTACGACCATTCGGTAATTCCCAGCCATCTACAAAATGAATATAATAATTTTCATTCTGAATACATGGTGTATTTCTTGCACGTAATTGGAATATAATCGATTCATCCATATTCGGTGAAACAATATAAATTCTTCCCTGTGTTTTCGACATTGATTCATTATCAATATAATATTCATAAAGTGATGATGACGATGATGATGATGTTTGTTTAATCATGAGAAAAATTTCTGATTCTGTGATATGAAAAAAAAATGTAAAACATTATAACGACAAAAACAAAACAAAACAAAAAATCATCACTTAACTGGATTTTAATCGTATTATTTGCTCATGTGAATTTGGCTCTTGATGATGATGATCATTATCGGAAAATATTTTTATTGCAATTATTTGATCATCAAATATCATCAATGGTAGTAATATGAGAAAACGGATCAGAAATTGTTGATTCATGTGATTAAGATTCTGCGTATAACTGGTTACCTGTTGCTGTTGACAAAAAAACAAAATAAAATAATTCGCTTCAAAATCAGAAAAAATTTTTTCCAATTGACTCATTCATTTTCTAAATGTATTTTTATATTCGAAAACAAACAAAAAAAAATTTAAAATTTAATTTTTTTCTCTTTTTAAATTAATTTTTTTTTCTGTTTCACATTCAAATCAAATCATCATTCAAATTCAAAATTCAACAACGTAATGTATGATATGTTCGTGCCGTATTCGAACGTTTTTCTTCATTCCAACGACAAATTTCATCCGTTGTTGGTGGCAGATAACTGATGACAATTTTATTCTGAAATTGGCCACTTGATATTAGCCGTATGGTAACATTTGGACAGACTATTGGAAATCCACCTTTATTCACTGTTTTTTGTTTGTTTTAGAAAATTAAAATTTTTTTTTCTATTTACAACACCTCGTGCATTTTACCTTCAGGTTTATGTTGATTACAGAAATCCAATTCTTTTGTTTTATGAGGTCCGGCACCAGAATTTCCATTAATATATAAATGATCAGCAAATGATGCACACTATTTTTGAATGAATGGATTTTTTGTTAAAAAATTTATATATATAGAAATTTAAAATTCAATTGGTCATTTTATATTTACCGTTAATGGATCTTTATCACCATTTTGAATTACATTTGAAATACTTGGATCACCAACTTGAAAAAAACGTATATGAAATGAACCTTCATATCTTTGTGTTTCTTGTTTCATTAAAAATAATGAACAATTCATTGGTTTATTGCCATAATTTTGTAATGTATATGAATAAAAATATGGACATTTTCGTTTCACATCGAATGTATCCATGATTAATGCATGACATGCTAATAATATATTTTTTGTTTGAAAAAAAGGTTGGAAAATTAAAAAAAAAAAAAAACAAACACTTACGTTGTGGATTATCTTTAAAATAAACAAAAAATGAAAATATATAATGATGTAACGTCTCGAAACGATAATCAACTTGTGCAAAATTCTGTGTGGCTGTATAACGTTTTAATGATGTTCGAAATACACGACCCATTTCACAAAAATTATCGCTAAAACGTTTAATGTAACCATCAGGATGATCAATAACATATGGTATAACAACATTCTCTTCAGTATTCCAGCCATCAAACCATCGTACAAAAGTATGTGGATTTTTTGTTTGGCATAAAACATTCATACGTTCAATATAGAAAACAGCCAATTTTGTTGGATCATGTGAATAGATTTTTATGGTACCAATTACATTAAGCATTTTTTCATTCATTTGTAATGAATAATATCCTGGTTCAGTTATGAAATGAATTTTTTCTAACAAAAAGCAAAAAAAAAAAAAATCGATTACAAAATGATTACACAGTACACAAACATCATAAACTTACTAGATGGAAGTATATAACTTGGAACCGGATATTCTGAATTTTGTGTTATCATCATTTGATCTAAACGTTTTGGTTGTGTTGGAATATAATCCAAAAATTCCCAAAAATCACAATTCGAATTTGGAATGGAGAATATTATCATCATTGAATATAATATAAACATCATCATTATCGTTGCCGGTGTTGTTGTTGTTGTTGTTGTGCTGCTGCTGGTATTTGATGATGTTGTTTCACAAAAAAAGCAAACAAACACGCAAAGAAATAAAAACGAGAAAAAGCAAAAAAAAAAAAAAAAAAAATCAAACAACTCAAAATCAAAAATATTAACAAAAAGCTACTTTTTTCCATAAATTTCAATGGCTTTTTATTCACTTTTTTTCGAAATATAACAATATAATAACAACACACAACAACAAAATTTTAAATTCAATTAGAATTAAAATTAGTTTACAGTCACAAACACACACACACACACACACACACACACACACACAAAGTTGTTGTTGTCGTTGTTTTGTTTATCTTGCAAAAAAAAACCTTCTCCCTGTGTGTGTTTTTTACATATTATGCATCATAGAATTCTGGACGTTTACATAATGCTGGATATGGTTTCAGAAATTCCCATGAACGTGGATAATCACTTTCTAATGGTATTAGTTCTTTTGATTTTAATGGATGAACAGTGGCTTCAATAATTGAACGTTCTACTTCGTGACCAACGCCATTACCTGATGATATTAATTCTATGCCAAAATTCCAACACCATTCAAGTTTTACGATAACTGTTTGTGTGTGTGTGTGTGTGTGAAAATTAAATTAAGAAAAAAAAAGAAAAATTAATTTTGTTTTTTTGTTTTGTTTCTTTTAATAAAACTTAATCGAACTTACATCGGTCGTTTTGATTACCACAAACTTCATAACCACGTAAATCTGGTGTACGGAAAAAATCTATGGCTTGATGACTGCCAATAAATCTCATAAAAAATTTTGCACCATTCGATGAACACTAATATGGGGGTGGTGGTGGTTTTGAAAAACAAAAACAAAATTATTTTCAATAAAAAACCAATTATAATGTATGAGTTTTTTTTAATACTAACCGAATTATCTGCAATTAAATAATTGAAATTTAGATTTATCCGGTAATTCATATCTTCCAAATTGTATATCTAATCCACTATATTCATATGATTCAACAACATTATTCGGATATGGTATCCATGGTACATGCATTATATAACATGTACAAGTTAGTCCATGAATTATATTATTATTAATCATTGTGAAATTTATATGCGTTTTTTTAGCATAAAATTCATCAATCAAATATACTTGATCACAAGCTGTAATTATAAAAATAAAAATAAAGGATTAATTAATTAATTAATTAATTAAACAAAAATGTAATGAAACAAAATTCAAAATATTCAAAATATTTACGTTCAGGATTATATTTAAATGAAACTTTAAATTTAAAATCATGTCCCCATCCTTTTCTAATGATACGATATTCAATTTGTCCAAAATTCTGTGATAATGTTATTTTTACATGTTTTTTCTTACACATTTTATGTATACGTTGTTCCAATGTTCGCGTTGAATTAAATACTCTTGGCATTTGTAAACCATTTTTATAACGCCAACCATCATAAATACGTAAATAATTATCATCATCATCATTACAAACAAATTTTGCACTAGTAATTTCAATTTCAATTGTTTGTAAATTTTTTGGTGCCCGTATAAATAGATAACAATGTTTTTCATAAGTTTTCAATACAACACCAAGCGAATAATAACCAGGTTCTGTAAGTGTTTGTTCACATTCTTGACAATGAAAATTTTTGATTAATTTTTTTTTCAAATAAAAAAAGATTCACACACTTACCTTGATAATCTAATGATAATGGCATTCCAGATGTTTCTAAAGGTTTATTTTCACAATAAGCAACATCTTCATTTGTTTGACTGCCGACTAAATCACCAGTCCATAGTGTTGTAGCATCGAATACCATAAAATTATAATAATTTAAACTTGAATATAATGTAAGACCAACACTTGGACACATTATGGTCATTATATCTGTTTGTTTTTTGTTTTTTTTTTTTGAATGGAAACAAAATGGTTAATATGAAAACAAGAGTTCCATAAAAAATTAAATAATATATATATATACATACACGGTGGTGCAATACCCATTGAACTACAAAGTTCAATACCATGTGGATTTAATTTCGAGGTAAGACCAAATTTTTTACCACCTTCAATCCGAAGTAAATCATTTTTACTACCGGAGTTAGTACATCTATCTGTCTGTATTTTTTTTAAAAAAAACAATTTAATTTAAAAATAAATTATAGTAAAAAATTATGGACAAACCTCATTAGCTTTTGATCTTTTTTCAAATCTTGATAATTCTCGCTTAGGCTGACCAATAGAATATTTATAAAAATAAAATCGAAAACCTTCTAGATTTGTTTGTAACCATGGTAATTTTATAAAATAAAATGTACATTGTTTTGATGATCGATAATCTTGAAATATTAATCTATCGGTTGTGTAACGTTCTTTTGTATTGATAAGATATACATCATCACATACTGAAGAAAAAGAATATATCATTTGATTTGGATATATATAAAAAAATTTATTTCACAAAATACATTACCATTCGGTTCAAATACAAATTTCACTGTAAATGCAAAACCAGCCATTATTGGTGATCCAGTTTTACCGTATCCAGTGTCTGGTAGATAGAAATCAATTTCGGCAATATTCTGTGATGATTCAAATTCTCTATTACCACCTTTTACACATAATGGTTTATTTGGTAATGTTGTCTTCTCATCATGTGCTATTGATTTAAGATCTATATTTGGTATTGTTTCTCGATTATGTATCCAACCATCATTTGCTTGAACGAAATCAATATTAAAATAATCATAACAATCACCTTGTTTATTGATATTCAATTCAACCATTTTGATATGTATACTATGTTCGATTGGTGCATGAATTAGAATTTTACATTTTCTATCAACATTTACTTGACTCATCATTAATAAATGATAGCCCTGATTCTCTACCAGATAACTACAGCCTTTAACAAACAAACAAAAACAAAACAAAACAAAACAAAAAATTTACACATGTTTTCACATATATTCACTTACTTATATCATCAGCAAGTTGTAATGCAACAGGAACTTGTGGAAAATTAATCGATTCGGCTAAACATTCCAATTTATATGCCCGTCTTTTCATCATAAATTTAGTGCTCATAAATGATGTAGCTGTCAATGCTTCATAAGTGAATTTTATATGCTGTCTTTCACGTGTTGAAAACAATCGAACAACAACATTTGGACATAATACATAAATGGTATCTTCATAAAAATGTTCATTACAAGTTTCCATCCATGCTTGCATATGTTTAGTACTATAACCAGATAATGCAGCACCATAGCCACCGATTTCAACAAAATTTTGTACACCACGATTTAAAATTGAACACTAAATGCAAATGGAAATTTTGTTTATGTTTTTTAGAACAATTTAACAAACAAAAAAATAGCTGAAATATGGAAAAAATTGACTTACATAAACTGGATATGGTGCATGAATCATTGCATCTGAATCACCAGCATTCATTTGATCGATTTTTATCATCATACCTTTGAAACCGGCTTTATTCCATCTAGGTGATTGTATTATATATAAGGCACAAGTTTCTTTTGCTTTTTTATTTTCTATATGATAACTACCACGTGTTGTTTCTGAACCAGCAATAAATATTGTACATGGTTCATTATTCGGTATGAAACGCATGGCAAAATGAAATTGACCAATATCTCTTCTATTAAAACGATATTTTATCATTGCACCATTTTGTGATGAACGAAATATTTTTCGATTCTCTTTATTATCATTACATAATCGATCCTGTTCAGTATTGATTTTACTGTTCACCGGAAACACCTGTTCATACCATGACCAATAATCATGTACGGAAATGTAATTATTATTATTATCACACGGTGTATTATGATGTAGAAATTCAATTTCAATCAAATATTCTGGCGGTGACCATAAATATATTGAACATTCAAAATCAATTTTATGTGGCGATACAGATACTGAATAATTGCCATGTGATGGTGCCAATACATCGCAATCTGTAAATCATCATCAAATCAAATGTAATGTGATAAATGATTTATAAATATGAGTGAAAAAAAAGAAACAGATTTGAATTTTAGATTTTGTTTTCATGTTTTGATCATTAAAATTCGATTCATCTTAAAATTCGTTATATTACTTACCCCTTTATCGTGTCCAATAATAAAAACTGGTTGTTTAAGACTACCTTGTTGTAATAACATTAATGATGGTTGAAAATTTTGTTGAAATATCGTCAAAAATAAATACCACCACCAACCAATTAGATATAATGGTGATCTATTTTTTAGCAAATAAATCATCATCATGTGTTTGCTTATTACTATTGGTGATTTATTCAGTAGATTGATTGAATACACGACAACGACAATAAGAAAACGAAAGTTGAAAGTTAAACTCAGAAAACTTGGTGAATTGAAAAAAAAAAAAAAAATAAGCAAGCAAGCAAGCAAAAAAACAAAACAACAGAACAAAAAAATTTTTTTGGATAACCATTATGTGGAACCATATATATATTTAAATATTGCGCAAAAACAATGGTGAAAAGAAATTCGAAATCGAAAATTTTTTAATTAATTTTGCAACAACAAAAAAAAAAACAAAATTTAATAATTACAAATTTTTCTTTTCTTCAGACAAACAAACAAAAAAACAAAAATCGAATCGAATCGAACAACAACTACAAAAAAAAATATATTCGATCAAATTATTATTTGCCGATCACCAATCAATTTATCAGATTCATTTTTTTCTCAAATCAGGAAATTCTTCAATTGGTGGAAATCGTTGTCCATTCCATGGTGTTGTAAGACGTGTATTTTTGAATGTATGAAACAGATCAAATGGTTTTGGTTCTTCATCAATAAAATCAAAAAATTCACGCATTTTAGGATATTGCATATCCAATATTGTTTTTATATGTGGTTTTGTCCATTGTGGTCGTTTACAAAATGATTGTATGGTATATATTGACCGAATGGCATTGCCGGCACTAATTGTGTATCACGTAATGGTGCTAATGAGAATTCAATATAATTTTTAAATTGACCACTTGATACCAAACGTAGAGCTGCATTACGACAGAAACGAACTAGATATTGTACTTTTTTTTACAAATATTTACACAAAATTAGAATTAGAATTTAATCTTCTTTTTTAAATGATAATAATAACATACCTGGATATTCATCTGGTTTATAACAGAATTCAAAACCATTATCCACCAATTTCTTGGTAAAATCTATAGTATTATCACCATATAATTTTATATAATCATTGCTTCCCGATATTGAACACTGAAAAGAGGAATGGTTAAAAATTTAATTAAAACAAAAATCACCCCCATGATGAATAATTCTCTTACCGAATTTTTTGCTGAACTACATCCTGGAAATTCACCATGAATTTGTAATTTATGTATACGAAACAATAAACCGGATAATGTTTGTTGATCCCATGGTGAATCCAGCACAAGAAATGTACAAACACTTGGTCCTGAATGATGTTGTGGTGTTTGCATTTTATATGATTTTTGATTCATCGTTCGATCACGTGCACGAATAACCATATTACAGGCTATTGTAAATTAAAAAAAAATCGATGATTGATTGATAAATTGATTTTTCAATTAAATATATCTCAACTACTTACGAGAATCTGTATTACTAACGAATGCAATTTTGATCCTAAATCCACGACTAGTTTCAGAAATTTTATAAACAATTTGTGCTATATTCTGTGATGAACGTATCACTATTCGTTTTCTTCCACAAATATTTTCCGTTCGTTTTAAAAGTGATTTTTTCGGATGATCCTCATTATTTGGCCAGATATGTTCCCCATCACCATCATAATTATGAATCCAGCCATCAATAATTTTTATAAATGATTCTACTCCATCACATTTAATATCTCTTTCTTCGATATCAATATCAACCAATTGTGTATGATCGGCAACAACAACAATTGAACATTGTTTTCCTATTATGTTGTTCATTGCATTCAATCCATAAAGACCTTCATTCCAAATCATTTGTTCATTACAATCTATGGTGGAAGAGAGAGAGAGAAAAAAAATTGTTTTTATAGATAAAACAACAACAACAATATGCCATTCACACTTACTATCTGGATCCAAAGACAATGGAAATGTTTCCCAAGATTTTGGTTTATTTAAACAGGTAAATTCTTTAACAGTGTCAGTAATTGCCATTTTATCAATTGTATTTTTCAATACTCTCATCACGCTAAATTGTATAAAATTATTTGGTCTTTGTGGATGTTGTGAAACCATACGTATGGCAACATCTTGACAACGAATCAATGCTGCAAATGGAAACTGTTTGATTGGTGCATCGTTACAGATTTGAAAATCATCTGGTTTCATTTTCGATGTAAGACCAAAATGTATACCACCATCAAATTCGACCCAATCACTTGCTAAATATTTGTGGCTAATACATGGTTTTTTCATATGTTTTTTTAAATCTTGTTCTTTTTTTATGCCACCACTACTATTACCAATATTATAGCTAATAACATTAATCAATAAACCATCGATTGGTGTTGGACGCCATAATTCTTTAACAAAATATGTTGCACAAATGATTGATTGACGATAATTCCGAGTTATATATACAGGCATTATTAGGAATATCATCAACTGCATAGAATACATTACATGGTTCTTTAACAAAATGAAATCGTATACGAAACGTAATTGTTGTTCCAACTTTTGATGAACGATAATCAATTTGTCCAATATTTTGTGATGTACGAAAAAATCTTCTTCCACCTTTACGTAGAAATGCGATTGTTTCTGTTTGGCATGCTTTAAATGTACGTTCATCAATCGTTTTTAAATGATCAATATAATGTGGTATATATTCAAGATTATAATACCATCCATCGATTAGATTAATAAAATCATGACCATTACATTCGGTGATAGAATCATCTTCTCCAATTCGTAAATTCATTAATTCAATTTCAACAAGAAAACTTGGTGGTGCAATAAAATACATAGCACAATATTGTCTAACATTATGATGGACAACGGACATTGTATAGTATCCTGGTTCAGTAATTGATTGTCGACAAGCTAAATAAATAGATTATAATAAATAATCAATTGAATGGATATTTCAAATTTTCTTTTTCTCTTTGAAAATATTTACCACTAGAATCTAATCCAACAGGAACTTGTGGAAATATATCCGATGGTACTTTTGGACAAGTTAATTTAACAGGTGCATTTGATAATGAACTAATCAAATTTTTTGATATTGGTCGATATCTTACTTCAATATGTTGATCTGGTATATAATCTTCTATATGTAATCGAATGCCAATATTTGGACAAAGTACTGGAAATGGTTTATCATCTATGTCGAAAAAAAAGTTGATGAATTTCATTTCGAATTAGTGGTCATTTTACTTACAATAAGATCGGCTACAAAAATCAACTGAAACTGTCATTTCATGTGAATGAAATCCAGGTGGATCACCCCAGCCACCTATTTCGACAAAATTTGGATTTGTTATTCCGGAAAATCTATGACACTTTGTGTTCGGGGAGAGAGAAGTTGGAGTGTAAAGAATGAAAAAAAATTGATTATCAAATCTTGATTAACAACAACAATATATGAACATACCGAATATGGTAATGAAACAGTTGGTTCATGTTCATGACCCATTTTAATACTTGTTATTTGTAATGTTAAACCTTGAAAACGACCTTTTGTCATTGGTGTTTGTAATATATAAATAGTGCAATTTTTGGAATTTTTTGACTATAATCTAAACGTATTTTGCCATCACTATTCTCTGATCCCGGTATAAATATTGAACATGGTGTCGGATTATGAATAAATTCCAATTTAAATATGAAACCACCACCATATTTTAAACGATACACTATCATACCGGCATTATATGAAAACGTAGTCACAGTATTTGGTTCGCAAAATTTTTTTTTCCTTTGCAAAAATTTATTACCAGGATCATCGATTGCCGGAAATGAATGATCATAAAAAACCCATGAATCAAATGTTTCAATTTTACTATTAGAACTATCACATGAATATGCGCCAGCTTTTTGTATAAATGTAACCATTACTAGTTTATCAATTGGTGCAATTAGATATATAGAACATTGTGTATCATGCATTTGTTGTGAAACGGTTACCGAATAAACACCTTCGGTACCAAGTTCCATTTCAGCATCTAAAATTATTTGACAAAAAACAAAACAAAAAATGAATTTTAATGAAACGATATAACAAATATATGATGAACAAAACATACCTTCAGGACCAATAACATTATAGGTGATTGGATCACCAGCATTCGATAATTCAATGACAACAATCATCAACATCAGCAACAAACATGATGATTTGAGCCAATGATGAAATTTTCTCATAATAATGATTAGTATTTGTGTGTGTTTACTCAGTTAGTGATGAATGAATTAAATAAATGAAAAAATGTAAAAAACACACAACAGCAACAAGAATATTTTTTTAAAAAAGAAACTTTATCGTCGTCGTTAATACACAAAGAAAAAACAAAAAAAAAAAAGAAAAGAAAAAAAAAATTCAGATGAAAATTTACATTATTCACTATCGAATGTTTTTATATGGCTACGAACAAACAAAAAATTGGGAAAAAAATTCGATTTTTCAATTTTTCAATTTTTTCAATTTTTTTTTTTGATAAATATCAAATTAAATCAAATTGTTCACAATAACAATTTACAATTTATATTCTAAATTCAAATCAATGCTTTAATTTAATCAATTATTATAATTGATGATCATCATCATATTTTCCAATTTTATCATTATGCCAATTCGGTACATAATTACCCATTCTTAAAAGATATGTACAATTGAATTGATATAAAATATAATCATCGAATGGTATTCTTGGTTCAGGTACCAATTTTTGTTGTATTGCAAATTTTAAATCAATCCAATTTCTATTTACATCATTGTTCTTATTTTTTTCATTATGATTATTATTATTATCATCATTCTGTCTAGATATTAAACGTATGGTAATTACATCACATTCGGCTACAAGAAAATCTAACGGCGGATATGGTATCGGTAAACAATATTCTAAACCTTTTCGTGATAATCGTTCATTTTGTATGGCATCATTTTGGCCACCAATTAATGCATAATTTGGTAGATTCTTTGCTGTACATAATCGTTTATCGTGCATACAAATTTTATGTGATTCAATGGAAAATAATTCTTCTACATTATCAAATTTTGATTGCATTATAGTTATAACCATTGCCCTGATTGAAGAATTTGTTTTTATATAAGGTAATAATGCCAATGTAATCGAACAAGGTTTGTCACCATTTACACTTTGAAGACGATACACTTCTTCATTGTTTTGTTCTCCAGCTGGTATAATTGTATGACAGACTGGAATATTTTTTGTTTGAAGAAAAAGAATTGGTGATTGAAAAAATTTTTTGAAAAAAAACCAAACTTACGTGGTAATGGTTGTTTTTCGAAATTAACATGAAACAAGAAACCTTGATTTACTTTTAAACGAAAATGAATTTGTGCTGCATTCTGTTCGGTGCGTATTTTTTTTGGACGACCTTGACAAACATGATGAATACGATCTTCATCATCTTTACTACTATGATCTACACCAGTTTGTGGCCAATATCTTTTTTTAAACAATATACCATCAACCAAATTAACATATTGATTATCATCACATTTAAAATCGACTTTAAAAAATGATAAATCAATCAATGTAAAACGATCAGCCAGAACAGTGGTACGACATTCTTCAAATGTTTGTTTTGTTTCACGATAATAATAATAACCAGGTTTAGTGATCAGTCCATTACATACTATTAATATTAATATATCACGATAATATTAATAATGATGATGATGATTAAAATCAGATCATTTTTATAAAAAAAAACAAAAATATACTCTCTACTTACTACTTCGGTTCAATGCAACAGGTTTAGTAGGATCATTTTTGGATGATCTGTACAAGACATATTAAATAAATTTAAATGCACAAATCGATCTGGTTCCGGATGTTTTGTTGGATCTCGAATCCATAATGGTTGTACATTAAATACAACAGAATTATGTGATTTTCCACTGGATACCAGATGAATGACTGAACTACGACAACCGTTAAGTACAACATCGACTATTGTTATTGTTATAGGGAGAGAGAGAGAAAAAGTATTGATTCAATGTTTTTTTTTTCGTTTGTGTTCAAACAACCAACTTACAACTTTGATTTGTTTTGACATCCGTACACCATTGATATTTAGATGGTTTAATATGTGTAACGAAACCAAATACAAGGCCACCATCAACTTCGGCATAATCTTCCAAGCTTAATCCTGTACATTGTTCATCATATTTTTGCGAATATCGTTTCGTTCGCAGTGGTTTTGGAAAATTACCAATATCATAATCAATAAAATTCAATAATATTCCAGTTATTTTTGTTCTTTCCCATGGTGATTCAACCAAATAAATGGAACAATTTGTTGGATGTTTTACATTATTATTCTGTACCAAATATGTCGGTAAATATCCATCGGTTGTTGCAATTAAATGAACAACGGTATTACAAGCTAAAATTTTTTTGTTTGTTTTGAATAGAAACATAATTAATTAATCAATAAAATTATTAATCATTCAAGATTGGCCAAATAGAAAATCACTTACGATAAGGATCAAAAATAAAACGAACATGAAAATAAAATCCAAGTTTAGTATCGATAATTGTTATTGTTGGATGTTCATAAAGATAAAGAAGTTGTGCAATATTTTGTGATGAACGAAATATTTTTTTTTGCTTATTAAAACCAAATTCTTGTCCAATAACATATGCACATGTTGTTTCCATACGTTGTCTAAATGTTTTTTTCGAATGTTCATCGTTTGGTATATATTCCCGGTGATAATCCCAACCATCGAAAAAGTCTAAATGTGTTTTACCTTTACCATAATAATCACATGAAAATAACTGTGGTAAATGTATTTGTACCATTTCTACTTCGATAAGAAATCTTGGTGGTGCCAATAAAAAAACAGCACATTCACGTCTAAATGTTAATCCATCGACTCTCATAAAATAATAGCCTTCTTCTTTGAGCAAATGATGACAATCTATAGGCAAGAAAAACAAAAACAGCAAATAATTTTAAATATTTCATTCTGTGGTTTTTCAAAACACTTACAATCATCATCTTCTGTATATGGCTTATCATCAAACAAATCAATCACTGGCATCGGTATCGTTGGAAATTTTGTTGATGAATGTTTTGAACAAGTTAAACGTAATGGTTCCGAATGTAATGTTTTGAATACCTCCATTGTTGACATTGGTCGAAATTGAAATTCAATAATTTGTGTTAGCAATTTTCTAACCACCATACGTACAACAATATTTGGACATATTATTGGAAATTGATGATTAACTAAAAATGAATATGAATGAATGAATGAAGGAATGAATGAATGAATGGATGCGCAAAAAAAATTGGAAAATAAAGCAACAAAAAAAAATTCTTACAACTATTTTCATTACAAACATCATAATATACTTGTAATTCATCCAAAGGAGATTCAGGTTCGCCCAAATAACCACCTATTTGTACATAATTATTTCGTCCACTTTTATCACACTTTTGTTTTGAATATAAGAAATGAAAAAAAAATTATTATTATTATAAACACACACACCAACCAAAGAAGAAAATATATTTTACATACTGGACTAGGCCATTTACCAGGCTGTCTATTTTTTGAATAATCACCAACATCAAGTGTTAAAATTTTCATCATCATACCTTCAAATGTTCGTATTAAAAATGGTGGCTGTAAAATATATAATGATAGTACAATATTTTCTCGATTTTCAGCAAAAAGTTCAAATTTATATGTTCTGTTTGGTTTCGGCCATAAGGAAACTAACCGCAGCTTTAAAAAAAACCACAAAGACGAAAAATAATTCAAAATATATATATAGTGATTTATTATAAAAAAAATTGAAATGATAAAAATAAACCCAACTTACCCGATTCTTGAGGTTTAAATTGAACAGTAAAATCAAAACCAGTATTTACTTTTTGTATACGATAATAAATTTGTCCAGCATTTTGTGACATCCAAACCGGATTTTTATTCACTTGTCTATTTTTATGGCATATCGTTTTATCTTGATCACGTTTAACATGTTGACGATCACGTTTAACAGGAAAATATTGATCATACCAATACCAGCCATCATAATATCCAACATATTCATTATCATTACATTGAATATTACCATTATCATATTTTAATGATACAAATGTTCGTACATTTTCCGATAATATATAAATACGACATTCTTTATCCATTAACATTTCAGCTATTTTCACCCGATATTGTCCTGCTTGTTTTATTAATACATCACAATCTGTTGTTTGAAAAATAAAAACAATTATTATGAATTATGATGATGATAAATTTTTTTTTTCAAAATAAAATTCAGAAAATGCAAACCAGTTAATTTAGATCCAATGATTGGTTTGTTTCCAGAAGAATTAGATGCTGAAATTATTTGAAAAATCATCAATAAAATGATGATGATCAAATGATTAAAATGTTGTTGAATTGACATTTTGTTTTGTGGTCAAAACACAAACAAACGAACAAAAAAAAAACGGAGGGAAAAATGGGAAAACCAAGTGGGAAAAAAATATGCAAAACAAAAAGAGATCGAAGTAAAATTCAGAATTAAAAAAAAAAAAAAAATAAATTAGAATTATTGGTCAGCTATTTGTAAAATATTTATAAATTTCTGATTGATTTCTGGTGATTAATTTGATTAATAATTCTTTTTCTTTTTTTTTTTTGATTAATTGATTAATTTTGTGTTTGTTTCTCACTTTTTTTTTCTTGTTTCGATTTCCAAATTTTGGTTTAAATGATCACCATCACCATTATCTCCGAATCATCGAATCATCTTAAGATGATCTTCCATTGTTCCCGGGAACATATTCTTCATGTGCCTGTCTGTTTGTTTGTTTGTGTGTAAGTAACAAAAAAAAAAAATTGAAATTGAAAATTTAATATTCACATTTAGTGTATTTGTGTTTCGGCTTATTGCAGTGGTTTTTTTTTCTCATTTCATCGTCCATTTCATTTGTTATTAAGCTCATGTTTCAACGTCAACATTAACGATGTGAAGCTGTCGTCATCATGCTGTTTTCCTTGTTGTTGTTTTTTCTACAAAAAAAATTCAATAACAACAACAACAACAACAACAACGACGACAACAACAACAACAACAAATGGTTAAAATATTCAAATTTATCACATGCACATCATTAATATATGCAACATCATCATCAATGCTTTTATAATATATAAAAACATTAAGTTTTTTAGCATTACAAATGATTTTTTCTTGTTCAATCTGGAATAAAATGTGATTAATTATATGGATAAAATTCATTATCAATGTTTAATGATGATGATGAAGATGATGATGATGATGATAGTGATTGTTGTTGTTGTTGTTGTTGTCATTGTTGCTTTTGTAATTTCCCTAAATTTATCAATGATCGACGATTATGACGCTTGATGTTGTCAATCGAAAAGATAATAGATAATGATGATGATAATCGCGTCACTATTGCTTGTCGTATTTGAAATAAAAAATGATTAACAAAAAAAAAAAAAAAAAAAAAAATCATAAGAATCTAAGAAACCAAAAAGAACAAGGAATCACCTTATCTATCCTTCGCGAAAAGAAAAAAAATTTCACTCGGTCATTATCATAATTACTTATTTTTCTTTTCTTTTTTTTTGTCATTTTTCAATGCTTATAAAGAACCACAGATGACCAGAAGATTAACTTAGTATCCAACAAGTGTACAACGGCTAAAAATCTATAGAAAATCAGCAACAACTGATAATCTGATTTGTGAAGAAAATTAAAAAAAAAAAATGTCCAAAATTATTTTATTTCTCGTTCTATTCTCATCGATGATCCATGATTCATATCAACAATTTGGTTTTTTCGATTCAGTTTCCGATTTAGTCGGTCTTTATGATGGTATTGATTGTTCAATGAAAATTGTACAAATTTATTTCCAACAATATCGACAGCCAATTTGTTGTGTTTATTGGCAATTTCGTCGTTATTTTGAAAATAAAGCAAATGATCATTGTGAACAGCCAGAAAATATACGAAAATTATTATCCGGTGAAATGTTACGTGATTATGCTGATCTATCAAATTTTGATTGTGGTGATTATTCAGAAAATTCATCCGATTGTTCAAGATTTTGGTCATTAATTTTGACCATATTTGTTTCACAATTAATTTGTTTGATATTGTTTTTTATTACAACCATTATATTGACATGGAAATTATATCGAAGACATTATTATTTGAAAAAATTATCACCATTAATGAAAACTATGAAAAAAATTCAAGTGAAGCAACAAGTTTATTGACAACAACAACAATAATTACTGATGATGATAATAGTAGTAGTAATAATAGTAGTAATGATGATATTGGCAGCAGCAAAAACAGCAGCATCATCAGTATTAGCAACAGTGATAATGATGATGATGATTTTTTTAGTTGCCATCAACATCATCATCATCATCGTTCATCTATGTCATCGATAATGAGTAGTTATTCAATTTAAAATATAATTATATATATCATATACATTGCCATTATAGCAATCCATTCACCATGATCTCATCTTATTTTTTTTGTTGTTTTTTATTATTTAAATGAAAAATTTTTTTTTTGTAATTATCAAAAATCATCATCATCATAATGAATAATGAATAATATTAATTTTATTATAATTGAAAAAAACCGATCAATGTGAAATCAATCGATTTTTTTGTTGTTGTTGTTTTTTTTTAAAAATTTATTTTGAAAATAAAACAAACAAACAAAAAAAAATTTAACATTCATATATTTGGTGGTGTATATATATAATTATAGGAAAATGGAAATTTCGATTATAACCAATTAGATAGATAGTCAATGGAAGGTGGATATATATATTAATGTATTGAATGTATTGAATTTGAAATTAGAATTTGCTATAGAAAGAAAAAAATAATAATTTTCTGCCAATGATAATAATTTGTTGTGTTCCAATTTCATTTTGATATGTAAGTGTGTGTGTGTGTGTGTGTGTTTGTGTTTAGAATATATATCGATAAATCGATAACTTTCGATGTGATTATCACGAATATTTACAACAATTTTTTTTTTTTTGTTTTTAAACCAAAATAAACAGAAAAAAAATGAAAAATTCAATCTATCGTTGTTGTCATTTGTTGTTTTTTTTTGTTCGTTTGTCATGGCGACGATTCATCGATTGCAATTTGTTTGACAAGATTTTTTGATTTCGTTGTTGATGATTGTTGTGAACGATTTTTACAATTTTCAGATTCAAATTCATCAACAATCGATATGGCTGTAATTGATTGATTATTGGCATTTATTGTTGTTGTATTTTTATCCATTGATGTTGTATTATATTTAGGATATTTATTACCATTTGATTGTAAATAAATGGTTGGATCATTGGTATTGGAATTATTATTTGAATCACTTTTGTTTGATAATTTATCCGTTATTATTGCCGTTGCTGTACCATTCGATATTAATGATAATGAATTTGTAATTGATGGTGTTTGTTGTTGTTGTTGCTGCTGCTGGTGGTGGTGGTGATGGTTTTGATCATTTGAAATATCATATGGATATTTCGTTGGTAATAATTTTTGTGGCCATATTTTCCATGCTAAATGACTTAGATATTCAGGACGAATTTGGGCTATTTGTCGATGACCACCAGAAATTAATGAACAAATAATACTCAATGATAATGATATGATACAACCAAATACTGGTACTAATAGATAGGATATGTGATATAATTTCATCATTCCTTCACGTTCATCTGATAGCGGTATTGATGATACAGTGGTAGTAGTAGTTGCTGTTGTTGTTGTTAATGGAAACATAAGATAAGTATCGGGTGAAATCAGATTTGAAACATTTAAATGATGATGATGATAATGATGATCACCAAATGAAATTGTAGGACATTCAATTGATGTATTGTTTAGAATTTGTGCCGGTTTTGGATACAATAACGAACCAATCAATATCCATAGACCGAAAAATTCGCCAACAAATAATCCACAAAGTACGCCCTGTAATTTAATAATTATTATAACGGTAAGAAAGGAGAAAAAGATACAACTAGACACTTACAAAACTATTGGCAAATGGAACAAGAATACCGCATAAAAATAGACCAAACATTGGTCCAACAAGTGCACCGGCAATTGAAATGGCTGCCTCTAGAATGGAATTTATTTGGCTAACAACAAATGCCATTGCAATGGCAGCCATACCATAACCGAATGCAATTAATTTACTAATTTGTTGAATTTGTTTTTCCGGCAATTTACGTACACTAGTACGTGAAATAAAATCATCATATGTAACAGTGGCTAATGCATTGAAACCAGAACTCATTGTCGATAATGATGCACTAAATACACACGATACAAATAAACCAGCCATACCGGGTAGATGACGAAGATGATTCATAACAAAATGTGGCATTAATTGATCAGTTTTTGTTATAGCACCGGTTTTCAATGGATCGCAATCATAATAAACACCGAATAATGCAACACCACAAAGACAAGCACAGCTAATAAGAAATGCAACACCCAAAAAGTTTACATACAATGATCTATATTGAATAATAATAATAAAAAAATTGATGAATTTCTGATCAAAAAAAAAAATTACATACAATTTAGCTTTACGTTGTGTAGTCACATTACAATAACGTTGTACTTCGGTTTGACTTGTTGCATAATTACCGCTCCACATGGTTCCCATGCCGATTACACAATTCCAGAATGTTGTCGTTGAATAGATATTAATTTCAGAGCTAAATTTATGCAATGAAACATCAGTGTTCAAATGAATTTTTTTTTTTGAGAATCAAAAACTTCTGGAAAACTTACTTGAAAAATTGTAGACGACCATATTTACGTGAAGTTTCGAATGCTTTTTCAATGCCACCGGCTAGATAGAATCCCTTAAACAAGAAGAAAAAAGACCAATTACAAACAGTTAGTTTGCACCGAAAAAAACACTTACTCGAAACATAACGACAAATAGACCGGCAAACATTAGAAATACTTGAACAACATCAGTCCAAACCACAGCTTTAATACCACCGATCGATGTATATAGGGTGCATATGCAGCCAATTATCAATATCGATGCTGTTACACTAAGACCGGTTACGGTTTCCAACGCTAATGATGGTCCATATAAAACAACACCCATATATGGAACTGTACATAAAAGAAATGAAAATGATACGGCCAAACGAACACTTGATGAATTGAAACGTTGTTCAAGATATTGATTAACCGAAGTGAAATTTAAACGATAAAAAACTGGCAAAAATAATTCGGCAGCAATCATACTGGCAGCCAGACTGGATAATATAACCATCCAGAATTGTGTACCACGATAAAACATTTCAGCTGGATAGCCAAGAATTGTGACTGAACTTTGAAAACTAGCCAATAAAGACATTGCAACCGGAAATAGACTCAATGATTTATTTGATGTAAGAAATTCTTTATTGGAATGATTTTTACGATTCTAAATGTAATGAAGAATTTTTTTTTAAAAATTTGTTAACAAAAAAAAACACTTACTTTGTAAGCAAAATAGATGCCAATACCGGATGATGCGGCCAACATTGTAATGAAAACGGCAAAATCCCATAAAGTGAAACTATAATAATTTTTCATATCTAGATCGGATGTCGATGAATCTGATGCTGATGAATCAAAATCAGCCATATTGATTTTGTCTGATCGATATATTTATAATCTGAATGATGATATGTGGTGATTAAAAAATGGTTAAGATTCAAAAATGATGGATTCTGGGCAGCAAAAAAAAGGATCAATTTTTTTTGTCGATTCGCTCAAATTCACATTAATTATCCATTTTTGGCGGTGATAACGAAAAATTTTTTTTTTTTTTGGTTTTGAAAACACAAACACAATATTTGAAAGTAATTTGGCTTGAAAATCTTTGAAAGTTTTGAAACAAATGATGAATATTTTGTTGCTGTTGCTAATTTGTTTGCATATTGTGAATATGAAAGAAAAACAGTAATATTCAGCACATTTTATTTGGACGTAAAATGATAATTTCGACAACAAAAAAAACGGGAATCAGATATCAACAACACGGACAATATATTGAAATCTTCACTGTCATCATCTCGTTATATATTATATATTATATATATCCAAAATTGAATCGATACGATAGAGAAAAACGAAAGACATACGGGATATCGGGACCATCGGACAAGAAAAAAAAATTGTCAAATGTCAAATTTATTTTTATTATATTATCTATAATGACCATCAAATTCATTCATTTTTGTTGTTGTTGTTGTTGTTGTTGTTGTTTTTCTTGCGTCATTTCATTTTCAATCGATGATTGTTTGCTGACAAATTGAACCAAAAAAAAAAAAAAAGAAAAGAAAATTAGAATGACACAAACAATCGGTATGATGACAATCAATTTATAATTAAATGATGATGATGATGATGATAAAACAAGAAACTTTGAATGACAATTGGATTTTTAATCTGTTTTTTTTATAACTATAGGATGACCGAAAAGAAAATTTTCTTTCCTTCTTTCTGATAATTGCGAAAATGATAATATTCATCATCCAGTTTTAGATTTAGATGATATATAAAATGATTAATATATCAATTTTGCTTTACGTTTTCTGTTTTACGGACAGAAATCAAAAACCAAAAGAAAAAAATGTACATTCAACCTGGATCATAAAAAAAAAATTTGGCACACACACACAGATAATCATTAAAATGATAAAAATGATGATCTGAAATTATTAATTAATTGGGCGCTCACACGCACACACACACAGAGATAGTTAAAATTAAAAAAAAATACCCAGAAAAACATTAGAAAATGCAAACATTTGGCCAACAAAAAAAAAAAAAATCTTTTTGGATCTAGAGTGCAAATATTTACCCAATTTGAAAAGCAAAGAACAATCATTATAAATCACAATAGTCGGCTGACGTCGGTTTCATTTTTTTTTTTTTTTTCTAATGGAAAAAACAAAACAAAACAAAACACAAATCTTGAATCTACAAATTGATTTGCCCAATACTCATCATTAAATGGGAACAAATATCAAAAAAGCCAAAAAACAAAACAAATGTTTATCATAGAAATTATATTTACACACACACACACACACAGACAAACAAACACACAGTATTGATCATCACTAAATCGAATAATAAATCAATTTCATTGCCAAATATGATGATGAAGAAATCTTGTATAAACAAACATCATCATCATCATCATCAATACATGAACAAATAGAGCAATGTAATGAAACAATCGATATATCAAAAAAAAAAAAAAATTGATATGCATTACATCAATTTATCGGATCAGAATGGAAACGAAAATCTTTTTTAATGGGTTTTTTTTATAGGTCGAATCATGATGGTTAGATACAAACTACCTTGAGATTCTGTGAATAAAAAAAAAACGAATGAATGAATGATTTTTTTTTGTTCACTGGCAATTTTTATTCGATGAAAAACCAGTAGTAGTTGTTTGTTGTTGTGTGTATGGTAGCAGTGAATTTGAAAATTGTGTGTGCGCGTGTGTTTGGCTTTGAAATTGATTATCAAAATTGAACAAAAAAAAAATGAAAATGAAAATGAAAATGAAAAACACCAACAACAATAAAAACATTGCAACGAATCTCTGTAATCATCATCATCATCATCATATCATTCATTTAAGTCGATTTATCACGCACACACAGAGCAAATCACAAACGAATTCATTGTGACCGTTTAAATAGTGATCATGATGATGATGATGATGATGATGATGGAAACAAAGTAGCATATAATAATCAAAAAAAAAAAATTTCAATCAATCAATCAATTGAATAACAAAAACAACAACAACAACAACAAAAAAAAACATACAGAGTGAGTGGTAAAGAAAAAAAAATTGATTAAGATAATTTGATTTGTTTTTGTTGTTGTTGTTGTAAGAACCGTTATTATCGACAAACAGAGAAAAAATAAACACAGAAAGAAACCAAAAAACATTTGATAATCAATTTGATATTTGTGGTTTCATCAAGTGATTATCATCACGATTTTGAATTTTCAATGAATGAATGAATGAATGAAGAAGAAAAAAATCACATGAATTTCAAATGTATAAGTGTGTATTTGTATGTTTCGATGACGGCATTGAAATGTCAATAAGTGTGTGTGTGGTCAGAATGTCGAAAATACCTGTGTGTGTGAAGATCTCTATATGCATATATATGTGTGTGTATGTGTGGAAACCAGAAAAAAAAAATTTTTTTTCAGCTATAAATAACGAAAACCTTGGCAACAACAGCAACAACAACAATGGTGATGAATATGATTATATTTCATAATCATGTGTGTGTGTGTGTGTGTTTGAAGCAAACAAACAAACAGAAAGAAAAAAAAAATTCGTGGGAATTTTTTTTTCTGAAATTTTTTTTTCCGTTGATGGAAACAAAAATTATTACGAAAATTACGCACTGTTTCGTTTGAATGATTTTTTTTTTCGTTGACCACTTTGTGTTGTATATATGAGGAAAAAAAATTTCCGGAAATTTAAATAGCCAATGGTTCTGTCTCTCTCTTCGTGTGTGTGTGTGTGTGTTCATTTCATAATTCTGAAACAAAAAACTGTTTCAAGGGCCATTCATATCATATATACCGTTTATGTGTGATTTATGGTTTTGTTGATTTTAAACTTGTGAATTTTTTTTCTGTGATTAATGATTATGAAAGGAACCGGAAACATGCATCATGCATTCACAAAAACGGATCATAAATTCATGTCACCACCACCACCACAACCACCACCCACCACAATCATCATTTTGAAATGAAAGTGTTAAAAAAAACCTTGAATAAAGAGATAATTATTATCATTTTCACATACCTTTTTATTATATTAGCAGTAAAAGACTATGAATTTTTTAAAAAAAATCACGTGACAACTAAATACCATGTCTATAAATCGATAAAGATGAAAATTCCAAATTGATGATGATGGCAAAGAAGAAGAAGAAAGAAATGAGAATTCCATGCTTAATAATAATTCTGGCATTTTTTTTTCTCTTTGGCATCAAAAATTTACAGCAATGGCCAAAGACAATAGACATGAAACTAAAAACCCGGGAATACTAGACTAGGATTCTGGGCCTTGGAATTCGAGTTTTTTTCTTATTTTATTTATCATGTCAACTTGGTTATTGCTTGTTCTGTATGAAATAGGTGTGTGTGTGTGTGTGTGTTGTGTGTGTGTGTGTATGTTGGCAACAACAATTCATTAACCGAATAACATATTTTCATAATCCGATGATATGATATGATAATGATGCTTAGAATGCATATGGTAGAATAAAAACAAATCAATAACCGAAATAATAATAATAAAAAAAATTGGGTAACCTAGTCTTCTCTCTAGTATTATTATTATTTTGTTGTGGTGTAATATAGAAACCAGGCCAAATATATAATTTATACTACCACTACCTACAACTGCTACTATGTGAATGATGATGATGATGTTGGAATGAAACGTTATTAGTTCAAGATCTAGTTCATGATATAATATTCTGTTGATGTTCCAAAAAAAATTTGGGACAAATTTTTATTTCATCGTAAAAAATAGTAGCAGTAATAGCAGTAGTGGTTCATTGAAAAGTTGAAATTTTGTTTTTTTTTTTTGGTATATATAGTATATTGGCAAAAAAAAAAATAAATAAAAACCGGTACTTACTGGTTTTTTTACGACGACGATGATGATGGTGATGTGTTGTGGTGGGTAATTCCTCCTCCCAAAATTAAGCCAATGGTGGTGGTGGTGGCGGTGTGTGCGAATCACATGGATGGCAAATATTTTCCAAACAACAGCAGTTTATTCTTGATAAAATTCTTGGATTCTTCCAACCATTTATTCTGTAATAGAAGCAACATCGTCATTTGAACACGTTTCCAAATATTACAGCATCATTAATCAAATCAAAAAAAAAAACCAAAACAAATAATACAGAATACCCGCACACAAAAATACATGTACTATTTATTCTTCTAGAAGGAATTTTCAATTCTTAATTAAAATTCGAGAGGTTTTTCATTTCATTTTATTGATTTATATATATATGTAAACACATCAATCAATCAATCAATCAATTAATTAAGGAATATTCGATGATAATATGATGATGAAATTGGTTTATTTTTTCAATAATTTTTGCAAAATAAAAATGTACACATTCATCATTCATTCACACACGCACACACACCGACCATCGACAAACATAACCGAATAATGACGATGATGATGATGATAATCCGTAGATATATCTATCTTTTTTATCAAGTATGAAAAAAATAAGATTCAATGATAGTAGTGGCAGTCAGTGTGTGTGTGTGTATGTGTAAGTAATCTTTGGTGGCCACCATCCATTTTGGCCTTCAATTTCCTATTCATTCATTTCATTATTATGACGCTTGTATTTTCTAATTTTTTTTCTGAAAATTTTTTGTGTACGTGGTGTGTGTGTGTGCGTTGATAAAAATCGATGAATATAAAAATCTCATTCATAACAAACACATACCATATTTCTCATTTACTTACTTACTTTCGATATATATTTCACGAAGCAAAATTATCATTGAACACATGACGCCATCTATCGTCGTTCACAATGAATCTATTTATTATTTTTTTCTGAAATTCTAGAAAATTATTTTCTAAGAAGAAAAAAATTTCCATTTCTCATTTCATAAATGTATTTCCTCATGATGTTCTTCTTGTGTTGGCTGTTGCGGTTGTTGTTGTTGTTGTTGTTGTTGTTGTTGCGGTTGTTGTTCAACATTTTCACTTTCACTTATCGATCCATCTCCAATCATCATTGCTGGTGATGAAAATGATGATGATGATAAGTTAGGTGATGTTGTTGTTGTGGTTATTATTGGCGGTACTTTTGGTGACAACATTCCTTTGCCTGAATTGAAACGAAACATAATTTTCGGCGCAATTTTATTGCCAACCGATATAGAATTCATTTGACTATTGTCATTGTTCTGTGTTGTTGTCGCTATCAATGTCGGTGATGTTAATGATGATGATGATGATGGACCTTTATCACTTAATGATCGTTCGTTTATTGATTGTTTTTTCTTTTTTGTTTTACGTTTTCCTTTTCCTTTGGTTTTTTTTGATTTCGTTGGTGATTGTGTTGTTGTTGTCATTTTTGTAAGCATTGCCGATGTCGATGGTGCCATTGTTTTGGCCAATTTTTTACGTTTTTCATAAATACAGGCTGCAACTATTAAACCGATTGTAATCAGAATATCCAGAGTCATCAATACAATGACAGCAATACTGGATGCACGGCCACAAGAATCTTCACCAGCAAATCTTTCACAACTAAAATCATCACATAAATCAGATTGATATGCACAGCGGCCACAATGGGTTTCTAATCGTTTTTCTGAACGGCAATGTTTTTCAATACATTTACAGAATAATAAACGGCCACAACAACGTAATAATTCGGATGGTCCAACTTTATTCACAATATGTGATTGGGAAAATGTTGAACATGTTGTCGATAATTCACTGTTACAGGGGGAAAAATAAATGTTAAAATTAATTCCCAAAGAAAACACAAATCGCTCACCCAAAATCATCATTATCCATTTGTTTGTTTTCTGGCAATACAAAAAAAAACTCAATCAATCAAAATGAACAAAAGAAAAGAAAAGAAAATTTCAATTCGATATTTTTAAAGGAAAAAAAATGGATCTTTATTTAAATTTTCAAATTAAATCAGAATTTAGAATTTAGAATTTTTTTTCTTGTTTGAATAAATTTGAAAATTCAAATTTCGTTTGTAACAAATAATGTTTTCCATAATGAATGGAATATTATTCGAAAAAAATTACTAGATTCAGCCAATGTTCGATCATGATGCATACGTTGAATGTATAGAATAACATTTCGGCTAAATATTGCTTCAATTCTTTCACCAAAAATAATCGATATAATCTTTACACCTGTTGATAATAATCGATGCCAGAAATAACCACAACCATATGATTGATTCCAATTGATTGATTTCAATGCATTTTGTACATAACATTCAGATGTTGGTATTGATATACCAGGTGGAATGGCAATCATTTTTGATTGTATAAACAATGGCATAAGGGCAAAAATCAATACATTTCTAGATAAACATTCATGATGTAATGTTTTTGAAAGATTTAATATAAATGCTTTGGTTGATGAATAACTGGCATAAAATCCTGAATGACGTTCAGCTACATTGGATGACATGTTCAATATTAGACCACGTTTTTGTTTTATCATTTTCGGTAATAACATTTCAGTCATTTTAACGACACTAATAATATTCACATTAATCATATTATGATGATAATCACTGGATTCAAGATGAAAATAATCCGATTCATGAATATTAACAATACCAACATTATTGACAAGAATGTAAACATCTTTATCTTCAATAATCGATTTGATTTGATCATAAATATCTAATCGTTGAAAATCCACGCCAATAGTTTCAATTTTAATATTAATATTCTTATTGGATAATTCATCTAGAATCATTTGTCGTTTTATTGTTAATTTTTTCAAATTTCGGCTTATCATCACAATGTTATAACCTTTCAATGCTAATTGTCTTGCAAATTCATAGCCAATACCATCGGTTGCACCGGTAATAATAGCCCAATATTGACCATTATTTGTATGCCAAATGAATGGACGACGTTTACAATAGTTCCACAAAATCATTGAAATTCGGATCACAATGATAGTGATAAAAATTGTATTTAGATCAAAAAACATGGTTGAATTTTGATGACTTTGAATGGACCTGTGTATGGTCGCGTTTCAAAGTTCGGCGTTACTTTTTCAGCTGTGGTTAGATCATCCCGAATGTAAATCAAGCGGATCTCTGCTTCTGTTCCAGTTATTATTTTATGCCGCATACATGTTCTTTTGAGCATTTAACGAACAAGATATCGTTTATTATACTAATCAGGGATGGAATGAGCCGTTGATCCATAAACCAATCTCAGCTGAAGATGATTGTTATCTTTTGGCTTTTCCAAGAAGCGACCATGGGTAACATTTGTTCATTGTTGTCCCAAAGCCGGATTGAACTTTTAATGCTGAAACGTTCAATATTCCAATTTCCATGGTTGAATGCTGCTGTGCGAATATGGCGTTTAATGCTGAATTAATTTTATCAACTCGTGGAACAATTGAGATTCGAATTGAGTTCCCATTTATTTCAAAGAGCTGGATCCATTGTGTCACGAATAGTTGGGATGGTCTGACTGGCAGTTCCGGTCGATCATCATTATAAGACCTGTTTCCAGATTGGTGATTGTGGTAATGGTCCAACAATATCGATGTTTGATGTGTGAAACTCGAATTTTGCATCGAATATCGTTTGTTTCGGTGGAACAATGGATTGTGCTCCATGGATTTTAGACTCACTCATTCCAAAAATGTACACTATTGAAATGTTGAATGAAGAATGAATGTTTTATTTTTTTTCAGAGAAAAATGGAGATAAAAAACAAGATGAAAATGCGTTTTTCACTTGCAAGTTATCCAAAAATAACTTGTTTTTCAACTTACTTTTGAATTAATGAAATCATACAATATTAATAATTTCTTCACAGAATGGATAGATTGTTATCGGTTTTTTCAAAAATTCTCTTTATTAATATGAATGTCGTTTAATTTTTGAGATTCTCCCATTTACCATTTAAGTTGGTGGTCTGACTGATAGATTGATTTTGTTTGAAAGTTTTGTCGTTTTTTGGCAATATAATAACAAAATGTATGTGTAAAGTTTACAAATGATTTTGTGTGTGTGTGTGTGCGTGTGCGCATGTGTGTGAATCACCTGGATATTTTTGTTTTTGTAGCTTTTTCAAATTTTAAATCGAACCTTAATATTACAAATTACAAATTATAGTGAATATGTATATAATTTTTAATTAATGAAGAAGGATATAATACAAAAAAGTGGCAAATATTGTCACAATAATTGATAATGTATTTTTTGTGCAACAAGCATAACATGCTATCGGATCATTACTATGTAAAAATGGAAGAAATTCACCCAATGTTTCTTCCAGACTTACATCCGGTCGAAATAGACGTAATTTTTCAACATGATCAGAAAATATTCGATCCGTTCGATTACGGAACATACCGGCCATTAAAAATGATTTTTTATATTTACCAAAAAATGTTTCACTTAATCGATCCAGAATGTACATTGCATCTAATCGTATGTCGATTGGTGTAAACATTGATGTTGCTATAATTGAATCCGGAATGGCTGTTATATGGCAACGATTATAATCATAAATGGTTGCTTGATGTAATATCCGACTATTAATGTTGTTATTATTATGAAAATCATTAACATCATCGATACTATTACCACGTAATAAGCCACCAGTACGTGAATCAAATAAATCATTCGGTATACGACAAAGTAGACGAAAATCTGAACTTTTCAAATCACGTGCCCAACTATTAGGGAATCGTGAATTTGTTAAACGAAGAATTGTTTCATGTGAAACAAATGCAACATCACCACGTCCTTCCACTAGACATCGTATGGCACCATCTTCACCGCTATATCTTTCACCAAAATTCAGATCACAATGATGATGTCCACGATCATCACCAATACATTGTGAACAAAGCTGTTGTACACCGGTACCATTTGGATTGATACGTGCATCAGCTGCACCTGGAACACAACTGCCACTAAAATAATCGACGATAACTTGTGCACGATTACAACTGGTTGGTTCCACTAATTCATCACGTATAAGGAAACCGATCGGTATTGTCCAACTGGCTAGATGTCCAAATCCACTATGACATGAACGTTTATCTTTCATATGCGATAACATTGATAGATCAGAATTGGAACGTACAACCGCAACTGAATATTGTGGTTCATTGCTCACTTCTTTCGCTAATGCTTGTAATGATTGATATCTGAACATTGAAATAGAGCAATTAAATTTAAAAAATTAACCAAAAAAAAAAATCCCATACCTAGCACCATAATAAAAACGATCAGGTGATAAAATCATCAGATCAGCTTTACGTTCGTTCAATAAACGTACACATGTTTCTTCAGAATCTGCTTGATAACAACGAAGTTGTGGACGAATTCTTCGTGAAAATGCTGCCTTTTGCAACTGTTGACATTTACTTAATTCACCATCTTTACTTAAACATAATGTAATGTTACGTTTTGGACATCCCTGTAGATTTTTATCAATAGATGGCATAAAAAATTCCAAATAATGACTATATGTTACTGGTCCATCTTCTGGTTTTGCTGGAAATATTTGTACCAATTGTGTAACATTTGTTGATGAAACAAATGATTTATCAAACCAGCTTGGTCGTAATTTACTGAAACGATTAAATATCAAATGTAAGGAACGAAAATAAATGTCTTTATTTCGATCTGAATTTTCAACAAAAAAAATGAAAAATTAGTCAGCGAAATAGCTCCATTGATTATATTTACCTCTTCCAGAACGTATAACAAATGCATTTGTTGTGTGTTTGGCCCAATGACAACCACGTGATGTAATGGCCATCCGTGTTCCATCCAAACACAAGAATTCAAACATTCCAGCTATAGATGATCGTTGTTGGAAATATTTAACAGCCACTTCAATAGTTGTGAATGCAATTTCACCATGACCTTCAGTCATACATTTAATCGAACCTTCGGGACCGGCAAATCTATCATGTTCACTACAAAGGCCATCATATGTTGTATCACCACACAGTGTACATAGACGCCGATGACGACGTTTAAGTTCATCATCAAGATACGGATCCGTTGACCAATTACCAGCAGCACATGCTTCAAGAAAAAATCTTTCAACCGTATGTAATTCTGATCGACAATCCGGTACCATTGTTTCATAAAACAACAATAAACCAACGGGAATATTCCATTGATAAAGATCATTATATGGTCCAAGACATGCACGTTTATTTTTCAAATCAATCAATGAACGTATACGTGTATCACGGCGTACAACAACGGCTGCACGATTCAAATAACTATTACCATTATATTCTTCACGTACAAATGGTTCAAGATTATATATACGGCCAGCCATATAAAGTTCTTCAGCATCCAAATTAACAATATCGGCTTCATCACGATCCAATAGGCGCATACATTCAAATTTATCACGTGCATTTATACAGGAAAATAATCCAGGAATATTATCGGCCATTTGATTACAATCATCATATACGGATTGTGGTACACAGATTCTTGTACGTACTGAATTCAGAAACAAAAAAAAAGTTTTTTATTTGTTAATTAAATTAAAAGAATTTTTTTTCAGTGCAAATTTGCAATAATTTTTTTTTGTTTCTGTTGTTGTTGAACATAGCCAATGGGCAAAGAAGAAGAAGAAAAAAAAATCTATCCCGGATAATCATGCAGGAAACATGGAAAAAACACAGGTTTAATTCAGGTAGACTGATCAATCAATCAATCAAAATTTTTTTTTGCATTGATTATAGTGGTTGTCATCATTATCATCATCATCAAAAATAGTAATTATTGTCGAAATTGGACATTATTTTATTATTATTGGATTTTTGTTTTACCTGACATTCATTCATTCATTCATTCATAACACAATGACATTAATCTAGTCGAATTTTTTTTTTCATCGTTGTTGTTCTATGTTTCTATATATGCAAATTTCGCCTAAAGACAAATAAACAAACAAGAAAAAACACACACACACACACATATAATGATGATCAATCGATCGATCAATTGATTGATCAATGGATGTGTATCGCGCGTTTTTCACTAGAAAAAAAAATTATTACAAACCTAAAAAAAAAATAGCCAATTGGTTCCAAGGCCATAGTGTATCAAACAAGAATAGCAACAACAACAAGTTGGAATCATCATTAAGAGAATGGGAATAATGATGATGATGATGATGATGATGGTGAAAAAAAAAAGTAATTTCACTGGAATGTTTTTTTTTCGAACATTAAAGAACAACATCGAAAAAAAACAAAACATTGAAATTGAAGGTGAAAACCCATCCATCGATTTTTGATGTTTTTGCCAGATTTTCTTATTGACATCATCATTGATGATTTGTGAATGGAAAATAAAAAAAAAATCTCACTCACTACACAAAAATGAAAAATTAAGACAATGACTATGGATTTGTCGAGTGAATGTGTAAAGTATATTTACACAAAAGATTTTCACTTTTCTTGTTCCATTTTCTGTTTTTTGATACACAAAATTCAATTGTTCAAATCAAATTCGTTGTTGTTGTTGTTGTTGTTGTCTATTATTATTCTTCATATATTCAGAACAATAAACAGAGAAACAGAAAATCAATCACTGACCTAAATTAATCAGTTTTTTATGATGATGATGATGATGATTATCATATCTGAGAACGAAAAAAAAAACTTTTTTTTTAAGATTTTCATGTGTCATAATCTTAATTTTGATTTTGATTATTATTATGTTCATCATCGATTATATATCGATAGTCCTCACTTTTTTTTTATTACACACACATATAATCGATTGTATTCTCAACAATCGAATCGAACAATTTTTTTCATTTCATTCGATTTTGTTATTATTATGAATAATAAATGATGATAATAAAGATTTTTCTTTTCTGCTGTTGTTGTTAACCTGAAATATTTTATGTGTCCACCAATCGATCGATTGCATCATTATTATTATCTACTTTTTTTGTATGATCAGCTGATGATGATTATGACATGTCCATATTCATATCATATATTTATATTGTAATTATATTTGTTATTTTATGATAATAATAATCAAAATCAAAATGAAAAACTTACTTTGTGCATATGATAATAGACAATGATGATGATCAAATAAAATATCATTGATGAATAAAATGAAAAAATTTATCGATATGATGATCGAAATTGTTCGATTCATTAATCGTCGAATGATTGATAGGTGAAGCATTTTGTGTTTTGGTTTGTTTGAATTGATTGAATTTATTAATTTAAATGTCCAATACAGGAAACAGAAAACAAGTTCTTTTGGATGTGAATGAATAAAATGTCAACGTCGCCGGGACACAACTTTTGGATGAATGAACGAATGAATGAATGAATGTCACAACGATGATGACGAAGTAAGTTGTTGGTCAATTGGTCAGAAAATCTAAATTTAAAAAATGAAATGAAAAAAAAAAAAAAACGCTATAAAATTTTACGCACAAATTGATCTAAAAATAGTAAAATGGTTATTATAATTACAGGAGAGCAACAACAATCAAAAAATGATATACAAATGATGATGATGATGACGATGGATCAATCAATCAGAAAACAAAAAAAAAGAGTCAATGATGATGATGATGATGAAGGTCATTTGCTGTCATAGCCCGAATAATAAATGTCTACATAGAGACATCGAACGAAAGAGAAACAGATCAATCAATGGACAATTGTCATCAATTAACAATCATCATCATCGTCATCATCATCATCATCATCATCATCATTTGGATGTCAACAAAATTTTGACAAAAAACGAAGAAATTAATTTCTTGAAGACATCATCATCAGCAAGAAAAACAACAAACAAACAAAACAAAACAAAAAAAATAGTCGAAAGCCAATGCAACAGGAAAATGAACGAAACAATCGATTGTTTGTTGATTCAAGAAACAATGATGATCATGTGTGTATGTCTTCTTTTGATTATAATCGTATTATCGATGCTTTTACTTTTTTTATTCTCTATTTTTGTAAATTTTTTTGTTTTCATTTTCGTTTGGTCATGATTACCATTCATCAACATCAACATCAAACATCGATAAGAGATGGACTTTTTTTGAGCTTCTATGTTGTTCTCTGTTCTGTTCACTGTTTTGTTGTTGAACATTGTGCATCATCATTTCATTTCAATTTTTTTTGTGCAATTCTTCATGCCAATTATTAGTGAATGGAAAAAAAATTCAATCATTTGGAACAAACGCGACTATATGCAATTACACAAAGACGATTTGTTTTTTTTTTTTTTTTTTTTGGGAGCGTACCATGATTTTGTTTTTTATTTTCATCTCGTTATTGGTTTGGTGGCTGTATAGAGAAAAAAAAATTTGCCAATTTGACAAGCAAATTTGTCATTGATCAAAACAACAACAAAACAACAACAACAACAACAACAACAACGATAATTTATATTTTCCGCTTGATAATCATCTTATAATGAAATTTGATTTGCATTTTCTTCGAGAGAAAAAAAAAAACTTGAATTTTTTTTTCTTAAAAAACACACAAAAAAAAACTATTGCCATTTCTTGGCGAAAAATGACATTGAGAATTTTCTTTTTTTCCAAAGCAAAGATTCTTTGATGTAACCAGAGTGAAAAATAAGAAAATTCGCAACAAAAAACTGATTGTTCCATCATCTAAATAATGTAATGGATCGATTGATTGTATCCAAATGGTTAAAAAAAATAAACGAGAAAAACAATCAAAATTTTTGCATAAATCATGTGTGTGTTTAGAATTAATTAATTTAAAAAAAAACTTAATCAAAATCGATTATCATAATGGAAAATTTGCATCTTTTCCCTCATTTCAAGCTCGGTTTTTTTTCTATAATTGATTAAAAAAAGGGAAAAAACTTCACATCACTGTTCATTCATTCATTCTATTTCCGAATTTGTTTTTTACTAATGGATAATTCGATGCCAACCTTAAGCACACACACACACACACACACACACCTGATATGAATCAGCAGCAAAACAAACAGAAAAAAAACCACTATAAACCCGATGATGACGATGACGATGAATCAATCGATCACAACCACTTGATGATCATGATGATATCCAGCCACCAACCACCACCCAGTGAGTAGTATGAATATATCGATATACAACTTTGAATGCAATATATTCTTGAAAATTGAATTTTTTTTCCTCTCTCTTCACTTATATAATCAAAAAACAAGTAGTGACCATTATCATCATCATCATCATCATCATTATTATTTTATTGAATGAATGACGATGAATGATGATAATGATCGCTACTTATATACCCTTTATAATTTGATTATTATTATTACGTTTCTAAAATGGATGTGATGTAAAAAAAAGACCATTATTTTGTTTTGGTTGTGAAAACAAAACAAAACAAAACAACAAAAAACAAATTCAATGGATAAAGGTGCGAAAGAGAGAAACAGAGTGATTCATCATCAACATCATCACTCACATAACAACAAATTTACAAGGTCAAGCAATTTTTTTTAATGATGTTTAAATGCAAAAAATTCAAATTCAAATTTTTTGTCAACAAAAATTTGAATTTGAATTTTTTTTATGCCAATACCAAAAATCAACATCCGGACATTTATGATGAATATTTTAGCGAGATTTTTCGTTTGTTGTTGACCAGAAAAAAAAATCAAATGTTTGCAACGGATTTTTTATTTTTATTTTGTTTCGGTCAAATTTCAAACACTTGGCCAAAACAACAAGTAAACGAAATTTAAATTTAAATTTCGGATTTTTTTCGTGTGTGTGTGTGTGTGGAAAAACAAAACACTGACCACAATCGGATTGTTGTTTTTGTTTATTTATCTGGATCTGTATTGCTGTTGTTGTTGTTGTTGTTGTTGTAGTGGTTGTCAATGGAAAAATCAAGAGCAAATCATCAATTTTATCGATTCACAAAAAATCAATTAAATGTGACGAAAACACACACACACAAAACAAAACAAAACAGAAAAAATTATTATCGTTTTATGACTTGTTGGACATGTTTTTTCTTCTCATGACATTGAGAGATGCTTGACAAGAATTTGAACAAATTGCGAAATTTTTCGAAAAAAAAATCGATCACCAAAAAAAAATGATGGATAAATTGATTGTGTGGTGGCGTTGTAAATTCTTGATTTCAAAGAAACAGAAAAAAAAAGTTTTTTATTTGGCATAAAAATACTTGTTGAATATAAAAAAAAACAAAACCAAAAAATTTTATTTATTGCTTAAATCAAGAAATCAAAAAAAAAAAATTTGCATAATGTCATTGGGCAGAAAGTGGCCAGTATTTTTATTTGAAAAAAAAATTCAAAATCAATTCGACGACGACGGTGAAAAACTGGTTGGACGGTCGATCAATCGATAAACATACACGCACGCACCGAACAAAAAAAAACATTCAAACAGTTTAATTTTCAATCATCAATCGCGATTCATATATATAGTTTATTGGTTTTGTTTTACACAAGAATAATCAATACACACACACAATACACACACAGGTTTGGATATCAAGATCTACTGTTATTTTGGCTGAAAGTGAAATAATAATAAAAAAAATGTTCATGTGATATCTGAACCATCTTTCTCTCTCTCTCTCTCGTTTTTCAAAATTTCTCACTTTTCACACTTTGCATACACACACACACACACACAGGAAAGCATCCAAATTTTTTTTTCACAATTGATTTCTACGATTATCAAAGTTACAAATGGTGAAACAAACAGAACGACAGAATTGTCAGAAATAAATGAATTTCGAAAAATGTTTGTCATTTTCAAAACAAAAAAAAAAAAAAAAAAAATGAAAATAATAAAGTAGCAGCAGTAGCAAGAAAAAAAGTGGGCGGATAATTTATAGCAAATAGACCATCAAATCATGAGAAATACAACTTGGAAAAAAAACCTACTGACCAACTGCCTGATTGACTGACCAAAACAACAACAACAACAACAACAATAACAACGAAAACCAAATGACCACAACCAACAAAAAGCAACAATATAACAATGGATTGACAAAAAATGATGATGATGATGATGTTACAAACAAACCTGGCTAGTAGATATGTTGACCGATAGAGTAAAGTTTTTGTGTTGGAATTTTTTCAGTCAGTTTTTGTTGTTGTTGTTGTTGTTGTTGTCGATGGGATGCTTGACCATTGAATAAGCATTTTTTTCTACATTTCAACCACGTACAAAGTTCGACAAAAAAAAAACACGTATCCATTTTTTTCCAACTTTTAACAATCATTATCATCATCATCATGATAAACTACTGATGTTCATTGTTCACTGTCCACTTTTTTTTTACTGTCCAGAAAAAAAGTATCATCATCATCAACATCATCATCAAAGTTGGACTCATTAAAGAAAAAAAAATGTCCAAAACAATTATCAATGACGATGATAATGGTGATATGGATGTGGACGATGACAAATAGTAGTTGAATGTGCATTTTAGTGTGACATTAAATGGTGGTCATTTTTATTAGATATATCATAAGATTGAAAATTTTCACTGTTTCATTTTGGCCACAAACTAACTGATAATGAAATTATGAAATTTTTTTTTTACTTTCAAATTTCAGATGAAATTGTCCAGAAAAAATACATCATCATCATCATCACTAAATTGTCACGCAATCGGTCGCAACAGGTTAATTATTATATTAAGGGTGTTGGCCTTTTCTTTTTTTTTTTTGTTCAATTCGGTATCGGTTACATATGAAATGATGAATCGAGTGTTCTGAATTCGCAATTTTTTTTTGAAAACGAGGAAAAAAATGTTGTGTGATACACACACACCTTGAATTTTTTTTTTTTTTTTAAAATGAAAAATTGGTCAAAAAAAATGTGAAAAAAAGTCAGAAATAAGACATCATTCATTTTTAAAAAAAGAAAGAAAAAAAAGATTCACTATCATCATGTTTGATCTATTCTCTATGGTTGATGATGATAATGATGGTAATAATTTCTGTGAAAAAAAAAATTTTCTCACTATTTCGCCACCATCAATTCAAGGTCTTGGAACAACGAACAAAAAAAAAATGAATCTCAAATCATCATTTTAATTATTTGAAATGAAGAAAAAAAAATGAAAATTACAGCCAAAGTGAAAGAAAATCTTGAATTTTTAATCCTTCATTATCATCATTACCATCATCATCAACGACAATTGGAAAATTTTCATTTTTTTTAGGTTCCCAAAAAAAAAAAAAAATTCTGTCAAGTACTTGCTATCTATAGTCAAATGAAAACAATAAAGACTTGATTTATGACAATTATAATGGTTGAAGAATCCATATACAAACACCATAAATGCAATTTTAAAGCGATTATTATTCAGTGAAAATGAATAGAAACACGTTCAACAACAACAAAACAACAACAACAAAAATGGAAACGAAAATCCAATTGGCAACGCACAGTAAAATAGTGATAATGGAAAAAAAAAATTTCATTTTCAATGTCAACCTGTTGATTCTTTTGTTTTGTTTTTTTTTTAATTCTCTTTTTGATGAATGAAATGAATTCGTTCGTTTGTTCGTTCATTTTTCCTGGTACGGATGTGTGTGTGTGTGTGTGTGTGTATAAAATAAAGATATCGAATTTCACCTGAATATAGAAAAAAAATAGTCGAAAAAAACGTTCAAGTCATCAATCATTATTATTGACGAAAAAAAATAAATTAAGCAAATTGATAAACGATCATCATGTTTGATGTTGATTAAAAATACACTACGAATTCGCTATTCACATAAAATCATCTCATTCACACACACACACATGTGTGCAAATGTTTGCGAATTTTTTTCTTTTCTTTTCTTTTCATTCTCTCGTTTTCTCATTTCATTAAAAAAACAAAAATTCAATTATTAAACTTACCTCAGGCATATCTCGATTATCGAATAGAATCGATTCAATTGATTGATTAGAATTTATTGATTATTGATGATAAAGACTAGTTGATCGTCGAAACATGACATCGATATTGCAATAGATAAGACAAGAAAAAAAAATGATCATCATGATTATGATGATGATGATGAGGAACAACAACAACAATTAGATGTGAAACAACGCTATTTTCACATTTTAATGCAATAAAAACATCATCATCATCATCATCATCAAATTTTCTTCAGAGAAAAAAAATGTAGAAATGTAGACTAGAGATGTATCGTAATATTCAACAACAACAACAACAATAACAAAAGATTACATAGACATAAAAGATAAAGCAGTAGACAATACACAAATGTACGCACACAGCAAGTAGTCAGATGCACCAACAAAAATGTATTTCAAAAATTCTCAAACAACGACAAACAAAACAAAACAAAAAAAAAGATTCGATAATAATAATGTTTCCCAATGATGATGATGATGATGTTATGGCTGTTTTACAGGAAGAAATGAAAACAAAAAAACAAAATGATTCAACAACATTCCATCAATGGATGATGTTGATGATGATGATAAAATTTGTATGGGCCATCATTTCATCGATGGCCTCTCACATTCACCACACACACACACACACACCATTTTTATCATTATGATGATAATAAATATGGACTGACCAATGGATCATCATCATCATCATAATCATAATAATGATGATGATAATGTTGGTGAATACGGATGATGAATAATAATAATAAAGATGACCATAACCACCACAGAGTTCATTTAAGATGATCAATCGTTGTAGTAGTCGATGATTTCATTGTTGTTGATTTAAAAACTTTACAAAAAAAAATCGTCGTTGTTGTTGTTGTTGTTGTTGTTGTGGATACATACACAGATCACGTATATCCAAATGGACACACACAAGGCAAAATGTAAATCAGATCAAATCAATTTTTGTTTTTTTTTTAATTTTCGTAAATGAAGAAAACAATTTGTTTCTCTTTCTCTTTCGTTTTCATTTCTCTCTCTATCTCTTTTACATTATCACGAATAATCTAGGATATAATTGAAATCCTTAATCGATCCCAGCCAAACAATTTGGTTGATTCATGAAGGAACGAAAAAAAAAAAAAAAATTTTTCATTATCAAATGCACTATTTTTTGGTTGTTTGTTTGTTGAAATCAATAATGTGTGTGTGTGTGTTTGTGATCAGATTTTCAGCTGGCCAATATGTTCTGTTGAATCACAATTTTTTTTTGTCCCTGAAGAATGAGTAAGTGAGAGAGAAAAATGACTCGAAAAAATGTTTGTTATTTTTTTTTTTAGATCAACAAGAAAAACACACACACGCACTTCAATGAAGATCTAATGAAAAAAAAAAATGCAACGAGGTCAATCAATATGAGCTTGTAGCCATTTTAGTCCATCACAAACTTGTGTTGTTCATCATCATCATCATCATTATTTAAGTCAATTAGATGAAAATGAAAATACGTGTCGAAAAAAAAAAAATTTTTGTAGACATGAATGATGTTGAAACTTGAAAAAGTGTATCATCATCATCATCATCATCGTCATCACCATAAACCGATGCTTTAAGGTGAAAAAGTTTATTTTGGATCCTCGGGTAAGCAAAAAAAAAAAAATGAATAAAAATCGAACATTTTGACTTGAGGTAATATTTATTCACCATTCATAGAGACTATGTGTTTTTCAATACAAAATCCATCATCATGTCATTTATGAATTGCACAATCACTTGAATAAATCGAACATATTTCATAATATATTATCCGGTTGTCAAATGGACTTGTCAAAAATATCAAAAACTCAAAAAATCAAATCAATAAAATTTATTTATTTTTTTTCATCGAGCAAAAAAAAAAATTTAAAGCAAAATTTCAATCACCAATATTTAAATCATCCAACATTTCTTGTAATGAAATTTCCGGTACATCATTATCGTCGCCAGCATCGATTGCCATTTCAGATTCAATTTTACGTTTATCTTTATAAATATTAATATAACGTCTCATAACATCATCTTCTTCTAGATCTTCCATAAATTCATTATAATCATCATCCATACGATTATCCATTGTTGTTGTTGAACTACTTATTTGGCTAGCCGTTTCATTCAACAATAATCGACGTAAACGCCAACGACGACGTCTTTTACGTTGGGCACGATCACCATAATATTTTTTCACAATTATACAATCCGGTATTTTATCCGGATGTGATTGTTCATAACGTTCCCAATTTGGTTCATTTAAATTAGCTGTACTCAAATCAAAACCAAGAATAAGATCACCAGGATTTAATAGATGGCCAAGATGTGTACGTGTATGTATCGGTGGTGAGCTACCAATTTCCGATGATTTTACCAAATATGCATCGGCTAATTCATGCTAAAAAAAATAAGGTGAGAAAACATTTGTTATTCATATATGAAACAAAAAACATTTTTTACACTAACCTTTTGTGATTGTCGAAAGTTGACAGCACCACCACCAACATTTGTTGCCGAAATCATATCCATTTCCATGATCGTATATTCAATCAATTTATTTGAATAACAAATTGAACGAAATGGTGCACGAAAATAAGTGGTTGCGTTCATTTCAGCAACTACAATAGAATGTCCAGTCAGTCAGTCATGGATGAATTGTATTACAAATCAAATAACAACGAAAACAAAAAACAAACTTACCATTCAATGTAAATGGATCAATCAATGTTATCTGATTTGTAACACGTAATACGACACAAATCTGACCAATATTGCCCAATTGTTGTGCAGTGGCCAATGGAAGACAGACAACATCATCCTTGCAGATTGGTACAATTTCCACAGCGAATGTATATTTATAATTATAGGTATTATTATGTGTGTCATGTGATATCAACTGTTTAGATGTTGTATAACGACATGGTACCATTGATTGAAGGAAATCAACCAATTTTTTGGCATCATCACGTTTATCATAGAAAAAATCGATACCATCATGAATTTGTTTGACATTCACACATCGTTCATGGGCTTTATATTTCAATAATAATTGTTCCAAATAATAGAATGTTTTTTTATGTGAAACTTTTTGTCTGACTTGTACTACGGCTTTCCAAAAATCTTTTGCTTCTCGCCGATGACATTGATCACACATTGATGTATGTACGATGTATTCAACTATGAATATCTGCTGTAGTATTGCACCACCCATCACTTCTTTCTGTACGGTCAGTTTAATTTTCAATCGTCTTGAATGTGGTTCTGTCCATATGAAATTTGCATCAATCAAATGTACACGATTTAGATTCTTTAATTTTTTCAACAATAATGACATCAATTCACGTGATTCAAGTTCGGCCACTACCCATTGACCCATAGCTTGTTGATAACGTTCACATTTTTTACAGAAATAAATGATCATTTCTTTCGGTATGCCTTCGGTGATGTCCACTTTTGAACGTAAACATGATATACATGTATTCGATGGATTTGGATCGATCAATGTTCCACATTCACAACAAAGTCTTTACAAGAGAAAAAAAATTTCAATTTTCAAAATTAATACACCAAGAAAAAAAGAAAAACAAACAAACTTACATTTTTGATGGTGTTTCAGATTGTGGATCCACTTGAATATATTCCATTTCTTAGTTGTTTTTCGTTGATTAAATCATCAATTTCAAAATGATTTTTTGATGCAAAATTTTTGCTCAACAAAAACAACACGTGGAGATTCCGTACGACAAACGCCATCTGGTGTTGATCAGAAAAAAGCTAGTCAAGATTCGAATTTTTTTTCCATTTGGTTTTTTTTTGTTGTTTACTTTTCATTCATTTTTCATCCACATCATTGTTTAGATCGTTGACGATGATGGTTGTGTGTACAAGCTTTTTCCAATTACATGACGGAAGTATGTTGTTGTTGTCGTTGTTTTGAACAAATGATTCTGTCTTACCATTCTGTTTTTATCACATAGATTTTTTCCTACATATTACATTGATGATGATCATCATAATGATCATTTTGATTGGCATTCGTATTGGTAAACAACGAATGGATGATACAAATCAAACTATTGAACAATCGAAAAATTCATTCTGGAATACTGTACGGCAACATCGACGTGGTCATGATAAACGAACTAAAAACAATGAATCATCGACAATAATGAAAAAATCATCATCATCAACCATGTCGAATGATGAAATTAATGATAAATCTAAAGCAAAATCTTCTATTCGAAAGACACCATCGTCTCGAAATATACGTAAACGATCAGCATTGAAATCTTCATCACCGTCGTCGTCGTCGTCGTCATCGTCAAAATCTTCACAACAATTGGCACAATCAGAAATAATCAAACAAAAGCATTGAAAATTATGAAACAATTACAACAATAACAAACAACCAAATTAAACGAAATTGAAAAAAAAATTCAAAATTATTATTCATGTATTATCATCAATTTATATTGATAGATTAATAATCATTATCATCATCGTCAAAAAAAATGGAAACAAAAAAAAAAAAAAAAAAACAGACGCAAATTGGATTTTTTTGTTGTATATTAATGTTTATATTTGATGAAAAATGATGATCATAGATGGCGCTTTGTCATATTTTGTGTTTGTGTTCGAAATTTTCGATTCTTCGCGAAGAAATGAAATTCGATGATGATGATTACGACGAAAACGTAAGTGGATTACATAATAGTTTTTTTCTTTATTTAACATCATGAAAAAATTCAATTTCAAACAAAGTTAGAAAAAAAATCGATTGCTGCAACATTATTATTGGGTTTTTGTTTTTGTTTTGTGTGTGTGTGTGTGAATGAGAAAAATGAAAAAAAAGACGACCAGAAGAGAGAGAGAGAGAAAAAAAAAAAAAAATAAATCAACTATCGTGTATAATAATGATGATCGATTGATTTGTTTAAAAAATAAATTCTTTGTTTTTTTACGTAGCATCAAAAAAAAGAGAATTGGTAATAATAATAATAATAATAATAATAATCGATAATCATATTAATAATCAATAATAAAAAATAAAACCTGACCACACAACAACAACAATCAATAAATTTCATGATGATGATTTTGTTTACCATTTCATTACATCAATCAATTAATAATTAATAGAATAGAATTTTTTTTTTTTGTTTGAAAATTTTCAACAGAATTAAATGGAAAAAAAAGAAAATAATGTTTGAAAGAAAGAAAAAGTTCCCTGAAGTTTTTTTTGTCCGTTTTCTCTGAATAATTTTTCGTGTTTTTTTTTTTTTTTTTTTTTTTGTTAATCGCGCTTTGTGTGATTCCACAAAACGATTGCCGGAAATGTTTCCGAAAATCTACATTTTTTTTCTTGTTGAAATAAAAAAAATCTAATGTGTGGTGTGTGTGTGTTTGAATGAATTTTTTTTTCTTTTTTTGAAAATTAAAAATCTAAACTAAATCAAATATTTAGTTTTTTAAATTTTTCATAGAAAAATTTCAAATCTTTTTTGTTGTTGTTGTTCGCGCCATCGACAATCACTATTTCTATGTGTCTTGTTGGTGGTGGTGTTGGCGTCCAAATAATCAGAACGAGAGAGAGAGAGAGAAATGAAAACAAAACAATTTTTAAAAAATGAAATTAAAAAAAACGAGAAAAAAAATCAAAATTGTTGCAGCTTTGTGTAAAAATAAAAAAAAAAAAAATCCATTGTGCCAAAATAATGATAATGACGATGAAATGTGTGCATGTGTAGCTAACTTATCCAGAGAATGTGGAAAACATTTTTTTATTTCATTATTTGCGTCTGTTATGTCAAAAAAAAAAAATAAAAATAAAATAAATGGATGAGAGAGAGAGAAATGTAATAAACGAACGAGGATCTGTCCTCGTTAAAAAAAAAGCTTACATTATTAATAAACCTATATTCAAAACTAATTTACTAATGTAATAAAGAAGAAAAAAAAATCATAACCTGTCATAATAAATCGATAAAAAAAATTATTACATAATAATGGTGAGAAAATTTCCGGAATAGAAATTACCAGGAATTTTTCAAAACTTATCATTATTCATCTTGCTATTTCTATTTATTATAATCTGATTCTATATATCATTGTATGTAATGTCATTTGTATATGTGTGTGTGTGTCAGGAAATTCGATGAAATGAAAATGGAGAGATAGATTTTTTTTTCTTGAAACGAATCAATAATCAATAAATTGGATGAATGTAAATATTAAAAAGATGATAATGATAAAAGGAAGAAATTGGTTTGTTTTGTCTCTGTGTGTGTGTGTATATATAAAAGAATTGTTATATATTCTATAATGCAAAAAAAAAATCAATTGATGAAATGGAAGTTTCAATGATAAAGATATGATAATGATGACATTGAAAATATATATGGAAATGAATCATCATTATCAGATATATAAAACGATTGTTCATAAAAACACACTAATGATGTGAATGATAATTTTTTGTTTGTTTGTTTGTTTGATTATTCATAATTCAAATTCACTATTCTATGAATAAATGGATGATGGTGGCAAGAAACAAAGCTCTTTCTAATTATTAAACAACATTTCCGGTGGACATTGTTTTTAATGCCTAAAAAAATTTTTTGGGATGAAAAAAAAACATTTTTTTACACTAAAAAAAAAAACATTAACAATGTACAAACCTCTTCAATACAGGATAAATCCTGTGATAATTTCTGTTTCAATTGTAATAATTGATTACGTGGCATTGTCGAGAGATCTTGTTTACGTTTTTGGAATGCATTCGATTCATTTGTACGCATCATTTCCAATTCTTTTTCCCGTATATCAAGCCTTGATAAAGCCTATACGAAAATAATAAAATTAATACAAAAAACACGTGACAACAATAACTGACCTCATCACGTTGTTTTTCAGCCATTTTTTCACGTTTCTGTGCTTCATTCAATTGTAATTGGCACCACTGAAAATATAAAATGTTTAAATCAATAAAATCAAAACAACCACAAGACCGTTACCGTTACCTGTATGACTTGTTGCATTGTTTCCTGTGATTCAAAAAATCGATTTTTTGCTGCATTATTTTCTTCTTTTAATCGTTGCATTTCCATTATTGCTGCAACAACACTCTGTTGTGTTTGATTAGTTGTTGTTGCAGCTGTTGTTCCATTAACATTATTCAAATTAGCAGCAACAGCAAATTGATCAAATAATGATTGATTTGCCGGCAATGAATGCTGTCTGGTGGCCAAGAATGTTGATCCAAGAATTGGTGATGCGGCAGCAGCTGCAGCCGCTGCATTCATTTGATGATTCGGTGGTGAAAGATTAAAACCAGAAGCCGATGTTGAACGATGATGTAGTTCACCATTAGTATTAGCCATTATACCACGTGGTGGTATATTAATCGGTTCAGATTCATTAAATGAATATGAACCACGTCTTAACATTGAACCAAATGATGATTGTACAGCAGCTGCTGCTGCCGCTGAATCCATTGCCGTTGTTGATGAATGACAATTATCAATAACATTTGCCGTTTTCGGTACAAAATTATCAAGCTCATCAAAACTGAGATCATGATTATTTAACATTGAATCAAATGCTGTTGCAACAGCTGATTGTTGTTGTTGATGCTGTTGTTCATATAAAGAATTCGTAGAAAATGGACCACAACCACCATTCGATAATACCGGTTCAATCGAATTAGTTCCAGGAAATAATGATGAACAAGATGATGCTGTTGAAAATAATGATTGCTGTGGTTGTTGTTGCTGGTGCTGCTGCTGCTGTTGTTGTTGCTGCTGATGTTGTTGTTGTTGTTGTAGATTTTTATTTATAAATGCTGCAGCTTTATGATGTAATAAACTATTTTTATTTTCTAACCAATTTGTCATCAATGCTGATGATGTCGATGTTTTCATCGTATTCGATGTTGAAAATGATCTTGGACGTGCTATTGGTCCAAGAATATTTTGATTATTATTTTGATTTTGATTTTGTTGCGGTTGAGAATTATTTTGGCTAGCTGTTAATTCATTTTGAGCCTAAATTTTTAAATTTTAAATTTCAAATTAAAAATTGTCCAAAAAAAAATCAAATCAAATACCATTTGATGTTGTTGTTGAGCGTTGTTTAAATCGAATACACCAAATTCAACATGTTCCGGTAATGATGAAGCAATCATCATTGATGATGATGATGAATTGTTATTATTGTTATTTACAGCTGCAGTATTATGATTTGATGCGGCGGATGATGATGAACCACGACTATAAGAATTGGCTCGTACAATTTCCATTGGTGATGTATTATTATTATTATTATTATTTTGATTCTGATGATTATTATGATGATGCGGTTGTTGGCCATGATGATGGTGATGATGATGATGATTTGATTTACCCGTAGTCGTTGTCGCTGTTGCTGTTGTTGTAGATGATGCTGTTCCTGCTGCTGCTACGGTGGCTGTTGATGCATTATTAATAATTGATGATGGTAACAGTTCTGTATTTGGATTTGTTGCAAATTCTTTGGCCATATTAATTTCATCTAGATTAAAACAATTAATTATCATTTAATTAATTAACATTTATATGATGATATGAATAATTAATGCATACAACATACCGGTATTTTCAGAATGTGCAAAAGCACAGAACGGTCCACGTGGACAATGACCCGATTGTTGTATATCATTACATTTAGTACTTTTATAAATTTCTGGATGAAATTGTTGTTCAGTACGTGTATGACAATAGATACAATCATCTTGATTTTCACAATTATTCGGATCACCCCATTCATCACCTTGTTTCACCGATGGACACGGTGTTGAACGATATTTAAATTTTTTCGGTGATCTACGACGATCTTTATTATTATGATATTGTGGACAAGCATAGCTACGAACAAACAAAAAAAAAATTCAATTAAAATCAAATTATGCAGAAAAACATTGTGTTCTAAAATCTTAACCAGAAAAATAACTAGAATCAACGCCTAAATCCTATATGGTCTGAAAACAAAATCTTTTCGGGGCCATATGGGAAAAAAAATTCCACCGACAAATTTCCAAAGAAATCATTAACAATTTTTAGCATGAAAAAAAAATCTTGCCATAAATTTTCCAAATTCTTTTCTCCTTTGTCATCATCATCATCATCATCATCTTTTTTTTCGTAAACACCTCGAAATTTCATCAACCCGAAAAACTCATCATCATAATATATTCAGCGAAAGAGAACTTTCAAGGCCATATATCCGTTAAATATTTATTATATTTAAATTATTCGAAAAAACAACAAATACCAAAAAAAAAAACAGGATGATGATTCGCCCACCCCTATACAGATGTTTTTAGCCAACCGAAAGTAAAGAAAAATCTGACTTCAAAAAATATAAATATTTTTTTTCAGTGTTAGTTGATCGATATATTTTTTTTCGGGATAAATATGTGTTGGTGGTGGTGGTAGTAGCGGTATTTTAATGTGTGATATGATGGCCATGACCTTCATAATCATTGTGAATGAATCGTTTTTCATCATCATCATCATCATTGCGCATTTCAAATTTTTTTTTTTTTAGTTATTTATTACCAAACAAATCGCTTATTATATCTCACCATCATCATCATCATCGTTGTTGTTGTTGTTGTTGTTGAAGGTCATTTATAAAATGGGTACGGTACCCTCACTCTTTAAATTTCTACATATATTGATTCGACTCGAAAAATTTTTTCTTCATTTTCTCACAATTTTTTTTATCACTTTCTATTTACGACGACAATTGATTGTGTCATATGATGATATTTACAACAAACACATTTTTTTTTTATCGTTCGATACCCTCTCTCTCTCTTTGTTAGGGCCTTCTAACTGAATTCTTTTCGGGAATCGACCAATTCGGTACTATTACGATTCTCTAGGATCATTATATCATAACCAGATTATTTATTTTTTTTTTCGTTCATGATGTATGAAATAGATTCTTGAGAATTTTTTTTTTTTCGTCCACAATTCTACTATACATTGGAATAAGAACTTTAAAAAGAAAAATACACCATCTATCTAGCTAAATTTAAAATCTTTATTTTTTTTCATTTTTGCTACTACCACAAACACACACACATCATTATATTATTTTGCTTCCAGAATCTGAAAAAAAAAAATTCAAGGTCAGAATCACGCATGTGCATTACGAAAATAATTGAACCCTATCAATGACCTAAAAAATCATCGATTCTGTTTTTCTTTCTTTCTTTCTTTCTGATGATGATAATAAAGCGAATTTTTTTTTTGAATTAGTCAACCAAACAAACAAACAAACAAACAAAAAAATAGAAATGAGAGAAAAATAGAAATTCAATTCAAGCAATCATCATCATCAAACTGCTATTTCTGTTTCATCGTCATGATGATGATGATGATGATATAACAAAACAAAACAAAACAAAAAAAAAAAAAAGACAGAAACACACACAAATCGAGAAACCAATCATCATCATCATAATAATCGTCAACAACCAACCAAGCAACCAAATACAAATTTAACCCAACAAAACAACAACAACAACAACAACACTCATCATCATCATTATATCGATGTGTCATATGATCATCATCATCATCATATTCATTATTATGATATAGTCATTTTCGTTGGTTGTTGTTTGTTAACCATAATACATACATACACATGTATATATTTACACACCATACCACCACACACATATATATATTGGCGCCCAAATAAAATAAAATGATGATGATGATGATGATCTGTATTGCAATTTGCAAACATACAAACACATACATACACAATGAATTGAATTGAATTTAAGGATTTAGATTGAATTTCAATAACATCATCATCAACAAAAACGACAACAACAACAACGAAAAGGACAACGACAACGACAAAAACAACATTAAAGTTGTTAAAAAAAACACACTAACTAACTAACAAACATAACATATAACATAAACTAATTATGTAAAGAAAATGATCACAAGATCATTTTCTTTCATTTTTTTTTAAATTTCTGTTTATTTTTTTCAAATTGCTCATCCATCGCTCATGCGTGTGTGGGGGGGGGGTAGCAGGCAAATTTTGGAATGAATATAAAAATTCAAGGCTTTTTTTACTGTCTTTTACCAAATCTATTTAGAGAAGGGGTGTGTTGTTGTTCATCATCACTTTTTCGGATCAAAATGGCCAATTTAGTAGTCAAAGAAAAAAAACGCCCAACTGTAACCAGAAAAAAAATTAGTCAAATCTAATTAGAAATCCACCATAAAAGATGGTCAATGGCCCATACTGAAATCAAAATTAAATCAATCAAAAATCAATCAAAAAAAAAAAAATTGAAAAACACGCGTCAACCATCACCAAATTATCATCATCATCAATAAACATGGAGAGAGAGAGAAAAAAAAATTTCAATTCAAAACATCAACATCGATGAAAAAAAATGTTAATATTTCAATTTTCGCTAAAAATATAACACACCACCACCACCACCAAACACTATAATGTGGAGAAAAACATGACTTTATTCATTCATTGATTTGTTTTCATTCTATAGAAATTAGTGATTACAACAACAACAACAACAACAAAAAATATCGAGCCGTATGAAAAGAAAAAACAAAATCACCATCATGTCAATCCCTTATTTGGAAATGACAAGCAACAACCATCAGAAATCAGAAATAAAACAACAAAATTCTTCAACAATTTCTAATCCATTCAAAAAAAATAAAAATGATGTTAGAAATTTGAAAAAAAAGATTGACAGGCAATAAATAAATATATTTCTTGCCATTGTGTGTGGTTTGTTACAAAAAGAATCTTTTTTTTTTTTTCTCATCATATGACAGGCTACTGGCTGGCTGGCTGGCCAATCGAATCAAATCAATCGATTGACCAATCGGTTGTACCGAATAGAAATAACGCCAATGATAATGATAGTGGTGAATGACCCAAAAATATTACAGTAACCGAGCAAAAAAAAAAAAAAAATTTTCGTTCGCTTGATTGAATGAAAAACATCATAATCTCATATATAATCAAATTATTAAACAACAACAAACTATAAAGAGATTCATAAATATATAATAAATATATAAGCACAGTACACAAACACCAAAATGGTTTCAGATCATCCATCTGGCTATGTAGGTGTTAAATTGGCTAAATTTAATAATAAAGATAATGATGATGATGATTATACGGTATCCTAGTACAAAAAAAAATCTGCGGAAAAAAATTGAATATCCATATATTCCATATTTGAATAGACAACACCAATGAAATGATAGGTTTTCATTTCAAAATTTTTTTAAATTCATTTTTTTAAGCCATTTCCATTGCATCTCCCTTTCATATTTTGTTTTTTGTTTGGGCCTTGGCCATTCTCAGCAAAAAAGAAAATAAAAATGTTGTTTTGGTGAAAGGCGAGAGAGAGAAGAAAGAGAGAATAAATAGAAAAAAAATTCCCATTTTCATTTGAATGAAATTTAAATATTTCCATTCCATAGAAAAAAAAAAATTGTTTTAACTTACCCTTGTCGACAAACACGTGGTGGTCTTTTACATAATTCCGTTTTATAATATGCCAATACAAATGCTGTATTTTGCCAACGTGGATCTTCATGTATTGCGCAACGATCCTTATCAAACATATGTTGTGTTGATGTGGATGATGATTGACAACAACCGGTACCGCCATTGATCAAATGATCACCATTAATTAGACCATCATGACTACCGATAACACCATTAATACCACCGCCAATACCATCACAATGTATATTGCCACCATTTGTTAATGAATTTGTACCGGTTATTTGTTGTTGTTCACGTATATCAAATACGGCCATACGTAAATCACGTGAACCATGTGCAAATGCACAATGTGCACCATTTTTAACACAATAACCACGTTCATCTGTTTCATATACACACATACCGGTCTTATAATAACGTAAATGATAACGACGTTCAGTATCACCGGCTGTACGATGTAAATATGGACAGCTAATGATAAACAAAAAAAAAAAAAACAGAAAAAAAGAAAAACAAAACATTTGTTTATTCAACTCTTTTAACAACTAAATAAATTGTGTGTAACACGTGGCACACACACACATTAACAAAATTCCAAATTCAAAACAACAAAAACATTGGATTAAAAGCAATCGACAGATGGTTTTGCAATAAAAAAAAGGATCAAAACCCGATCAATTACCATTATCATCATTACAATTATTATTTCAGCTGTTTCGGACAGATTTTGTAAATAAACACTTGAAAAACACCTGGCTACTACACTACTACTACTGACCAACTGAAATTAAAACATACTTTTATTCAATGAATGAAAATCATTAAATGTGGCCATTGACTTTCTCATGTGAATTTGAAATTATTAATTTGAAAAAAAAGAAATTGGATCAAAAAAAAATGCAAGCAAAATGGTCTGGTGGGGGGGATGCAGATGTTTGTTATTCTCATTCACATCATTATTTGAATATATGGATGTGAATGAGAAAAATTTTTTCCCAAGAATTCACGGTATACTTGTATCACAATGATCATTATATACATCTTTCTTGATTTTGCCTCGAATAATCAATCAATCAATCATCTATGATATAGAAAATTGATGAGAAAAACAAAAAACATCAAGGTGGGAAAATCAAAATCATCAAAAAAAACAACACAACAATATTGAATGTTTATGAATGAATACAAACAAAATCAATCGATTATTGATTGATTGATTGAATCAATGTAAATATTGAATTGAAACAAAAAAAAACGAAAAGAAATTGAAAAAAATCCATAAATAAATAAATAATTCATTCGATTCGATTACCGGACACCATTCTACACACACACAACAACAAAAACATCCTAGCCATTCATATAAATAATGACATCTGATAAGCAAACTGAATGACAAAATAATGATGATAATCATTTGTCTGAAAAATTTTCAGGAAAAAAAATTTTCCGTAATTTTTTTTTATAAAAAGAATTGACAAATATTCAAATTTTGAAAGTTTCTCAAAAAAAAAAAAACAAACAAACATCCGGTTAACTGTAGAGAAAGTGAAATAAATGAAAAAAAAATTTATGCAAATGAGAGAAAAAGAATGAGAGTGAAAGGAGAAAAAATTTTCAGCTCATTTTTATGCCTCACCTGAGAAAAGTTCAATAAACTAGACTATATGATGGGCAACACTGACACACACACATACAAGGTTCATTTCTAAACCAGTAACGAATGAATGAATGAATGAAAATGAAAATTTCTCTTTGAAAAAAAAGTCGGATATGTTGAAATAGTTTATCAACAAAAAACATCATCATCACTGTAGACAGTGGTTTGTTCTTGTTTTAGTGCGTGGAAAAAAATCAAAAAAAATTTTCATTTCCGGAAACGTATCCAATTTGTGGTCTATTTTTATATACATCATCATCATCATCATCATCTAAACAAGGTAGGGTGGTAATAGATCCAGGATCGTTGATATATAATGTCAATTGATCATAAAATGAAAATAAAAAAAAAAAAATCCGGAAGCCTTAAAGCCATGAAAAAAAATTTTCATAATCATCATAAAGGATTATGATGATATGATGATCATTTCATTCCATTTCAATTCAATAATTTTGAAATCAAAATTTATTCAACAAGAACAGGAAATTGCTTGCTCTATTCAAAGATGTCCACCTAACTTATAAAAAAAAAAATCTGGCACTAAAATGCATTGAAGCATGTCAAAAGATAAAACAAAAGTAACTGGATGGACAACATGTATATATAAAATAATATAATAAAAACTTGGTCAAATTGGTGTGTAATCTTGTTTCAAATCTAAAAATATGGCTAATAACTGGCTTTTTTTTAAAAATAGAATCTAGTCTAGTAATAATTTCTTTTTCAATTCAAAAGACAAAAAAAAACGTAAAACAAAAAAAAAAAAAAAACAAAACTACTTACTCATCACCATCGGGACAAATACCGGTAGTATCATCATATTTGGTACAATAATTATCTGGTGAATAATTAAATGTACCATCACGTTTACGTAATGGACGACGTCTACGTTGATTAGCGAAATGCCAATGAAAACAAGTGAACGGTTTATGTTGTGTACATTTATGTTGTAAAAATAGTGGACATTGTTCACAACGAAAATCTCGTAGATAGCTAGATATATATGATGATTGGAAAGGAGAAAAGAAAAACAATTAATTAATTAATTGATTAATTAAAATTTTAAACAAAAAAAAATCATCATTCATTCATCATTAAACAAATGTAATCAAACAATCGAAAATTTTGAAAAACAACAACAAAAACGAGCTTGATCGGAACAAAATTCCTGTTCCGGGATCAACAACAACAACAACAAGTCCATTTTCAAAGGAAAAAAAACGACAAAATGATAAGATCTAAACATCAGAAACATTCATTCCATTTGTACAATTATCTTGATCAAAAAAAAAAAAAAAAAAAATTAGGAAAACACGACCAGATGATGATTATTAATTTGATAAGAAGAAAACAAATTTTCGTGAATTTCATTTCAAGCAAAACATTTATCAAACAGAAAAAAAAGGAAATCGATCAATCAATGAATCGGAATACATTTCTTTCTTTTTTTTCTTGCTTTTCAAATCGAATTCCAACATCATTTATATATATACTCACTTATAATGTGATAATTTTTCCGTTGGTAATGTTGATGTTTGTTGGTGATTTAAACGATTTTTTCGTTGATAATTATTACAACCACCATTGCTGATATTACTATTACCATTAATCATCATCATCGTCGCCATCGTTGTCGTCGTCGACATTGTTGTTGAATCAACAAATTTATTAGAACCATTTGTCGTTGTTGATCCATTAAATGGTGAACTTCGATTTGATGATGATGACGAAGACGACGATGACCGTGGTGATGATGATAATGATGATGATTGATGATGAATAATTGTTTTCAATGAATTATTCTGATGATTTTGATCCAATTGGATCATACAATGCGATTGTCGCGATTGACCACCACCACCACCATAATGGTGATGATGATAATAATGATGATGATGAGCAGCAGGAGCAGTAGTAGCAGCAACACTGGAGTTGGTGGTGGTCATCATGTTTTTTTTTGATAAAAAATTTTATCAACACCAAAAAAAACAAACGAAAAAAATTATTTAAATTTCACCAAATTTGCATCATCATCAAGTGTTTCTTTTTTTGGTGACGATACACGCAATATTCACATCATCATCATCATCATTATCATCCTCATTTACATAAACATCATCAAACACCTAAAACATTGAAAAAATTCTCGTTCCAAAATAAAAAAAAATTTCTGTTATTCAACAACAACAGACACACCTACATAACAAATATCGAGATCAACTGATATGTTGTCGTTTGGACAACAACAACAACAACAACAAAACAAAGACGATGAATGATGAAAAACAACACAACGGTTGTTTATGTGAATCAAAATGATGATTTTTTGCAATTTTTCGTTCTTGCCAAGCATCAAACAAATTTCTCTCATATCTTATGGCTCGACGAATAACGTGTAAACACACACACACACACACAAGAAAAGAGATTGTGTATGGATTGCCCACACACACACACACACACACAAAACGGGGAAAAAAAGCAGTTTTTTTCTGTCGACTGTTTAGATCTATGTTGTTGTTGTTGTTTGGCGAATTTGAAAATGAATATATAAAATGTGAAATCATCAAACAACAACAACAACAACAAAACAATATAACGAAAATAGCGAAATATTTTTTTTTTTTTTTTGGGCTCAAAAAAAAGAGTCAGAAAAAAGAGACAAACGATCCAAACAAAAAAAAAAATGAGAAACAAACGTTTCAAATAGGAAATTTTCTGTAAAATGTTTTTGGAAATTTTCAACAACAACAACAACGGTAAACAACGATAAACAAAACGATATCATATTTAGGATTCTGCGTCGTCATTCTTTGATTGGAAATCGATTTTTTTCCCTCCTACTATTTAATGAATCGTTTTAATTCATGCAGAAAAAAAATGAAAAATTGACAACAACAACAACAACAAAAAACCTAATTATCATCATCATTTCTTATTATTCATATATGATCACCATAATTCCAAACAAACAATCCATCTACATCAAACCATAAATATGACATTAAAATGACAAAAACATTAACCATAACTGGGACCAATAATTGTCAGAAAACAGGAACTAGTGATAATCTCCGATTCAAAAAAAAAAACAAACAAACCGAATTACGCCATCTATTATAATGATGATGAATAATAAAGAAAAACTTACCGTGCATTCATTGAATATTTTTCATTCGCCAATGTTATATCCATCGGATCATATAGTTCAGTATCATATTTATAAATTTTTCCATCAATTTCAATCTGTGCTAATATCTGTGTTAATTGTTGTTGTTGTTGTTGTTGTTTTATTGTTTGCGTTTGATCAGTTTTTACTGTCGATGATGATGATGGTGACAATAATTGTAATGGTGCCGTTGAATTATCATCTTCTGGTTCATTTAAACCTTTATGTTGTAAGGCACCAATTTCATCGAAAACCAAATTCAAATCATAATCATCATCATCAGTTGTCGTTGTTGCCGTTTGATTATTATTTACATTCGTTAATCGTTGTCCATTTATAATTGTTGTTGTTGTCGTTATTGCTGCTGCTGCTGCTGATGTTGTAGTCGCTGTTATCGATGATGATGATGATGAAGATGACGATGATGATGATACAGACGGAGATGACGTTACCATTGTTGGTGATGTTGATGTTGATGATGTATTTATGAATCCATTCATCGTAGTCGTTGTTTTATTAAACAATTGATCACAGTTATTTGATTCTTGTTGTTGTTGTTGTTGCTGTTGAAGGAATGAATTTCTATTCATCAATGAAATCATACGTGATCCAGTTGTTGTAAATAATGATGATGATGATGATCCTGGACTAATTATTGTCATCAAATCTGGATATGGCTGATCATTTGTATTATTATTATTAGACCATGATGTTCCATATAAACTATTCAACTGTTGTTGTTGTTGTTGACGATAATTATTATTATATAACGATGATTGATTCATTGATTGTTGTTGTTGCTGATGCTGTTGCTGCTGCTGTTGTTGATTACGACGTATAGCTGATGCATCAGACATTGAACGAAAAATCATTGGTGAAAAATCAAAATTATTCATTTGATTTAATTGGGTTTGTTGTTGTTGTTGTTGCTGCTGGGATTGTGGTTGTTGTCCTCCATTGCCATTATTCTGTGAATTATTTGTATTTGAAATAGCAGTAGCGGCAGAAGAAGCAGCCGCTACTGCTGCCGCTTGTAAAATATTCATATTGTTGTTGTTGTTGTTATTGCGAAACAATAATTGTTGTTCTTTTGTTGTTGTATTAATGTTTGTAGCTATAGTTGTGGTTGTTGACGATATTCCTAAATTCAATGAAGACATTGTTTTACACTGATTTTGTTTTTGATTTCAATATCTACTACTCTACATTATTATTGGTGAAGACAAGATTTTGGTTGACAAAGAAAAAAAGCCAAAACATTCGAAAAAAAACACTGAAAAAAAATGATTCACCGGATATAAATCCAAATGCACAAGGTTAAGCCACAATAAAGACCTGTGATGATAAATGGAAAATAGAAAATATAAAAAAAAAATTAAAATCCAAAAAACAAACAGTTATTATCAGAATCGAACAAAAAATCTTGTTGTTGTTGTTGTTGCTGGTGATGGTGGATAGGAGGAGGAAATATCTCTACACACTGCTGGGGGTGGTGGTGGGGTGGGGGTTGGTGGTCAGCATTTAGCAAACAGAAAAACAAAATTAAAACACACACACACAACACAAACACAAAACATCACCTTGACAATTTTAAAGAAACACATAAAATTTTCTCACAGTGTAATGGTGGTGTTTATATAAATAGAAAAAAAAAATTGAAAATTGATTGCAATATAAAAATAGCACATACACATATGGTTGTGATCATCATCATCATCATCAAAAAAATATTGATAAATGGCTACCAGTGTTTTGTGTACACACACACACACACACACTTGGGCAATGTATTGAAATGATTGAAATTCTTTCATTGATTATAAATTGGAAAAAAATATATATATACTGGGTTGGTTGTTTGTTGATCATCATCATCATCATCATCATTTTTTTTTTTGATGCAAAAAAAATGGTGGGCGTTTTGTTTTTGTTGTTGCATTTCATTTTTTTTTTTTTGTTTCAAATTTTTTTTTTTTTTTTTTTGAGAAACACTATTCATTCTATCCACTCACGCACTAAAAAAAAAAAAAAATTTCAAATTTGCTTTCTCAGCATCCCATTCTCACACCAATCAACCAAACAGGAAAACAAGTGTGTATGATGATGAAACACGTGTTTTTAATTTTTTTTTTGCTTGAAAAAAATTCTTTCATCAATACCCTATCATCATCATCATCATAATCAATGGATCTTAACCTTAACACTAATCAATTGATTTTTCATTGGATTTCCTCTCATTCATTCATTCATTTTTCTATCCACAACACTACGAATAAACACAGACAACAATTTGCACCAATCAACCAACCAACAAACAAACAAACAAACAAACAAACGAACGTGGCCACAATAATATTTATAGGCATGTTTTTGTTGTTTTGTTCATTCATTTAACCTTCAAAATAAAAAAAAAATCAAAATAAAAAATTTATTTTTTTTCAACAAAATATCAGAAAAATAACAACAAACTTTCTCATTCATTTCTTGTTTGTTTGTTTGTTGTCTTTTATTTTTTTTCAACAAATTTCAACATCTCTCTCTCTCTCTCTCTCTACATTCAATCTGACTCTTTTTTTTCAATGGAAAAAAAAGGACAACCACTCATTTCTCAAAGTAAATTTCTCCAAGAAAAGAGAATTGATGATGATGATGATGATGAAAATCAAAGAAAACAATCAACCATACTATTATTATCATCATCATCATTAGTTTCACATGTAAATCCTTGACATCTTCATCATCATCATCATCAAATTGATGATCACAACTTACCTTTGATTGGAATTACAACTTGAATCATAAAAAAATAAATGGATCCAAAATAATGAAACAAAAACCGATAATTGTGAAAATGGAAAACAACACATGCACACATGCACACACACACACACAGAAAGAAGCTAACTGGATCCAAAATCGATCAATAATAATCAAATATTAATCAAGAAAAAACCTACCAATCAATCATATTATTTTTTTTTTTTTGCTATGGCTACCCATCAATCAATCATCATAATCACGATGTTTGTGGGTTCACCGAAAAGAGAAAAAAAATATATCACAATAACAACAACAAATCTCACTAGTAGTTTACTATACCAAATATCAAATAATTATTATCGTTGCCTTGGTGTTTATCAGTAATATTGTCATTTTTTCATTTTATCAATTTACACTTTAAACACACACACACACACACGACAACATGATTATCTTATCAATCAATGAGATTATGTGTGTGTGTGTGTATGGTTATTATTAAAAATCCATAACACACACACACACACACACACACGGATTCAGATTTTCCCAAAAAAAAAAAAAAAAATATGAAAATAATTTTGTCGCTGTCTCGTTGACTTGATGATCATTGATAAAGTGGAAAAAAAACAACAACAACAACAACAAAATATTTTGGATAATGTGATGATTATGGAAAAATTGTATTGAAAAAAAAAAAATTTTTCTATGTTTAAATGATCATCAATTGAATTCTTGGTTTTGGTCATCTGAATTCTTAATTTCTATTTCATCACAACACACACACACATGATATCTTGGAATAGACGATGGTGGTGGTGGTGGTGATGATGATGATGATGATGATGCAAATGAATGTATTGAAAATAATGAGCAAGAGAAATAAGAAATAACCATGTGCAAACACAAACAAACAAACCAAAAGAAAGAATCCAAATGAAAAAAAAAAACATTTAGAGGTTATTTTTAACAACCAACCAACAAACCAACCAACCAACCAAGCGACCATCATCAATATTGATTTTTATAGTACAACAACAATCATCAACCAAAAAAAGGATAAAAAACAAAATTTCTTTACCATTTTTAGTCGATCAAGATTCTTTTTCATATCATTTCATTTCAATTCATTTCACTTTACACACTGATGGATAATAAACATTGTTGTTGTTGGTTTTTTTCGTTCTTGGGACCAAAAAAACCGAACCGAACAGAACAGAACAGAACAGAGCAGAGCAGCAGTTTTTTTTTTTTTTGGAAATGGATTCTCTCGAAACACGCAAGCAAAAAAAAAAAAAAAAAAGTTGAGAAAGTTATAACACATCACCCAGATATATATATGTTATATATATCACACACAAGCACACCAGAAAAAAAAAAATAATAGTAATGATAATGTAATAATAATAATAATAACAAGAACGACGAAATCAGCAGAAGAAAAGTAAAAAAAAAACACAACAACAAAAAATAAAGTGCAAAAAGGAAAAATTATAAGCATCGAAAATGAAAAATACAAAAAAAAAAAATATTGGCGTGCTTGGCGTGCTTTGGTAGTGGTAGAATTTCGCACAGTTGTAGTAGCATAAATTCATTAACACATATAGAAATTTAATACATTTTCATACTACTACCAGCAACAACAAATGGTTTTAATGTTGTGTGTGTGTGTGTGTTGAATATCACGTTGTTTTTATTTTTTCGTTTGTTTTAAGTGCATCCAAAGACGGTGATGATGATGATGATGATCAATCTAAAGATCTTTCTGTGTATGTATGTTTGAGTGGTTTGAGCTGGTATCAAATTTTGAGGACAATAATAAATGAATGATGTGATGTGATTTGAGAATTGCGCCTTTGTAGTAGTAGTATTAGTATTCGTAGTAGAGGTGAAAAAAAGTGAAAGCGGAAAATGTGAAAACAAAAAAACAAAATGTGTGTGTGTGTGGTAGAAGCATAACAACACAATGTGTATAATTGCGAATTCATAAACGACGTACGTATTTTTGAAATTCTAATTTTTTTTTGTTTGGTTTAAATGTTGTATATGGATACGATCAATCGATTGATCGATCCATCAACCAGATTCTGTATGTGTGTGTGTGTGTGTACGTGTGTGTGATATTAAAGCAGATTTTATAGGTGAAAAAAAATCTATAATTCAGGGATTGTTATTTTTTTTTTTTTTTTTTGATCGTTGCGTAAAAAAACAAAAATAAAGAAAAAAAAATTCCATCCCAAATAATCGATCTGTTTTGTTTTGAAGGTTGTTGATTTCATTATTTTATTTTTTCACTTGCTCCCTCCCCCTCACAAAAAAAGTGTCAAAGAACTCCATATACATTGTTTTGGAACACAAATCAACGTAAACAATAACAAGAGATTTTATTTTCGATTTTTTTCGGGTATTTTTTTCCCGTGATTCCAAAACAATAATAAACCACCACTATAACCACAAAATTTGTCATCAATCTCACAATTAACCCTCCTTATCATCATCAATTGTTTTCCATTCATTTTTTCAAAAAAAAAAAAAAAAAAAAAACACCAAAGTCAATGATTGGAAACCTTGAATTTAAATTGTGTATGAATGTGTAAATAAATATATGCCATTGCCATTATGCCATATTATTTTATTGGCATGACAACACACACACATAATATAAGTTTCTAAATGTAAATAAGTGTAAACAACAAAAGCAAAAGAAAACAAAAATTGTCATCGATTTTCATATTTTTCATTTTTGTTTATTTCATTTTTTTTGGATTTTCAATTTTTTTCTTCTTTTTTTATTGCCATCTATCGAACGTTTTTCAAAACTATGGAATTTATTGCTCTATGAAAAAATTTATTCACTCACATCACACAAGATGGCGCAAATGTTTCTGGCTATTCATTCGTCAATATTTTGATTGAACAAATCATCATCAACACAGACACATGCATGTACAACATACCCTCCCTCCTTTTTTGAAGCTGCTGCTGCTGCTGCATGAAACAGCATTGCAGATATATTGAAAAGCTTTTGATTACGCATGTGCATTTTGATGATTAATTCAAGAAAAAAAAAATCAGAAAAAAATGACGAATAAAAATAAAAATTTTACACCTTGATGGTGTGCAACAAGAAAAATAAGGTGTGTGTGTGTGTGTCTATGATGATGTTCATGAATATGGTAGTAGAGTAGTAGCACAAAAACATGCACACACACACACACAGGTAATGATTTTCTTGTCTTGCCAAATAAAATAAAAAAAAATATTCGAAATACAGGTTTCAACCAGGGTAGGTAAAATGGATACAGTACATCTTCAACAAAGAAAACAAAACAAGTTCATTTCCATTTCCAGTTTGTCTTAACTCTTTTATCACACACACACACATAGATGTGAATGGTAATGATGATAAAATTCAATCAATCTTTGAAATGTCAAAATAGTCGTGTCAATACTGTATTTTTACGAACGCATGCACACACACACACCCGTGTGTGTGTGTGTGTGTGTTGAAATGTTCCAGACCTAGAAGAACTAGCTTAACTTTAGCCGGTTTCATCTATTCGATTTTTTTTTTTTTTTTTTTTTTTTTTTTGAATACGACGACGGTTTTTTTTTGTATCCAATTTCAAGTAGTGGTATAGTAGTGGTGGTGGTGGTATAGTTTATAAACATCATACAATTGTGGTGGTGGTGGCGGTAGAATGGCCAGCAAATTGTCAATTAAAAAAAACGACCAAACACAAGAAGAGTCGATAGATTGAAAATATTCATTTTCATGTTTTTTTTTTTTTGTTCGGCCATAATAGTTTTTTCTGTTTGGTTCGCCATTTGCTTCATTCTCACCAGTAATTTGAATTCACTCTATGGGCATTTACAGTGGTGGTAGTAGTGGTCTTGTTGTTTGATGATTCGAATGAATTTTTTTTTTTTTTTTTTGAAAACCTTTATGGTTGCCTGTTGTGTGGATGATTTTTAAACGATTTTTTTTTTCTTTCGTTGGTTCAAAACGATTGATTATTTCACTCTATGCAAACATATAGTGAATTTGAATTTTTGTTTCTTGTTTGATTTGAAAACAAAATTTTTGATCGTTGGGTTTGGTTTGGTTTGGTTTTGTTTGGATTTTTTCGGTTTTCGCTACTACTTCTACTACTACTACGACGGCGGCGGCGGTATTTGATCCAGAAACAAAATTGTATTGTGTCTGGTCCCTGTTTACGTGTTGTTTGTCATTTTGTCGTCAATCAATCCAGAAATTGACATTCAATCAATCAATCAATCAAATCGATTTGTTTTTATAAGGCCGGAAATTGATTCGATTTTTTTTGGACGGGTAAGTTTTTTTTTCTATGTTCAAATGATTCAATCGAATCAAACCAATAATTTTTTTGATTCAAATTTCTTTATTTTTCTTGTCAACTAAATTTGCCGGAAAATCAAAAACAACAACAATGACAACGTTTTTGGGCTGAAATTGAAAATTGAAACCGGTCGTTTTTTATATATTGGAAATATGATGATAATCAAATTTTTTTTTTTTATTTCGAATCTTGCCTGGCTACTATTTCGACTTTATTGTTTGAAATTTGAAATCTTTGCCATTTCTTAATCGAATTGTCCGATTTTTTTTTCTTGTTCACCGATCAATCTCTTCAATCATCGACATCATCAATTTAATCGAATGATTGAATAAAATTGAATGAATAATAGCGTGTGATCAATTACAATTTTTTTTTTGAATGAATGTAAAAAACCGAACACATAAATGTGATCTGTGTGTGTGTGTGTGATTTTCAATCAATATTCAATACGACAACAACAACAACAACAAAACCGACAACGACGATCAAGCCTGAGTAATCGAAAAAAATATCCGAATAACAGTGGTTTCTCCAACTCACACAACAACAACAACAACAACAACGATTTTTTCAAAAAGAACGAAAAAATCATTGAAAAAAAAATGTTCCCAATCAATAGACAAAGATGCTATGGAAACGGTTATTCGAATGATGATGATGATGATAATGATCATTATTCGATTTCCAATATATTTCATCATCATCATCATCATCAAAAACAAAACAACAGTCATTGAAAATGAATAATGATCAACAACAACAACAATCATCATCATCAGATGAATATAGTGTATATCATCAAACAAATGATAATAAAAATCAACAACAAAAACAATGTTATAATCATCATCATCATCATAATAATAATCAAATAAAACATCAACATAAAAATTCAAAAAATTGGTTCAATAATTATTGTTTGGCCTTAATTTCCATAATGAATACATTATTATTACCGATATTTTTATTACAATTAATCAATTGTAGTAATCTTATAACGGCAGTGCAAGCAGCACAATATAATAATAACAACGCCTTTCAAGTGATCTCAGAGAATCCGGAACTTTCAATGGTGAGTTTTCTTCTTTTCTTCTTTTTTTTTTTTTCAATTTCAAAATTCGTTACGAATATCAAAAAAAAAAAAATCTTTTTTAATTGATCGATTACTTTAATAGCATCATCATCATTTTTTTTTGTTTATGGTTAATTAATCAGTAATTTGTTTTTTCTTTAAAAAAAAAATTTATTTTTAGTCGATTGATTTTCCAATCATTAATTAGCTTCACATCGAAGAATGATGATGATGATGATGATGAACAAAATTAAATTTCCACCACCACTATTGTGATTTTTAGGTCATCAATCTTTGATCATCTCTCTATAGATTGTTTTACTGTCAGTTAGTTGGTTGGTTGATTGTGTGATTATTCGGCAGATGTTCATTCATCATTTATTGATTGAAACACGAATGAATGAATCATTCATTCTCTATATTTGAATCGATATTTTGAAATAATTTCTTTTTTTCTTTTGCTAGAAAACAAAAAAAAAACAATAATGACAATAGTTTCTATGGTTACCCACCAGAATTATTTGAAATGTCAAAAGTACATGGAATTTGTATGAAATTTTTTTTTGTGATTTAATGCCGGTGTTTTACGGATGTGTTAAACGATGATGAATTGTAAACGTAACTAACCACAATTTGTGTGTGTGTGTGTGTGTCTGTGAGCAATATTCATATTTCCGTTGTTATGTGCCATAATGATGAGTCAATAGTTTTCTGTTTGGTTTTGTTTTTTGTTTTGTTTTGTTTTGCTTTGCTATTGATTAATTGGACAAAAAAAAGAAAGAAAAAGAAAGTAATGTTGCTTGCCATTCACCTGGGTGACATTAATGGCTTTCATTTTCATTTTGGTTAATATTTGAAAAAGAATAAATGATTGGGTGTCACCAGTTTGGGTTTTTTTGTTTTCTTGTTACCATGTTTCACATACTATTACACATATTGATCGATTTTTTTTTATTTTGGTTAGGTTGTTGATTTGATTTTTGAAAAAAAAATTCATCATCATTTCAAAATTTTGTCTATTCATCGATTATTGGAAATGATGATGTTTGATTTAGATTTTTTTTTTCGTTTCGTTTCCCGGTTTTTTTTGTTTATTTATTATCTGTTTGTTTTAGAGCTTACTTTTTTTCGATGATAAAACAAACACCACTTTGGTGCAAATAGAAAAATCCAAATGTGTGTGTGTGTGGGTGTTTGCTGTGTGTGTAATCTCTCGTACATTGCACTTGATGAATTTTGGTTTTTTTCTGATTTTCAATAATCATGATGGACGGTTTTTTGTTGTTGTTGTTGTAACCAAATTGAATGTCCAAAAATGTGATGGACGTAACGAATGATCATCAAGTTAGAATCACAAAAAAAATTAATGATTCAATGGGTATGGCACGTTCGTTTTTCTTCATTTTGCTATTTACAAATGAAATTCAATTAGAAACCAAAAATTCTTTCATTTTTATTTTTTTGTATAACGAATTATTTAACATCACTGATTGATTGATTGATTGATTTTTTTTTTTCTGAATGTAATATATAGATAATTAATTACCATCATCAGTTAATTAATGTTTATTTTTTTTTTGATGTAAAAAATTTTGTTTATTCATACTGAATTTATTTATTTAGAGAAAAAAATGCATGTGCCTCTTTTGTTTTGATTGATTGATTGATTGATTGGCAGGTGAATACGTGATTGATGGACATTTATTTCGGTTTTGGTCATCAAAAAATACGAGGATGATTTAATTTTTTCGTGTTTTTTTTTTTTTTTTTTTGATGACATTGGCATTGATGTGAATGAAAAAAAGAAAAATTGGGTACAAACGTAATGAACCAGAAAAAAAAGAAATCAATTCAATGATTGGTTATATCCGGTTTTTATCGAATTAATCAAATTGTTTTCTGTTGTTGTTGTTGTTGTTGCTGCTGCTGCTATTGGTTGTCGTGATTAGATATGACTTGATCAACCTACATTCATATATACCCTGTTTGTGTGTATGTGCATGTGTTTGTGTATTTGTCGGTCAATATTTCCGGGGCGCTATTCGATATATACAAACAATCAAATACACACTCGACACACACACACACACACACACTTGAATTTTATTTGACACATATGACAGAACAAAAATCAAGAACATCTAGAGAGAGAGAGAAAAAAAAAAAACAACTCAATTTCATTACTAAATAGAATGAAAATATATAGAGCATTTATTTATATATGTAAATATTTGTCAAATCTTTTATATGCAAGATTTTTTTTTATATTTTCCAATAAATTTCTTGATTTTTTTTTTGCTATCTCACTCTCTCTCCCTCCAGTTGATTTGAATGTGAATAAATAAAAAAAAAAATCTTTTTCCGGTGTTCGTGTGTATTTGTGTTTGTACACGCCCGTATTGTATGTAGTCTAGTTTTTGATTTTCTTATCTTTACTTTTGCCTCTCTGTCTCTTCAGTTCGATTGTCGTTTTGTCATTTTTTTTCCTGACCATGAATGTATATGATTCGATTGATACGTGGGTATAGTAAAGGAAAAGTTTTTTATATTATAAATTACAATCGATAACAATTTGGTAAACAATTGCATAACAAATGCTGTGAATTTCAAATTTTTTTTTTGTTTTCATCGTTGATTGTTGTACAAATAAATAACAAGTGTCTCTTTTCATCATTCATTCATACACTTGTAACTTTCTTAGATACATAAACATGTCATAGGTTATGGCCTTTTTTGTTTGGAGTCATCATCATGAATGGCTGTCGATCAAACAATTTTCATTCATTGAATTCAATTCACCATATTTAGTGTATATAACCAGTCAGTCAGTCAGTCAATCATATAGTCAATTATTCAGTTAGAATAAATTTATTCTGTTTTTTTTTTTGATCTTCTATTTGTCTGTTTGTTTGTTTGTTTGTTTGTTGTTGTATATAAGATGATAATCTGTCAGGTTTGGCCATTTTTCTTTCTTCTATACACAGTTTTATCTAGTATTGATGATGATGACTTATGATTATCATCATTATCATCATCACTGAATGATGATGATAATAATAATTGTTTGTCCTTATAGGCTTGTTGTTGTCTGTTGTTGGTTGGTTATGATTGGGTTGACTTTTTCATATTTTTGAAAATGAATGATAAATTCTTTTTGATATCCATTGGTTATGTGTGTGTGTCAGTATTTTTTGGCTATAAGTGATATGGTTTGTCCACACATCATGACTAAGATGATGTTTTTGTTGAATTTCTTGGAAAAAACAAACGATTCTCTCTCTACCTTAATCATTACCACCATTTTTTATTACTACTACCACACTAGTATAGTCGCAACACCTCCGTAAATTTACGCAACGTCCGATGATGATGATAATAATAATGATGATGAACATTTATTTAAGAGGGGCAACAACAACAACAACAAAAAAAATTGAAGAAATTTTGATGATGATCACATCCGAATAAAAAAAAAAAAAAATAAAGTGAGCAATTATGTTTTCTTGTGTATGTGTGTGTGTGTGTGTGTGTGTGTGTAAATATAATCTAAGGCTATTCTCGTTTTGTTTTCTCTAGCTGACTAGCTGAATTTAATGTTATATAACCATAATTATGGCCAGAAATGCGAAACAAAAACAACAACAAGAATGATGATGAAAAACGAGCCAGAGAGAGAGAGAGAGAGGATTTTTTTTTGTGTGTGAAAATAGAGTTTCCTTCTTTCTTTCTCTTTCTCTCTCGATTTTTTACCGAAAATAAATATTCTATTGATATATTCGTTTTGACTGGTTGGTTGAAACAATAATAATAATAATATATATTGAATTGAATTGAAATAAAGTCATTGTGAAAGCAAAAAAAAAAAAAAACTTAAAGGTCGTCGATCTATTCAATGATTCAATGTCTGATCATTATGATTTTTCGATATATGAAAAAAAAGTATGTGTATAGAATGATCATGATGATCGTGAATATATCATTGATGATAATGGATAATCTTTTACGATTGAATCATATAACAACATTGTTTATTGTGGATGGATGGATGGATGGTGGTATTTTTTTTCTGGAGGATTGATTTCGATGCTATAGCATAATTATGATGATGATGGTGATGGTAACTACTGGGGCAACAAAAAAAAAAAGAAAAAGATATCATTTATAATAATAATGATGATGGTAACATAACACTGACGATAATAAAAATTATAATGATGATGATTATGGTGGACAATCATCGTCGCCAGAAGTTGTCATCAACATCATCAATGGTAATCGTCGGTTTTTTTTTTTTTTTGATGATAATACCCCTTGATCATTGTGTAAAAGGAAGTGTCTTTCTACTACTCTACTATCTTGTTCTCAACATTTGTGTTTGTTGATTTAAAGAATTCTTTTGAATAAATGGTAATGATGGTTGGTTGATTGATAAAGAAAAAAAAAAAGCTGCCAAATAAAACATTAAACCACCACCATAGACTTAGTTCGGTTGAAATTTTTGATTAATTTTAAATCGGTGTGTTTAAATGTCCATCAAAATGTTTGTCTTAATGTTACGATTATGTTAAAGCTTTAAATGATTGAATGATAATCAATAAAATGTCAAATGATGATCATGTTCAAATGATAATCAATCATTCAATGATTGATTATCATTTTGTTTCTTTTAATTAAAAGCGTAATTAAAACAAAACATCATTAGTCTGTCTGTATTGTATAAACAAATTGATTTGAAATAATTCAAATGTAAATGTCATTGTTTTTTTTCTAATTTATTGATGTTTTTTTGTTTGTTTGTTTCTTTCTTTTTTTTAGTTCAAAAATCTAATTGGAAATGATACAGCCTATTCGTTTATGTTAAAATCATGGAAAATGACAGTATTTGTACCAACTAATCAGGCTATAAAAATGTTTTTGGAACGTAATTCTCAACAACAACTAGTGGATGGTTTTAATTCGGATCTATTACAATATCATCTTGGTATGTACATGTTTGTGTTAGATACACAGAGAGAGAGAGAGAGAGAAAAAAAAAATAAGATTATTGATGAAAGCTTAACTTGATTTTTTTTTTTTTACTCAACCAATCTAATTTACATGGTTTTTTTTTATTTATTTTACCCTTGAATAATTTATGATTATTTCAGATGATCATGATGATTCAACATCATCAGCAGTAGCCAACGCCCAAATGATCTTAGTGTGTGAGTGTGTGTGTGTGTTTGTGGATATATATTTCATTCATGTAGAATATGAAAAATGAACAAAAACATTAGAATATAGAATTGTAATATCGGATGATGAATAATTGATCGCATAAATGACAAGTTGAAATTTTTTTTTTTTTGGTTTCAGAATATATTGATAGTAAGTGAATAGGAAATAAGAGAAATGATACGAACGTTTTGCTGTTGTTGTTGTTGTGTGAGTACCAGAAAATCGATAAGACTACTAGACCTCAGGTGTAATGACCCGATCTTATTTTATTTTTTTTTTGTTTGAGAATTTTTTTTGCTGCTGTTGTCGATGATGATAATGGTTGGTGATGATTTTTATGGCCGAATGATTTCTGACCGCCGTCGCTGTTGCCACCGTTGTCTTCATCATCATGATAAGACAATATACCCGTGATAGTTATTGTTGCGTATCGATAAAAAGATTATTTTTTTTGTTGAGATTTTTTTTTCGCTATATATGATCAGCATGTTTTATTAATATCAAGTGAGAATCTGTCATTTTTGATTAGCAATTATCAACATTTATTCAGAGTTTTGTTGTTGTTGTTGTTGCGTAAGTGAGTGTCGACATATAGAAATTATAATCGATTTTTTTTTTTTTCAATAGTATCAGCAACAATTAAACGTGAATCATGGACCGAAGCTTCACCGGCAAATGCATTGAATGGACAATTTCCACCACTTTATCTGACTACAACGGATTATAATCCATATAAACCGGATGAGAAATCATATTTTGTTAACAATGCCTTTGTCATTGAAGCTATTGAAGATTTACAAGGTAATGGACCAAATGCTGAAGGTCAAGCATTGTATATTATCGATGAAGTACTTTCATCATTGAAACCGAATCGACCTACCGCTCCAACTGCATTGGAATTACTTAAAGAACCATCCATTTATGGATTGGATAATTTTGATATGTCGAAATTTCTACAAAAAGTTCAGGAAAAACAATTGGAATCAATATTTTCAACACCGGGTACATTTTTCATTCCAACAAAAGTTGCTAGCCGTGGTACACCAGAATTCGATGAATATGTTGTCAAAGCTCATGTTATCAAGGATAAACCATTATTTATACGAACCATGGGTGATCGTCGTAGCTATAATACAATGGCTTTTGATGGTAAGTTGAAAAAAAAGAAATTTAGATTATCTTGTTTAACTTATACGATATGATTTTTTTTTAAAACAGACAATGTCGATGTTGAACTTTCATTCATTAATAAAACTGTTCGATTTACTGTGGAGCAAATGTATTATATTCAAACAAATACGATAAAAAATGATGCTATCCACAAGGCTGGCCGTGTATTAAGTCGAATGATTAAGGCAAATATTCCGGTGAAAAATGGTGTTGTTCACATTATTGATAAACCCTTGATGTTGATGGATATGGCTATCAGAGATTTTCTACGTGAACAAAATAAATTGAAACGTTTCTATAAATTATTGGAAAAACATCCAGATGTATTGAGTAATATTGGAAAAAATTCCAATAAAACCGTTTTGGCACCAGATGATAATGCATTCGCTAATTTGATGGATAATAATCAAAATTTTGCCGGTATCAGTGAAGATTCTGATGAAATGAAAAAATTATTATTGAATCATGTTGTCTATCAACAAGTGTCATTCAGTGATCTTAAAAGAAGTAAGTTTTATTGTTTTGACTTGACGCTTGTCTTATTTAAATTGTTATTGATCTGATTATGTGTTGACAGGTGCAGGATTCGCTAATTATACATCGGCAAATGGTGTGCCTGTTATGTTTCGTTTGGTTGGTACCGATTCGAATGCACGATTAACTGTTGAAAGTGGTGGTGTGAATGCAACATCGTCGTTATCGGATTTAGGTGCATCTGATGGTATTTTACATATTATTGATCGTGTTCTTGGAATGCCTTTCAATACAATATATGAAAAATTAATCAATAATCCAATGTTGAATGAAACATTCAAGATTGGATCACAAGGCGGCACACAGAATTGGAATTCAAAATTGTTGGATAAAAATAAACGTTATACATTTTTTGCACCATCAAATACAGCATGGATGGAATTTGATAGGGCAAATCCATCCGAATTTAAACAACTTGATCAAGGCATCTATCCATCCATTTCACGAGCTGTATGTATAGAAATAATTTTATTTTCAACATATATGTTAATTAATTTGAATACATTTTTTATCGAAAAAAACAGATTTTGGATCGTCATATTTCAGCTAAAGGACAATATAATAAAAAAGATTTGGAACAAACAGTGAAAAAAGTTGATACTATTCAAGGTGAACTAAATATTTTACCCGATCCTACCAGTAAGTTTGAAAGTGTATTATTTTTAAAATCAATACAAAATTGTAATGAGAAATTTCTTTCTTTTTTTTTAGCACGCGAAATTTATATCGAATGGGAAGGAACACGGGCCAAAATAATTAGCTCCGATATTCATGGATTGAATGGTGTCATTCACATCATTGATAAAGTATTGGCAAAGAAACGTGATTTAAAAGTCAATGCTGCCATCAATGGCCAATCATACTGCCATTTATTCGTATACCTTATTATGGGCCTTGTTTCCATTATGTTCACACAGCAGTTACGTTAATTTTAAAAACAAAACCAAGACAAAACAAAAAAAAACCCATTCCATTTTCTATTCATCACCATTATCATCACACACACTATATTTTCCTAAAACACATTTATTAATTTCTTTATTGAACCCAAAATTTATTTACACATTAACCATCGAGCTAATCGACCAGAAAATCCATACATACCGAAACCAAACACATTTTTCTATACAAAATAATAATAATGGTTATTATTATTAATTTAAACCACTAAACTAAATGGCAAAAAGATTCATTGAATGGGTTTGCATTTATTATTTTTTGACCATTGTTTTTTTCACTACTTTCTTCACACACACAAACTTTTTTCTTTCTAATCGATAATTGTGTATAGGATTTGCTTTTCGTTTTTTTTCCAAATTATTTTTTTTCTCCATTAATTATTATCGATTAATAATAATTAACAAGACAGATCGATAACAATATAGTAGCATTTTCAATCATCATCATCATTTCTACTACTACTCCATAATTACACTTTTTCTTTCTTTTCCAACCTCTAAGGGCATTTAATCTTTATATTTTTTTTCCTCATTTCATTTCATTTTTTTTTCTCTGATTGACAGACAACAACATTTGACCAAAATGATGTAATTTGTGTCAATCAAGACAAAACATTTTTTTTTTTGCTTCACACACACCAAACACTGACCAATCTAAATGAACACAATTTTTTCTCATTATCATCATCATTATATTTTATAATTACAGAAAAAAAATCGAAAACAAAACTTTTTTTTTGTTTATTTTGTTCCACTTCTTTACACCATAATATATACACATTCACATTTGTATTTAATAAATTAAAATATCAATCAATCAATCAATCATTGAAATAATTTAAATTTTTTTTTCTTGCTAAATAAAATATTTCATCATTTCAATTTGGGCAGTTTTTTCATCAGATCCAAATCGATTAGTCGATCAGGTGGTGGTGGTGGTGCTGGTGTTCGATTATTTTGTAGGTCCGTATTATTGCTTACATTAGCTTTGGCATCAAGATAGTTTTCATCATCATCATCATCATCATCAACATCTTCAATTAAAATCGATGACTTATAACGATTATGTTTAGGATTCAACGATTTTCGATGTTTATTCATAGTCGTTTCAATATAAAGACCATATTTGTCCATATAATTACGTGTTGCAATCGAACTATTATGATCGGATAATGCATATCGATTGTAATTTGTTTGAAATTTTTGATAATCAATTTTTGGTGATGGTGGTTGTACATGTTTGATCATTTTTACAGTGTTCATCCTTGTTGATTTTCGTATCGATTCTAAAACAATTTCATCGTCATCATCATCATCATCGATCTTTGTTGTTTGGTTATCAGCCACATTATCATCCATACAATATTTTGATGCTAATCGTTGAATATAAATAGATTGTTCCGTACGTAATAATTGTCGTGGATGGTGTTGTTGTTGACGTTGTTGGTGCCGTTTTGGTTTCGACATTGGTGTACTGGTTGAAACGGATCCATTTCGAACTAAAATTGAATTAACCTCCGATAACATTGTTGTATAGTTGAATTCATCTACTTTTTCAACCCGATCATCATCGTTGTTCGTCGTTAGTTTATTGGATGGTGGACTTTGAAGAAATTGTTTCACTTTAGTCTGCTGTAGGTGATGACGTTTTAATCGAACGCTGTCATATAAATCTTTACGCATTTTTTCAATACTAGAATCAAGATAATTTTGTGTTGTCGATGAATTCATTGATGATGATGATGATAAAGATGGAGATTCTTCCGATGAAAGTGATGTTTTTTTCAGATGATGATGATTTGGTTTTTGATGTATTGTTGTTGTTGTTGTTGTTTGTACAGAACGTTCGATTTGTTGTTGTTGTTGTTCAATTGTTAATGATTTTTGTAACTGTAATAATTGATCTATTTTCTGATTAATCATCGTTAATCGTTCATCTTGTTTTCGTATATATTCAAGTAATTGTTTTGGTGTTGTTGATCCAGGACATTTTTCATGATCATCATCATCCGATGTTTGTAATTCGATCAATTGATTTCGTAAATTATTCTGTAGTTTATTTAATTGATTTTGAAGATCATTATTATTATGTCGACAACATTTGTTGTCTGTTGATTTTGTCGTTGTATTATCGTTATTCAAATCGATTAATTTTATATTTTCAATCAACGAATCATCAGGATTTATTCGATTATCGTTGTCGGTGATGATACCAAATTTTAATCTCAATTGTTTCAATGTATCTTTACATGGATGAATTGTTGTAGTCAGATGATTTCGATCCATATCAATTGAATCATCTTGTATCCATGGTTGAATGGGAACAACCTGTTGATAATGATATGATGATGATTTTTAATTTGAAAATCAATTAATCACAACTTACTCTTGGTGGTTCCGGTATCATAGGCATGGTAGGATTATAATACGGAAATCTTTGTGTCATTGTTTTGTAATGTTTATATTATGCCCCCCAAAAAACATCAACAAATGTCATATGACATGTGTGTGTATAAATAAATCGATGATGATACGCGGACAAAGTTTACATTCAACAAACACACACCACTAGCTCATCATCATTATTTGTGTGGTATTTGGCGCCACTACAATGCTGTACACACACAAATTGACCGTTGTAAAATTTTTTTTTCCAAATATTCAATTTATGTGTATGTTAGAAGGCGTGGCTATAATCAAAAAAAAATGCACAAACGCCATCTATTCGTTGTTCGATGTAACATAAAAAAAATTTGATTTTTGTACTTTTCATATTCGACGATTACACGATAATGATTGGCACGCACACACACACAATCGATCGATCGATCGATCAATCAATCAATCAATTTATACCAAAACATTAAAATAGTAGTGCTTAATTGTAATAATTTTGTTAATATACAAATGTTATGTTTGTATTGATGATAATATTTACATCATGTTATTATTTTTTTTTTTTTGTTTCGTTCGGTTTTTGTTTTAACCAAAGTCTAAATATCAAATAAAAAAAATGACGAAATCCACAATATCCACAATATCATTGCAAAAAGAAACAAAGCGGTACCATTGATTTATATTTGATTCTGGAACTTGTGACCGCTAATCACAACAACAACAACAACAACGAAAAAAAATGATGACAAAACAAACGCTGTCTGTTTGTTTGTTTTTTTTTTTCATTGGAAACTTTGCTCCTGTAAATTTTTTTTTTAGTTCACACATTCACACGCCAATAAAAAAAAATTTTTTGATCGATTTTGAACAAAATCCAAAAATCAAAACGACGAAAGAGAAATTGGACTGAACTTTACTTTTGTACCAACAAAGTAAAGTTTAAGAGCAACAAGAATATCACAAGTCATGAGAGAAAGAGAGAAAGAGAGAAACACAAAAAACCAGAAATCCTAAATCAATCAGTTATTGATCATTATCAATAATAATAAAAATGAAAAAAAATGACAAAATAAAAAATCTAGAGGTAATGAAAATGAAAAAAAAACTTGTTCATCAGGTTTTGTGTCCATTTTTGTTGCAACATATCACCGAAAAAAAAGATGGCAGAAATTCTAACCAAATCAAACGAAAAAAAATCAACAATTTAAATATCTAAAAGAATTATTATTTTCAACAACAAAAAATGAAAATTGACCAAAATCTGGTCATCTTTATTTTCATTTTTTATTCAATTGTCGATAGTGTTGTCGCTGCTGCTGCTGCTGCTACTGATACTGACATGCATCAGAAATTTAAGAAAATTTTTTTTATCATTGCCACACTCATTCACACACAAATCACACATCATACAAACACACACACACACACACACACACACACACATTTGATATATATACCGATAAGACACGATGAAATTCATCCAAAAAAAAAAAAATCATCATCATCATCATCATTCTGTATAAATAGCCACGTTGTTTGGCAAAGATTTTATTCAACATTTTTTAGTTTATTTGTATTTTTAACTACTACATTTGAAGCGTCTGAACAAAATAATCGCTCTCTTTTTGTAAACAAAAATTTTTTTTTCGTGTTTTCAAATTTTTCTGGTTAAATTTTCCAACAAAAAAAAATGTCTTTAAGTAAATTTTTATTCCGTGGATTTTATCCATCATCAAGAATTCATCAACAATTACGGAATCTACATAATTCATCCACTATAGGATCTATTCAATCGGCAACTAAACAACAACAACAACAACAACAACAGCAGCAGCAAGAACAATCGTTTAATAATGTCAATCAACCAAAAAGAACGACAAAGCAAATAATTGACAAAGAAGAAAAATATGGTGCACATAATTATCATCCACTTCCTGTGGCATTATCACGTGGTAAAGGTATGTAGTAACGGGGAAAGAGAAGGGGTAGCAACAATTAATCGATTTGTTCATCATCAATCGATTTATTTGAATAAACAAAAATTGTTTTTTCACTCATTAATTTCTTCTTCTGATTATCACACTAATCGATAATTTTTTATCTTTTCTTCTTCTTTTTTTTAATTATCTATTTCTTGTTGTTGGGGGCTGATTTTATATCACTGATCTCGTTTGGTTGCCAGGTTGCTATGTCTGGGATGTAGAAGGAAAACGATATTATGATTTTCTTTCGGCTTATTCGGCCGTCAATCAAGGCCATTGTCATCCACGAATCATTGAAACATTACAACAACAATCACAGATATTGACATTAACATCACGTGCATTTTTCAATGATGTTTTGGGTGAATTTAATGAATATATTACTGAATTACTTGGTTATCAACGATTTTTGCCAATGAATACCGGTGTTGAAGCATGTGATTCAGCTGTAAAATTAGCTAGACGTTGGGCATACGATGTAAAAGGTGTACCATATTATGAAGCAAAAGTGATATTTGCACAGGATAATTTCTGGGGCAGAAGTATGGCCGCCATTTCAGCATCAACTGATCCAAGTTCCTATAAAGGTTTTGGTCCATTTATGCCCGGTTTTGAATGTATACCATATAATGATTTGAATGCATTGGAAAGAAAATTAGCTGAAGAAAGTCATAATATTGCCGCTTATATGTGTGAACCAATACAAGGTGAAGCTGGTGTTGTTGTACCACATGATGGTTATCTAAGCGGTGTACGTGAATTATGTACCAAATATAATGTATTATGGATCGCAGATGAAGTACAAACAGGAATTGGTCGTACTGGCCGTATGTTGTGCGTGAATCATGAAAATGTTCGACCAGATTTAATTTGTTTAGGTAAAGCAATATCCGGCGGTGTTTATCCAGTGTCCGGTGTTGTTGCCGATGATGAAATTATGTTGACAATTAAACCAGGTGAACATGGTTCAACATATGGTGGCAATCCATTAGGTATGAAAGTGGCAATGACAGCATTGAAAGTAATTGTTGAAGAAAAATTATCTGAAAATGCTGAAAAAATGGGCAATTTATTTCGAAAATTACTACAAGAACGTCTGCCAAAAGATGTTGCCATTTGTATTAGAGGAAAAGGTCTATTGAATGCTGTTATTGTACGTGAAGATTATGATGCATGGGAAATGTGTTTACAAATGCGTGATCGTGGTCTATTGGCAAAACCAACACATGGTGATAAAATACGTTTTGCGCCACCATTGATTATTAATGAAAATGAATTACATGAATGTGTCGATATTATTGTCGATACAATGGAATCGATGAGAAAATAATAACTTTTATCATCAACAAAAATAATAATAATCATCATCATCAATTTGAAAAACAACAACAACAAAAATGATAAAATCCAACCAATCAATGATAATGGCGATGGATGACGATGACGATGGTGGTGGTGGCAACGAAAAACAACGATATGAAACGCGATAAATATTTTCGATGACAATTTCGTTGTTTACACTTTTCTTTTCACTTCTCTTCTCTTCTCTTCTCTGTGGTATTTATTTATCATCATCATCATTTAAATTTTCATCTCGTTTTTTTCCATTTTTTTTTTTATTGTGATGTGGAAACAGAAATCCAAACATCTTGTCACGTTTTATTTGAACAGCATACACATTTGCATTTCGAATTCATTCGAATGTTTCTGCATCAGGCATTCATATTTTTCATTTTTTCTTTTTGCAACAACAAAACATTCAAATCAATTAACACATTCTACTCACGTATCAACACGATGATAATGATGATGATGATGATTTGTTTTCATTTTTTTTCTTTTTGATGATCTGGTTTATATTTTTATTTTATTTTTTCCTGTAATGAATGTGAAATTGAAATAAATGGGCGATTATAAACGATACAAAATGTGAATGTGTGTATGTGTGTGTGTGTGTATGTGACAAAAATATCTCTTCGAATATTATTTGTCATTGTCAAATTCTAAACACACTGTCATCATATTCCCATGCAAGTAATTTTTGAATTTTTTAAATTCATTGAAATTCTTAACAGAAAAAAAAATTCAACCATAATAATCTTCTATATTATGTGTGTGTGTGTGTGTGTGTGTGTGTATTAAAAATGTCATTGAACTGATGTTTAATGTTTGTTTTGTTGATGCTATGAAAAGCAAATCTTAATTTGTCATAATTATCATCATCATCATCAAGTATCACATCGTCCAATGAATGACAACAACAACAACAACAACAAGTGTGTGTTTTCAATTATATTGCTTAATGAAAAATATATCTTTACCTGGTGTCATTATCCACACTAACACTAACACACACACACACACACACGGATACCATAATGATACAAATCAATTGACGATGATAATGATAAACCTATTTTTTTTTTGGGCGTGGGCGTGTGTGTGTGTGTGTGTGTGTGTGTGTGTGTCAATCTAGTTTTTTCTTTTCTTTCAGCACAAACTGATTGATTGATAATCATCACACAGTCAAAAAAAAAACTTTGTTTTGTTTGGTTTTAAAATTAGAATTTTCCAGTTTTCACCGTTGTTGTATGATGTTGTAACAAACAAGAAAACAAAATACCGGAGAATAATAATAAAAAAAAAATAAAATATTAATGATGATGATGATGAAAGGGGAGGAAATGATTACTTTTCGGGCGGAAACCAACGAAACATTGACACCATTCATTCATCTATCAATCCAATTGTGTAAATGATCGCCCTAAAATTGATTGTGAAAAAAAAAAATTTTTTTTTCATTTATATTGCTTTCGGCAATCATCGATCATCATCATCATTACATTGAATCAAACAAAAAAAAAAAATTTTCTTTTGATGGCCAAGTTTTTTTTAAAAAGAACTTTCATCGGAAATTGATGATGATGGTGATCGGATATCACTAGAAAAAAAAATTTATTTATTCGGTCATCTAGTCTCTCATCTTTTTTTTCGATTTCATATGTATGTACGTCTGTCTGTCTTGTGTATTTTTTCGGGTCAATTGTCCCGTTTCTCTTTTTTTTTCTTTTCACTTACTTAAATTATCGTTATATTACCCGAATTGTTGTTGTTGTTGTTGTTGTTGTTGTTCAATATCTCTATCTCTTCTTATTGAATATAAAAGTTTTCTTTTTTCATCATCTATCTTTTTTTTGTGCTGTTTATCCTGTCATTTCTCTTGGGGATTTATTTTTCTCAATCATCATCATCATCATCATCATCATCATCATCATCATGATTCATGATGATCGAAATTCAAATTCATTGGAAAGAGAATGCGCGTAAATATCAAATGAAACTTTGCTTTTTACCCAAAAAAAAATAAAAAAAAAAAATAAAGATGCTATCACCGTTAGCCGGGATAATGTTTGAAAGATTTTTTTGGTTTTTTCAGGCCATGATGATTGACCATTTTTTTTCTGATGATGAATTTTCAATTTAACCACTACCACAAAAAAAACCGAAAAAAATAGCCAATGTATTGGTCAACACAATGATGATGATGATGATGGTCAACCACCATTTATTATGCATACACACACACACACACACACAGATTCATTTCTATATATACTACTAGCATTTGAATATAAATGTACAATCTTTCTGATATATACTACTACTACTACCACAACTGCTAGAAGTATTTGTAAAAAAAAAAATTCATTCACAAATTAATACTACTACGAATTTTTAAATTATAAAAAAAAAAAAAATGGTGAAATAGGATATTTTTATTCTCATCACACTCACACTTGTATTCTGTGTTTACATATTCATCTATGTTATACACTTGCTACTCGAATCTTCGAACCCGTTGTCGTTGTAGTTGTTGTTGTTGTTGTATAATAATTTGACGCGTCAATTCCTTCACATATATACAACAACAACAACTTTTAACATTTAATATACACATCCAATAGATATATATTTCTATCCACTGTGAACAAGAATCGTTAAAGAGATGTGAACCAGAACAAGGCAACAACAACAACAAAAAAAATAATTCCCGAATTTAAATCCCAAAATTCTGCTACTACTACTTCCACAATAACAACAACAACAAAAAAACCACGACGAATTCTTTTCCAAATGATAATCATCATCATCATCTAGTCTATGTGATATTGTTGTTGTGTTCCAACTATGTAACGCGAATTCTTGATTCTATCTAGGGTTCATTCAATTTCTTCGATATGATATAGTCTGTAAGTATATCTACTACTATCTATTCTTTTGAATACAGTGCCGGGTATATTCTTTCACTTTCTCAATACACACACACACATGCATGTACATTATTCAAACAAATTGTGTTTGTATGAAAATCTAACGAAGAATCCAACGAACTCAAACTTTTTATTGTTATTGTTATTGTTGTGTTGTGTGTGTGTGTGTTTATGTACATCATCATCATTTACAAAACTCATCTACACACACACACATATATTTGTCAACTACAGAAAATAACATCAACATATAAATAGTGAGTGTGAACTTTACAAACAATATATATTCTTGGTTATTATTTCTTGTACCTTCTTATTATATACAACAAGCTAAGCTAAACTAAGCTAATAATTCCCGGTCCCAAGAACAACAGAATTTGATCATTTCTCTACCCAGCGAAAAACAAAGAAAAAGAGAGAATTAGAATTTTCCTCATTCATAATGTGAAAGAATTTTGTGCATGTGTGTGTGTGTGTGTATGGCTGTGTAGCGGTCGAAAACAATGGCCGAATAAATAAATAGAAAGAATCAAATTGAAAAATAAGAAAATTTCGGCAAATTGTAATTGTTTTGTGAAAACTTTTCATTTTCTTTCTCTTCGGTTATTGTGTGTGTGTGTGTGGTGGTGGGAACAACAACAAAACAAAACAAATCAAAAAAAAAAAATTCAGATTCATCACGTCGATTGTGCACTTGTGTACTGCTACAAGGAATATTTTCTTATTTTCAGCAATTTTCAATCATTTTTTTCTCTTGTTTCATCATCATCATCGTTGTTGTTTTGTTTATGTTTCGCCCATTTTTTTTTTCTTAAAATTTGATTTAATTTTTTTTTTACATTTCCATTTCATCCAAAACTTTATTCTTTTCATCATCATCATCATTGGATTGTGTTGTGTGTGTGTGTATTTGCCCATTTGATTTGATTTCAATTTCCATTCATTTCATTTTTTTTTCATTGTTGTTTATGTGTTGCGTGTGTTTGAAATTCAATTTTCACCACCACCATCATTATTACTTGTTTCACTTTGAAATAAACAAAAAAAAACATTAATTGTTTTTTTTCATCGTCTTTTCTTGCTTTCTCATTATTGAACCTTTTTTTTGTTATTATTGATTTTAAATCAAACAAAAAGAAAAACACTATTTCGATAGTTTCGTCATCAATAATCAAATTGTGTTCGGTAAGTCATCATTTTTTTTTTAAATTTCAAATGTCAATGTTCGTTTGTATGTGTTGATTGCACACCCTTTGTACTTTGGCTCATTGGTTTTTTTCTTTCTTCAAATGATGACTAATTTTTTTTTGGCGTGCAACATTTATTTTTTGCAAATAAGACCTTTTTTGTGGTTTGGTTGATGTTAGTCATGATCAATTTACAAATGTCATTTTTTATCATCAAAAAAAAAAAAATTGACAAAATGATGTGATCTGATGACATTTGGAATTTTTTTTTTTCTCCTTCTATCATCATATGAAAAAAAAGAATGTTAATGGATGTCATCATAATCATCGACATCAACACATTGATCTCAATTTTTTTTTTGTTTTCAATAACAACAATTTTTGACATTTTTTCTCTCTCGTTTGTTTGTTTTGAAAACATTGATGATCATATCTATAGATTTTTTTTTTTTTTTTTCAATTTTTTTCCACCCTAAATCATAATCGTATCAGTATATAGAAAAAAACGACTGATGATGATGATGATGGTTTTTTTAGACATGAAGGCGAAAAAAAAATTTGCCTTTAATTCCAATGATGATGATGATGATGATGATCAATATTTGAAACATCAACCAAATAATAATAATCGGATTAGAATTTTGTGATTTTTTTTTTTGAATCGGATAAATGATAGGAATTTGGAATTTTTTCAGAATTTAAATATGATGATGATAGTTGGTGAAAAGAATTGCAAAAAAAAAATCTGCAGAATTTTCAATTTTTCATCCGGAAATGAATTCTGACGACTTGTGCGTCATCATCATTTGATTTGTTGTTGTTTTGTTGATATGAAATCAAAAATTCTCTTGTTACAATGTAACAACAACAACAACATTTGTTTTTGTAATTTAAAATCAAAAAAATGTCATTCTATTTGTGTGTGTGTGATGATCGATTTGATTGAATATTTTTGTTTTTCCACCCGTTTTGATTTGTTTAGTTTTGTTTTTTTTTTTTTACGTATTCCATTTGATTGATCAATTTGATTAATCTATCAATTGATTGATTGATCGATTGGTTATAATGAAATTTATAATTTTTTTTTTTTTGTTCACCAATCAATCGATTTGAATTTGTTTTAATTTATTCAAGTTTAGTTTTGAATGTCTATTTTAACCCAAATTTTCTATTTTTTTTCTTCATACATCTTTTCACATTTCCGTATTCCATTATCCCTTGTGCTTGTGCATTTGATGATGATGTGTGATCTAGATTCTTCCATTGGTATCCTATTGCGTTTTTTTTTTTTTTTTGTTATTATCAGCCCTACAACAGACCACCACCACCACATGTTGTCATCGTTTTTTTTGTTCGTTATTGTCTGTCTATTTTTCTTTGTTTGTTTGTTTGTTTATTTTGTTTGAAAACCAAAACAAATAAATAGTAATGGATCCTACCCAAATGTAAGTGTTGTTTCCTGTTACCTAAAAAAACACACCTTTCTTATTCATTGTCAATTTTTTTTTCTTTTTCTTTTATCAATAATAATTTTTCGTGTGTTTGACACTTGAACTTTTCCACATCCACTATATTAATTATCACCATCATCCTTTTCCTCTTCCAAATGTGTGTGTGTGTGTGTGAGGACTTTTTCTTTTTGTTTCTGTTTTCAATCATCATCACCTTTTATTTCGTAAAAAAAACAACAACAACAACAACTAGTATAATTGATCGTAAAATCAAATCAAAAACAATCGATAATCAACATTTGATCAAGGAAATGGTGGAACAAATTGAAAGGTTTTTGTTTTTAGTTTTTAGTTTTTTGTCGCCTGCTGCATTTAATGCTGTGTACTGATGATGGTGATTGTTGAATCATTAGATTATTATTTTTTTTGATTTCAAAACTACTGTTACTGCTGACCACCGGACAATTTTGTAATTGCTTTTGATATGCTAGAAGTGGCTAAATCTTTAATTTTTCTCTCTCTCTCTCTCTTCTCTCTACACTTTTATAACAAACTCTGTTTTTGTTTTTTTTTTTTGTTGTTATATTTATTATGATTGTCATCTTGTCTGTTTTGTTTTGTTTTGTTTGTTTGTCTGTCGATTGATCGATTTGGTAAATATATTTTTGGATCTTGCAAATCTCTCTCTCTTTTTTGCTTTTGCTTTTTGATTTTATCTATGACTAACTAACATTGCTGTTGTTGCTTCTGTTGAAATTGCTTCGAATGTGTTTGTGTGTGTGTGTGTGTTGGATGACTAGAAATAGCTTTGTACCGAATTGATGATGATGATTTTTTTGAGAAAAAAAAGATGTGATCTAATAAAGTTGATTTTTTCTTTCGTTCGTTCGTTTGTCTATCTATATATAGAACATATCGTTATATTGGTAATAATAACAAAGATGATGTGGTTGATATTCAAAATATTGATGTAAAACATCATTTGATACATGAAGATGATCAACCACGTTTAATATGTTCAACATCACAACAAGAATTTCAAACAATTTTGTCAACATCTAAAATGATGGCTACAGATAATAATAATAGTAATAATATGGATGGACAACAAAAATCATCATCAACATCAATGAATGATCATCAACAGGATCAGAATTTGTCAACATCTAATAATCATAATAGTAATGAAGATGGTAATAATGAACAACAACAACAACAACAACAAAATCCATCAACATTATCTGCAACGAATACATCAGCAACAAAAACAACAACAACAACGTCAAATAATGGCATATTAAATGATGTGCCAGAAAATGCTCAACTAATATCACGACAAACACAACAAGTAAAAACACAGCAAGTAAAAACGATAACAAAAGTTTATACAACACGTGAAATACGTCATATTGGTGGACCATCAACAACGGATGGTCAACCAATCGAACCTAGTAGTAGTAATAGTAGTCAGGTTATAGCAGCTACAGTATCTGTTTCAGCCGCTGATAATAATAATAATAATAATGGTGCCAATCTTAATAATAATAATAATAATCATATGAATAATAATGATTCATCATCAACAAATGAATATAGTAATTTTCCTGGACCAAAAATAATGAATAATAATGGTCCATCAGATCATCATCATATTGTAAATAATCACCAACAACAACGGCAACAACAATCGAATAATAATTTTGATTATGATAATCATCAATATGATCCTCATTATAGCAATACAAATTTTCAGAAATTACTTCAACAACAACAACAACAACAACAACAGCAGCAGCAACAACAACAACAACATCATCATCATCAAATGGCACCAAGTCCTAGTCCAGGTTCTGGTTCAACTGGAACAACTGGTTCTACAGCAGCCGCTCCATTTGTTGTTAATGCAAGAGCAATATATGATCCATATGCACGCAATAATCAGGTATGATATATAAATAATAGAATGATGATTGTCATGTTTCATTGTTTTTCTTTTTATTCATTCAATAAGATCGGATATCAAGATTATTCAAATTTTAATAATTATCAAGATTTAGCCGTACATCATGAAAATCAAAACGGTCCAACGAATGTTGTTGGTGGTGGTAGTGATCATACATCTGCATCTCCTCAACCACCAATACGAAGACATATAGCTGAATTGTCGGCTGGTCCACCACCGGGCACAGTTTATGGTTATGTTCCAGCGGCGGCTAATCACAATTCGACTATACAAATACCGATTAATGCTAGTGCTGGTGGACCACCACCACCAGGTGTAATGCATTCACCATCGGCAGCTATCTATGGAAATTTTGGTACCGATGATGCACCTCAAGGTTATCTAGATCGAAGACAAACTTATGATGATACTAGTGGTCCGCCACCAGGTACTGTTACATATGGTCAAATGCCACAGATGACAGCAGCCATGTATGAAGATGCTGAATCAGCATATCAACATCTTCATGCATTACAACAAGCTGGTATTGCTATGGATCCACAACAAGCAGCTGTATTTTTTCAAAATGGTGCCGCCGTTTTATCTGCTGGTGCTCCAGGTGGACCTGCAGCTAGAATTGGTCCGATTCCGGGTGGTGGTGGTGGTGTTGCTCCCGGTTCATCTGCCGTTACAGCTATCGGACCTGATGGTGTACGATGGCGTGATCCAGATTTACATGAAGTGATTGAATTTCTAACTCATCCAAACAGTATCGTTCGAGCCAATGCTGCCGCCTATCTACAACATCTTTGTTTTATGGATGATAGTATGAAAGCAAAAACAAGATCGTTAGGTGGTATACCGGCTTTGATAAATTTACTTGCTCAAGATGTAGCCGAAATTCAACGAAATGCATGTGGAGCACTGCGGAATCTCAGCTATGGTCGCCAAAATGATGAAAACAAAAGGGCGATACGTGCAGCTGGTGGCATTCCAAATCTAGTAAGATTGCTTAGGAAAACACCCGATAATGAGATTCGTGAATTGGTGACTAGTGTCCTATGGAATCTAAGTTCATGTGAAGATTTGAAAAGACAAATTATCGATGATGCATTACAAGTATTGGTGTCGACCGTGATTATACCACATTCAGGTTGGGATCGTAATAATCCACAACAACAACCATCACAGATTCAACAACATCAACAACCAATCTATTGGTCAACAGTGTTTCGAAATGCTTCTGGTGTTGTACGGAACATTTCTTCGGCTGGTGAATATGCTCGCCGTCGTCTTCGTGAATGTGAAGGTCTTGTCGATTCATTATTGTTTCTAGTTCGTGCAGCTATCGGTAAAAATGATATGGATAATAAATCGGTTGAAAATTGTGTTTGTATATTACGAAATTTAAGCTACCGTTGTCAAGAGGTGGTCGATCCTGATTATGATAAACATCCACCAGGTGTTCAATCACCAAATTCTAATAATAATATTTCAAATACATCATCATCATCATATTCATCATCACCATCAACACAACAACAAACATCTGGAGCATCACCATCATCATCAACTTTATCACCATCCTCATCATCATCATCAAAAAATTCCAGTTCATCATTAATGGGTGGAATCAGTTCGAAAGTTGGTGAAAATATTAGCTGTTTTGGTGGATCAAAAAAGAATAAATCAAAAAGTGGTGGTGGTCATCATACTATGTCACCATCAGTTTCAGCATCAGGTCTAGGTTTGTTATTTTTTTTTGTTTGTTTGTTTGAAATTTTTTATTGATTTTCAATTTTTTTTATTCTGTATAGAATCAAAAACAGCTAATCTTTCATTGAATTCAAATGGTCCAAGAAGTGGAATTGAATTATTATGGCAAACCGATGTTGTTCAACCATATTTGGCATTATTATCCGAATGTTCCAATCCAGAAACATTAGAAGCAGCTGCAGGAGCTATACAAAATTTAGCTGCCTGTTATTGGCAGCCATCAATCGATATTCGTGGTGCTGTACGTAAAGAGAAAGGTCTTCCTATTCTAGTTGAATTGCTTCGAATGGAAGTTGATCGTGTTGTTTGTGCTGTTGCCACTGCACTTCGGAATCTAGCCATGGATACTCGAAACAAAGAATTGATTGGCAAATATGCACTCAAAGATTTAGTTTCAAAATTACCTGCTCCATCAGCTACAGGTATTCCACTTGAAACTGGAACCAGTGATGATACTGTCGCTGCTGTATTGGCCACACTAAACGAAGTGATTGCTCGTAATCCAGATTTTGCCAAATCAATGCTTGAAGCTGGTGGTATGCAACGATTAACGTTGATCACTAAACATCGTAATCGTTTTTCCAGTCGTGTTGTTAAATTCACATGTCAGGTATATAAACGAGATAAACATTATTTTGACATGAATAAATTGATTTTATAATTTAATTTTTAGCTATTGTACAATATGTGGCAACATACCGAATTGAGAGATGTTTATCGAAAAGCTGGATGGAAAGAATCTCATTTTATTATATCACAACATTCAACAGCCACTAATCAATCACGTACATCGACAAGATCTGTGAATGGACCAAGCGCAGGTAATCAACAACAACAAATGATGATGACACCATCACAATCAGCTATGATGATACCACCATCGACACCTACATCGAATGGAGCTTTACCTGGTTCAGGATTCTATCATTCAATCAGTGCCAACAATACATTGAGTCGTCCAATGTCAACTGTTGGTGGTACGAAATATGAAGATCATGGCCATTATCGTGGTGTTGATGGTAGTGGTGGTGGTGGTGGTACATTATCACGATCTGGACAACATCATCAACAACAACAACAACAACAATTGATGGCACAAAGGGTTTGTATTTTTTTCTAAATATCATTACGATGATATTTATTTGTTTCCAACACTATACACATAATAGATGCATGAAGAAATGCTCATGTCCGATATGATTGATGGTCGTAATGTACAAAACGGAACTCAGACATTAGTTCGTGCACCAATTGGTGGTGTTCCAATATTTCCACCTGGAACGGTATGTATCCATTTTTATTAGTCTTTTTTTTGCATGTTTCTAATTATCGGCTGTGCTTCGATACAATTTATTTATAACCTGACTCTTTCTTTCTCTTTTTGCTAATCTATTTCCTTTGTCCGAATTCTGTTTTGTTCTTTCTTTATCTTTGTTTGCTCGTACTCATTTTCCTTAAAAGATGATGATAGCAACAAGTGGTGCTTCAATTCCAGCATCATCCACATCGGGATGTATGGCTGCGGCAGGAAATATGAACATTCCTAACACATCTTCTGCGATGATTAATCGTGAATCACAAGCGATCACTTCGACGGCCCAAAATGATAAATAATAGTCAAATATTCGCTTTTTTATCTGCTTGCTCTTTCTGTTGTCTTGTTTCTTTTTTCATTCTATCTCTGTTTTCTCTATTCTCAACAACATGCTCATTATTCTGGGATTTTTTTATTTTTTCATCGAAATTTTTTTTTTTTTTTTGTCTAACTCATATTCATCTATATATATATTTTGTAGTTACCCGGCGAACCTGTATACGCTCAAGTGAATCGTGAACGTAAACGTCAACAACAGCAACAACAATTAAATCAATTACATCGAAATTCACCAACACAATCGTTACCACCTTCACAGCCACCACCACCACCTCCTAATCATCCAACAAATGGTGATCCAAATATGAATCATTCACCAAACAGTAATGGTGGCCAATATCATAATGTTAATAATGTATTATTAGATCCAACCACTAATGAACCAATTTATCCTCCTTCAATGCCTGCTGGTGATTCATGGGTCTAATATAATGTTTATGATTCAGAAAAAAATGGGTCCACACACACACACACACACATGTACATACATACACACATACACACCAAAGAAATGGAATAATGACGAAAAAAAAATTGTTAGTGATAAAAAGAAAAAAAAACATTTGAATTATTATTACAATGACCACATTTTCTCCACTACATATTATTTTACACAATCACCATCAATGGTCATATACTCGATATATATATTTTTTTTTTATTTAGTGCCAATGAATTGATGTGTTATTTTGAATGTCTTTTCCACAAACACACGCACATACATTCAACATTATCAACAATCATCGAATAATAATATCCAAAGAGAAAGAAAACTTATCATTTCTGTCTCTATCTCTCTCATTCATGCATAATATTTGATTCTTTGAATTTAAATTTTTTTTTTTTTTCTGCTTTTTTCTTTTGTCAAAACTTTGAAATTAATCATCACAAGTCATCATAATTCTGTCCATTAATTTTAATAATAATAACAATCATTCAACAGAGAGATAGAAACAAAAAAAAATAATCACAAGCATGAATAATTTTTTTTTGTATACTCTCCTCTGTCTATCTCTTGAATGGCATTTTTTTTCATCATCATTCTTTTAATGTTTTTCATATTTTTTTTTGCCAATAAAAATGATGATTAATTTCTTGAACAATAAATTTGGAAGTGAAAAAGTCAAAGAAGGCGAAATTCTTTCTCAAATATAGAAAAATTAAATGTTAAAAGTGGTCCGACCTGGCTAATTATCGAAAAAAATTGACAAGTTATTCTAAATGCTGATATCCCTTTCGATGTTAGGGAATATGTTTTTCGGAAGAAAATTTGGTCAGCTGTTCCTTTGGCGACGACTAATGAAATTAAAAAAGAGGAAGATCAATCCATGCAAAACATTTTAAAAAATAATATATAATTAATGCTGCCACAGCCGTTACGTTCTCTTTGAACTCGCGTATGGTGTGGTGTGTTTTGTTTTTCTTGTGAATCTTGAAATAAAAGTTATATTATTTTTATCGAAAAATTAAATGTTAAAAGTGGTCCGACCTGGCTAATTATCGAAAAAAATTGACAAGTTATTCTAAATGCTGATATCCCTTTCGATGTTAGGGAATATGTTTTCCGGAAGAAAATTTGGTCAGCTGTTCCTTTGGCGACGACTAATGAAATTAAAAAAGAGGAAGATCAATCCATGCAAAACATTTTAAAAAATAATATAATTATAATGCTGCCACAGCCGTTACGTTCTCTTTGAACGATACAAAGAAAGGAGAGCATCCGCTGGCTGTCACGTTGACGCGTATGGTGTGGTGTGTTTTGTTTTTCTTGTGAATCACTGTTATTTTGTTTTCTTGAAATAAAAGTTATTTTTCATCGTTCCACCGTTATGTGTTGTATGAAAATATAGTAACACAAATAAATTCACACAAATAATAGTTTTTTTAATAATAATAATATTTTTACAAACTCATTCAAATTTATAATGCTTTTAACAATTAATTAATAATTGAATTAATTGTAATATTTGACTTATTACAACATTATGTCTGTTACTTTAAACATCATTCTTATAGAAAGAACATCTAAAATCACAATAACACACACAACACGCTCGGTCACTCAACACCATTATAATGAACACCCAGAAAATGATGGTGATGATGATGGTGAAGAAACCGAATCCAGTTCTGAAGTAGATTGGAATGAATATTTCACTGGCCATGAGCAAGCAGTTATACATGAAGACTTCGAACTCGGCAGATCGTTTTTTGACATCGTCAAAGACGAGTTGCCATCGGAATTGTATTCGAAATTCATTGAATTTTGCAAATCGATAAATAAGTCGATTACAATTTCATATGACACAACAAGCCATATCATCATTCCACGAAGCAATTGGACAGTGTGAATCAAAAATTTCAAAATTTTATGACGAAATTTGCCAATTCAACATATCTTCAAAAAAAAACTCTGTGAACAACAAAGATCTCACATTTCGGACTTGTATGAAGTTTTCAGTCCATTGCGAAGAGATCTAAAAAAACTAATGGTAAGCTTTTGTAACATAAATTAGTAATTTCTGGTTTTAAAATTTTAACATTTAGGAGAATGGCTTAGCTGTTCAACGTAATGGCGTTGAAATAAAATTAGGAGTATGCCTCGCTTTTGTGCTGGGTGACAATCTTGGCGTTTGCGAATTGTTGGTGATGAGTCGCAATTTTTCAAAGGGCTTTATGTGCCGGTAAGTTGAACTTTATGATTTTTTTCAGATTATGAAATTGAAAATTATTTTTTCAAGTTATTGTGGCCTAACAATCTTTATCTCAATGCTCGTTACACATCCTTCTAACATGCAACAACTTTCCTTATAAAAACTTCTTTTTAAACGCAAAAAATTGTATGGCAAACAAGAAAAATTTTAATATTTTTAACCGACTTTGTAAAGACTTTTGTCTATTTTTAAAAAAAATTATTATCTTTTTATTTTATTATTATATTGTTATTATTATTAATTATATTAATTATCGTCATATTGTTTATTTCTTTGTTCGAATTCCATCCTTCTGCGCAAGTGCTCTCTGTTATTTTAAAATAAATTGAATTGAAACAATCTTTATCTCATTCTATACTCTATAATGCTTATATTGTTGTTCCAGGAATCTTTCTAGTTTCGAATTTGTGAATCGTCATCATCATCATTGTGTTTGTTTTAACTCAAATAGCTTTGAAAAAATTTTTTAATGTTACATTTTAATTTGCCAAAAAAACAAAAAATTCTCCCCCAAAACCCGCAACCACAACCACAACCTAAAAAACAAAAAAAAAAACGCCCCCAGTGGGGATCGAACCCACAACCTTCCGGTTACCTTCAACTTCCGGTTTTTCCCCTTTCCGGTTTTCAACTGTGTGGATTGGAAAATTGAATTTTTTTGATCAAATTCTTTTTAGAGAATCTGGTGATAATAATTCTAGATAAGAGCCGGAAACTCTACCGATTGAGCTATGAGGGCAATCAATGTGATAATAATTTCTTCTTGTGGTCTCGTCTTGCCTGTCTTGAGATCTCTTTTCACATACTTTTTTTGGATTCAGACCGAAAATAGGAAGGTGAGGTTTGGATTAAACTAATGAACCGAAACCACCTAATTTAACCTAACCTAACCTAACCTAACTTAAACTTTTTTCAGATGGTGATGATGAAATGCAGTCTTCAGGCAAGATTTCATCATCAAATACACACTCACACAGGCACACAAAATGAAAATCACGTGCCACATGTATTATCGACAATAATCAATTCGAAAATTCGAATTCGAACTCTTTCTATGTTCTATTGAAGGACTGCACCATCTATTGGATGCAAAAATCTGCAGCAAAGTGTGCTGAGCTAGAACACGAAAAAGCTTTGTCAAAGCTACATACCACAGAATGCGTTTCTTTATAAGCGGCTACTTTTGAGCTGGACGAACTGTTCAGAGGCATTCAAAAAGTTTTCCCCACTGTTCGATATGTTCAGACACACACAACACACACCGAGTAGCTTATACTAAATAGTTATGTTTGTACTGAAAATAAGTAGGAATGTCAAGTGTTTCGGCTTCCCCGCATCAAATGCCGCCAAGTTAATACACCAGTGTAAGTACAAAAGTGCAAGCACTTGGCGAGTGTAAAGTTGCAGTTACACACAAACGTTAGCGTCATAGAATAGTAGATTTTTTTGGAACAAATCGATGAAATGTTCTCATTATCCGATGATGAAAACATGTCTATTGAAGAGATCGATGAAGAAGAATCTTCTTCTCATGAATCAAATGAAAACATAGTGGTTACATCGTTGGAGGAAGAAAATGATGATTGGATCGGATTTGAAGAATCCACAGAGAGTCGCTTCTATGATGAAATGTTAGCAAATCTGGGCCAAAGAAGCTTTTCTCGTTTCTCTGAGTTCGCTGATAAATTAAATCGGTTAAGAATCAATCATAACATCAGGTATGAAAATTCCATATCAGAATCACAATAATTAATGAAACACCTTTTATATATAAAGCTCCAAAGCTGTGAAAGAAATCAATTCTATATACATGGATTTGATCGAAAATCCACCAAAAGAATCGGCATTTATTGAAGGTGTAACGAGATTTTCAAATTCAAAATTTCTTATGGATAAGTTTATAACAAGAAAGGAGAATTACACTAAATCGATCCAATATGTCAAAGGTGACATTTCATTTTCTTATGTTTCCATAAAAGATATTATTCCTATTTTAATAAACGAAGATATCTTATCATCTATCATGAGCGAAGATCAAAATAATGTTTCTCGCTACGTTAATAGTCTCAACCTGCAAAAAACAATCAGAATAATTCTTTATGCAGACGATTTTGGGATGGTAAATCCAATTGGATTTGCTCGTGGGCGCCACAAGATTTTCTCTGTGTATATGGACATAGATTGTCCCATGAAATTAAGACAAAAATCACGTGATATACCATGTGTTGTATTAGCGGAGAGGAAGCAAGGACTAAAATCCGAAAAATTATCTGTGGTTTTGAAACCACTTGTCGACGAACTCAAATTTTTAAGCGTAAGCATATTTTCTTATTTTGATTGATTTCTGAAACTTGATTCATTCATTTGTTGTTAGGAATATGGCATATTTCTTGAAGAATTCAACATAAACGTCCCAGTTAAATTGGCTTTCATTATAGGAGACAATTTAGCAGTAGCCGAGCTACTGGGTTTTAGACAAACCTTTGGAAAAAATTTCATTTGCAGGTGATTGACTTTTTAATTGTGTTTTAGTAATTTATAAATAAATTTATTACATAAAGGTATTGTAACTCAACATATGCCCAAATCAAAGATAAGGACCAAATTGAAGGCCAATTAAATTATATGTTGCCGGAAAAGTATGTAAAGTATGTAAATCTAAATTACAACTTATATGTTTTGATTTTACTAGTGTTGTCCATGAAGAATTGGCGAAAATTAAGGGCAACAAAAATTATAAAAGCCAATATGGCATCAAATTTGAATCACCATTCCTAAGCGTCCCAATCAACATTTTCCAAATATCACCACCAGATATTTTTCATGATTTTGTTGAAGGACCACTAGGAGATATTATCAAAATTATTATCAAAAAAACGAAAGTTGGTCGGGAAAATTTGAAAAGAAAGATGGCAATCAAATATGTCAACGATAAAATATCGTTTGGCAAGAAAGAACAAATAATGGGCAAAGCCGCGCAAGTATGTTCCCTTAATCACTTAAAATAACTTAAAAATAAATTTAAAATTATTGAAATTTGATTTATTTAGAAATTTGAATTTTTTTGCCGGTTAATCGAAATTTTTCCAGAGTGGCTAACTGATCCGCCCGAGATTTTTTATTTTTATGATCTCGTGAGAAGGATGATCGGCTTGATGTTTTCAAAACCGACAGAATCCGGATTGAAAGAGCTCCGGAAGCTGATCAAATCATTCCAAAAAGTACACTTTGACATTTTTGTTGATTGTTTACTGATATTATTTTTCTATGAAATAGGACATCAAAAAATACGATCTAATCAAACCAAAAACACATTTCATCTCCCATTATCCCTCCCTGATGGAATTTTATGGGTGTCTAACTGCTTTCTCTACAATGGCCTGGGAGCGAAAACATCGAATGTTAAAAGTGCTAATGCAACATAGCAAGAATTTTAAAAATGTTGCTAAAACATTGATGATTTTGCACCAGGCCAAACTGTCATACGAATCGATATCAAGTAAGAATTATATGATTTCAAAGAGGCTGTTCTAATTTTGTAATCTTTTTGAAAAACAGCACCAAACGAATGGCCGTTAAATAAAAATATTGTCCGGCTAATTAATGATGAAAAATCATCAACTTTCATATTGGCCCATTCTTTCATCAAAATTGGTAATAAATTATTAGTCGAAGGTGAAAAAATTACAACTATACCAACAGAGTTACCATATTTAAAAAAAACAATTTCAATAGAAAAAAGTGTCAGATATGACACAAATCAAATATCACATATAAATTGTTTCACATTTTTAGATAAAAAATTTGTTAATTTTATACAAAGCTAATAATAAAATATAATCAATTTGTTTATGTTTATAATTTAAAGAATGAATATTAATTTTCAAAAATATTTTAACAACAAAAAAGTTCCCGGGCACGATTCGAATCAGCTGTACTCATGAAAGCTCGAACATGCGCAAAAAGAAGTAACACAAATACATTTTGGGAGGAGCTTAATTTTTCCCCCAAAAATGGGGGTCTATTTGTTTGAGTGTACTTTTTTTGGATTCAGACCGAAAATAGGAAGGTGAGGTTTGGATTAAACTAATGAACCGAAACCACCTAATTTAACCTAACCTAACCTAACCTAACTTAAACTTTTTTCAGATGGTGATGATGATGATGATGACGATGATCTGTCCATCTCTGTTGTAAGGGTGCCGGGTTCAAGGTGGCCATTGCCGCCATAAAGTTTAAAAACAAATCCAAACTTAAACTAAACTAAACGTTTTCTGGTTTGGCTATTTTCAGTCTTGGCTACTTTTCAGTCTTGTCTGTTTTCAGTTTTGGCTGTTTTCTGCCTTGGCTGTTTTTCTGCCTTGGCTGTTTTCTGCCTTGATATTTTCGCTAATTTGGCTATTTTAACCCGCAACCCTTTCTGCAGTATTAATTATATTAATTATCGTCATATTGTTTATTTCTTTGTTCGAATTCCATCCTTCTGCGCAAGTGCTCTCTGTTATTTTAAAATAAATTGAATTGAAACAATCTTTATCTCATTCTATACTCTATAATGCTTATATTGTTGTTCCAGAAATCTTTCTAGTTTCGAATTCGTGAATCGTCATCATCATCATTGTTTGTTTTAACTCAAATAGCTTTGAAAAAATTTTTTAATGTTACATTTTAATTTGCCAAAAAACAAAAAATTCTCCCACAAAACCCGCAACCACAACCACAACCTAAAAAAAACAAAAAAAAACGCCCCCAGTGGGGATCGAACCCACAACCTTCCGGTTACCTTCAACTTCCAGTTTTTCCCCTTTCCGGTTTTCAACTGTGTGGATTGGAAAATTGAATTTTTTTGATCAAATTCTTTTTAGAGAATCTGGTGATAATAATTCTAGATAAGAGCCGGAAACTCTACCGATTGAGCTATGAGGGCAATCAATGTGATAATAATTTCTTCTTGTGGTCTCGTCTTGCCTGTCTTGAGATCTCTTTTCACATACTTTTTTTGGATTCAGACCGAAAATAGGAAGGTGAGGTTTGGATTAAACTAATGAACCGAAACCACCTAATTTAACCTAACCTAACCTAACCTAACTTAAACTTTTTTCAGATGGTGATGATGATGATGATGACGATGATCTGTCCATCTCTGTTGTAAGGGTGCCGGGTTCAAGGTGGCCATTGCCGCCATAAAGTTTAAAAAAAAAACAAACTAAACTTAAACTAAACTAAACGTTTTCTGGTTTGGCTATTTTCAGTCTTGGCTGTTTTCAGTCTTGTCTGTTTTCAGTTTTGGCTGTTTTCTGCCTTGGCTGTTTTCTGCCTTGGCTGTTTTCTGCCTTGGCTGTTTTCTGCCTTGGATATTTTCAATTTGGCTATTTTAACCCGCAACCCTTTCAAGGTATGAATATGGTCATTAAGAGAGCGGAACATATGTTCTGTGTCTGTTATGCTATTTATTCTATCCGATTTGTTTTTTTGGTGGTGATTTCGAATAAAATTTATTTTTGTTTTCTTAAATTAAAGATTTGTGAAAATTGTGAATTATCGATAAAATCAATTAATATAAGCCTCAACGTAAGTCGTACAGTAATACCCCAGTAATATGACTTTATTCAATGACTTTCAAACAGCAACTTCACAAACATAAATCGAATATCGAACAATATGAGCAACACAACACGTGTTGCTTGGCTTAATCGCCACTTGGGGTCGCGCTATCGACTCACGACCATTACAATAACAATCATGACAGAGATTGAAAAGTTCGAAAGTGTTGAAATTTGTTGAAAGATAAAAAAAGGTAATACACCTGAACTGTAGAAACATCTGTTTCGTGAGACAGTCACATGAACAGTCATCAACGAAGAAATATGCAAATTATTGACCGGGTTTGGTTCGGGCGTTTGAAGTCGATTTGGTAACGATAAATAAAATCGATTAAACAAACAAGTGGATCAATTTGAACCACTTTATTGTGAAGTTTTGGATAAGGAACATGAAAGTAAATCTTTACTTGTCGTTGCAACGAAAATATTTGTTTCATTAATATCTGGTGAATATTCCAATATTTTCTCTTTCCATTGATATCGCAATGATGATGGACAAATGATTATCAATGGCCAATCATCACGGAACCACTTGGCCAATCCTATTGCTTGTATTGTTTTACCAAGACCCATGTCATCAGCAATCAACAATTTTCCATCACGTTTTATGCCGAATATAATACCTTCACGTTGATATGGATAAAGTTTATCATAAAAATCCGATCCTAATCTTTCGGATAAATCAATTTTCATGTCGGGTATAATATTATATTCCTCAAGCGGCCATCAAAGCCGTGTGTAGTAGGAACACTTCCGATGCACTAGCTCTGGATATCCAGAAATCCATACAGACAGCTGGAATTCATATTTGCATCATCTGGGTAAAAGCCCATGTTGGAAATGCTGGAAATGAAATGGCGGACCAGCTCGCTAAGGAAGCCACGAAAGGAGAGTCGATATATTATCATTTAGACCCGATATCTTATGGACTACGATTCCTAAAGCTTATAATGAACAAGGACTGGAACAGAGCATGGAAAACTGCTATTAAGGGTAGAACTACTGCCGCTTTCTTCCCTTCAATAGAAGACAGAAGGAACTGCCACTTCCTGCCAAACTACGTCCAAACTCAGTTCCTCACTGGGCATGGAAGATTCGCAGCTTACTTAGAAAGGAGAAAAATACATTCGTCGGACCGCTGCATCTGTGGAGAACGGCAGACGGCTGAACACGTTCTTTTACACTGTCCAGCCACTTTCAACTCAAGAGCGTTAGTTGAAGCCAGGATTGGGAGTCTCAAGTCACTGGAAATGAATAAGAAGAATTTCCAGTACTTGCTAGAATACATGACCGATGCTTATAAAATACTCCCCCTGCATTAATAACCCTACGTTATATTTTTTTTTTTTTTTTTATATAAATTTCTTTCTTTTTTTTATGCTATTATTGTGAATATTTCATTATTATCTTCATTTTTATTTTTTATTTTTTTTTTTATTTTGATTTTTTATTTTCTCTTTTTCATTTTTGTACTACTCTTATATTATCTTTCTTCATTTACGTACCTCTAGTGTATTTTTCTAGTTCTAGAGGTCTTTCCAAATAAAACCATTATTATTATTATTATTATTATTATTATTATATTCGATTAATTTTTTGGTCAAGGATTGAGGAATATTTTGATTTTGAATGCATTCATTTTCTAGTTCACTTTGATCTTCAAACTATGAATATTTTGTCGAAACTTATATCAAAGTTTTGTTTCTTCAATTCTTTTATATCAGCCATAAATCGTTCGAATTCTTTAAGTGGAAATGACCATGTTTGTTTCACTGGATCATATTGTCGTCCTTCATAGTTTTTAAATTTCTTGAGGATTTCTTCTTCATAATCAACACGCACCATAAAACGTGAATTATCCAAGAGGCACAAAGACATTGTTTTTTTGATCACTGTTTTGGCTGCCATAGCCATCTTTATTATTTGTAAAAACATACTTGTAATTGTCTATACATGAAGACAACAATAAATGTGGTCTTTGGACCAAGTTATCCACAGCCTGAGCTGCGTCTACTTTTACATATATAACTGATATACATACAGGTAGTAATCAATCAAGGAAGTGTCATGAGAAACAAAAAAACAAATACAACTTTGAACTCGGTATAAATTGGTGAAAACGCGCCAAAAAAACTATTTTCGTCCTTTATGAAGATACCGCTTCGCGACACATTCTTTAAATTTAACACTTTTCTGTTTATTTTTCTTTTGTTCTTTTTTTCCATTAATTAGTTTGTTTGGATAATCTTGTATTTTTTTTTTTCATCCAAATCAAATTCGAATACGTACAATAAAACCAGGCACATAAAACACAATGTTTATGTGTCATTAACCATCATATGATTTTGTTTGTCTTGACGATGATGATGATATTATCAACAAACAACAACAACAAAATGACATTGTCAAGAACAACAAAAATGAAAAAGAAAAATTATTATTTATTTATATTAAAAGTCAATGACAAATTTATTATAATCATCATCATCATCATCATTCTTCTTCATTATTATCATAAAATCATGACAATAATGTGAGAATAGTGAAAACAACAATGAAACTTTTATCAAATCGAAAAAATAAATGATAAGGTGACAATTTTTCATTTCATCCGACAAATTAATATTAATTATGTGTTTTCATATTCATAAATGGCAAAATTTTTCCCATTTCAACTAAAAGAATGGTAGTTGTGCTGTGTTTATTCGAACATTTTTTTTTTTTTGGTGATGGTGGTGGTGGTGGTGGTAACATTTTGTTTCTGGATATATTAGTTTGCGGGTCATTGATGTTGATGATAATAAAAAAAAAAAATTGCTTTGATGATGATTGAAGACAATTTGCCTGATAGATAAATCATTCAATGATTCAGCATTGTGTTATTTTATTAGTTATTTGAATTTTAATGTTTCAACTGTAAACAACAACAGAAACCGTATATTGTCTACAGTTTCAATTTCATTGATCCATAATTTATCAACACCAACCAACCAACCAACCAACCAACCAACAACAAGAACAACAGAAAGAAAAGAATGTTGATCCAAAATGGCAATCGGATTTTCATTCAAATAACCGTATTCATATTATTGATGATGATGATGATGATTACCATATCATATCAACATGGTAAAATGATGGAACCACCTGCACGAAATGCAGCATGGCGTGCTGGTTTCCATACACATATTGATTATAATGATAATGAATTATTTTGCGGTGGTTTAACGGTAAGTTTGAACTTGACCAAAAAAAATTATTTGACAATAATTTATGATTATTCAACCAAATATAATTGCAGACAATGTGGAACAAAAATCATGGTAAATGTGGTATTTGTGGTGATTCGTATTCATTGAAACAACCGAGGCCATACGAAAGTGGTGGTATCTATGTGAATAATATTATTGTACAACATTATCGTAGCGGTTCAACAATCGCTGTAATTATTTTTATATCAGCCAATCATAAAGGCAAATTTTTATTCAGTATTTGTCCTCGCAATGATCCACATAAATTGGGTAATATTTTATTGTTTTTTTGTTGAAAACAATAATTTTAATTTCAATTTCAGAAACGGAAGAATGTTTCATACCTTTAATGGTGAATGGAGAAAAGTATTATCGATTAGAATCAAATATTTTTGGAAACATTTCATTATCAGTACAATTACCATCGAATGTTGAATGTAAACATTGTGTACTACGATGGCATTGGCGTGGCGGTAAATGGCAACTTGTTTGTACTATTCTCTTCATTCAAATGTTGATTGTTTACAGGTAATAACTGGGGAATATGTCCTGATGGTAAAGGCAAAATTGGTTGTGGACCACAAGAAACGTTTCGTAATTGTGCCGATATTTCTGTTGGCAACATATTTGATGATAATCATGAACAATCAAATGATACAACAACAACAACAATGGAAAATGAAGATGAAAATGTTGACAATATCATCGATAATGAAATATTGGATGAAATTGATGAATCAGATCTGGTCATAAAAAATTCAAATATTAATCACATTGAAACTAGTAATGAAAATTCAATTGATGATGATAGTGATATTCGAAAAATTCCAAAAAGATGTACATGTACCTGTTCAGATCCGAATAAGCCATTGCCAACAATTTATCATTGATTTAACAACTTTATCACCACCACCACCATCAAGTAATATCAATTCACATGACGAATGATGATCATAATCATCATCATTTTTTTCGAATGTTTTTCACTTTTGTTTGGAGCCAAATTAAATAAAGTTCGGTTTAATATTTTATGTTCTTGTGTATAAACACCATTCTTCATTCAGTTCATCTCTGGTGCTGTAAATCGTAACATTGAGTGAGAGTGTTTATTTTATTTTTGAATTTGTTTCGTCGTTTTATTTGGTGAAAATAAAATTGAACATTGAACATTTCGGTTTTCAATAATTTTTTCCGTTCTTGTGTAATCACAAACAAACAAACAAACAAACATTTATTGATTTGGATTCATTCAGTTCATCTTCAAATGTTCAATTTTTTTTTTGCTTAATCAAATCTTTGGCTCGTGTAATTTAATCGTAAACACATCAAATGAAAATTCATTAAACTACCGTAATATCATAATTGTTATATCGGGTGTTTTGAATTTGTTTTTTTTTATGGCCGTATCATATCGTCATAATGGTGATTTAAATGGTGAAAATAAAATTATTGAACATTGAACATTTTTGATTGTGACAATTTCATTTCTGGTGTAAGTTTATTTTTTCGACATATTTAGCTTTTCAATTCCTCGCTTCGTTTCGTTCACGGACTTTCAAAGAAAAAAAAAAAATTATTATTTTGATTTTCAAAACAAGAAAAAAAAATTATTCATTAATTTTTCAATTACTCTGTGCATCGTTTCATTGTTGGTTTTGCCACTTTAGTTTTTCAATTCCTGTTTCGTTTCGTTCACGGACTTTTTTTTCGTAAGTTTTTCTTTTTTGCTTTGTTTTGCATCCATATATGATAAAGTTCACCGGTTGTTTGATCCAACAAGTTTTTTTTTGTTGTTGTTGAAAATCCATTTCATTTCTTTATTCTTTGGATGATTTTTTTTGGTCATTTTCGCCAAATTGATTCATCTATTTGAAATCCATTCCATTATTGGATCAATTACCGGTCTCTGTGTGTGTGTGTATGTGTGTTTTGTATATATTTTTTTTTATATTCAATTTCATTGTAAATTTTTAAAATCATATATAGATCATGTGGTTGTAACCATATGTATATATACATTGTGTACAATGTCTTGGTGTCATTTATCATCATCATCATCATCATCAATATATATAGAAATATATATGGCCATAGATTTTGCCACTGAATGTTTTTTCGGTGTATAATAACAATAACAATATATTGCAATGATGATAAAAAACGATGATGATGATGATGATGAGCAGAAGCAATATTGCAATTGAAGAGAAAAAAAAAAATGATGTGATGTTTATACAGGGTTCAATTTATGGTGTGTGTGTGTGTGTGTGTATTTGATAAAATTGGATTCGATATTTTTTTTTTGGTTTCTTTGGCCGATCATCATCATCATCATCATCAACATCAACATTTTTATTTCATAAATTTTATCAGGCGAAAATAATCATCATAAAAATTTTTATGATTTTATTTTCGTTGTAAAAGATCATTTTGTTGTTGTTGTCGTTGTCGTTTTTTTTATTATTCAAATTGGAACAACAGTTAAGCTGTCACTTGTGTGTGTGTGTGTGTGTGTGGGTCTGTTTAATATTATCATCATCATTTTCAAAATTAGAATGTAGGTTAGTTTCGTAATTCCAATGATATTCGATCTGTTGGATGTTTGTGTGTGTGTGTGAATTTTTTTCTCTCATCGTTCAACTTTTTTTTTTTTGTTCCTGAACAAACATAGTAATCGTTTTTATTCTGTTTATATTCTATTTAGGAATATTCATTTGAATCTGTTCTACGATCGTGCATTTGGAATCCTTTTGTTCATTTCTGTTTGACGTCAGAAAGAGAAAATTTTTATTTTATTTTTTTTTTTTTGACAAAAAATAATACGATACGACAACACACATTGGATAAATTTGAATAATTTCAATTCTCTGTGATTTGTATTTTGTTTGTCACACAAACAACAACTACGACAATATTCTGAATTTGGCAAAAAATACGAAAAAAGAATAAGTTTTTTTTCTCATCTAATCAATCGATTGTAATTTCGACGACAACAAAAATTATTATTTCCATCGTAATGGCATCTGTTAATGAGAATCCGGTAATTTTTTTTCTGTCAATTAAATTTTTCATATATTAATGTTTTTTTCTCTTCGAAAAGGAATCCAAAATGGCTGAAAAAGAAGAGGAAAGTAAATTAAAGGCCAAATATCCACAATTACAACGTCCAGGGCCACAATTTTTGCAAAAACGTCTTCAAAAAGGAGTATGTTTCTCATTTTAGTTCGTTTTCTCGGTTATTGAATTGAATCTTTTCTTTTTTTTGTCTTTGAAAATTTAGCAAAAATTTTTCGACTCAGGTGATTATAATATGGCTAAAGCAGCTGCAGCCAAAGGTGGCACACCGAAATCTCGTCTATCAATGAATCAATCATCAGCGGCTGGTAGTGTTGTTGGTGGTATTGGCGGTGGACCACAACCACCATTACCACCAACGATTGTAGCACCGGTTACAACCGGCGAAGTGATACCAACACCTGATTGTCTGGCAACACGTAAAGCATCGATCCATGTTCCAAGTAAATTAGTTTCGGGTGGACCTTGAATTTATTATTAATATCTTATATTTAAAATGAATGAATGTTTATAAAATGATGAATTGAATGAATTGAATTGAATTGACAATTTTTTTTTACCATCCATTAAATTCAGTAAAAGAATAATAATAAAAAAATCTTGGAAAATACACACACACACACAACAACACCATACATACATACATACATTCATTCATTATTGAAATCAGAAATTGCAAAATTCACTCATTCATTCATATATACATCGCACACACACACACATTTATACTATCCCATTTTTATTTTTCAAAATACCATAACAAACATTGTGATTATTTCTTATTTCTTATTATTATTATTTCTATAAATATTCAAATTTTTGGTTCTTTCGTTTTTATTTTCCGTTTTTTTTTCTGTAAAAACATTTACCGAGTTTGTGTGTGGATTTATTGTTCTCTCTTTATCTCTTCATTGGTACAACAACAAAGAATGCAATTCCACCAAGGCAACCGAAACCACCACCACCACCACCACCACACTCACCCATTCCAAACCATCACCATCTATCGATTTGTTTTCATTTTGATTTTTCTCTTTTTTTTTGATTTTCATTCTTGGCCTTGCATAGCCTTTTTCACACCACCTAAAACCGTCCACATTTATTAACCATAAGAGATTAGTCAGTAAGTTTCATTTTTTTTTTATTTGTTTTCATAAATTAAACCATAGAATGATGAATGGAGTATTTCGTTGTTATTTGTCCTTGTCCTTGTCCACCAGAAAAAAAAATTATCATCAAAAAAAAAAACTGAATATTTAAATTCCAAATTACCATATAATTTATAATTCGCCAACAACATATTATCATCATTATTTGAAAAAAAAAATTTAAAACTAATTTGAATTTTCATTTTTATCTTTTTTTTCTCCATTCTTTTCTATCGAAAATAGGCATCAAGCGACATTAATGGCTTTATTATTATGTTAAATCAATGGCCAAACGAATTTCGATGATATTTGTTATGAATATATCTGGCTTAAAAATTTTGCCACTCATTACCTATTAGTGGATTTAGATGATGAACACATTCATTATTCCAAGAAAAAAAAAATTAACCATATATTTCTATACATTGGCAATTATTTGGTCTTCTTTTTCCGGTCATTTCCTCAATCATCATCGACAGTTTATATATTGTAATAATTTTTTCCGGTTATGAATTTTTTTTTCGTTTGTTTGTAAATAATCGTCTTTTTTTGATATATGTTTTTTTCTGTTTTGTTTTTTTTACTATTCAATTCCGAATACATCCAAATCCAAGTATTCATGATTTTTATTTGATTCATTTACAAAAAAAAAAAATACAAATTCAAAGGCCATCATGTCCTTATAAATTACACGAAATGAAATATTTACAGTTGTATTAATTAATCATCATTGATAAGATAAGATATACATACAATGCCATTAATCGTCTTTGTACATTGGATTACAATAGGCAATTTCTTTATCCAATTTTTTCATCTGTTGTCTTTGTAGCTGTTGTTGTTGTTGAATATTTTGATTTTTCATCTGACGCACTTGTTCCGAATTTATGTATTGTCCAACATCAACATTATGTTCCATAGATGTTTGTGTTGAAATTGATGTCATTTTCGGTACGGTCATTTCAATGGAATTTTTCGATTTATTCATTAATCGATGATTGCCAGATTGATAGTTATGAAAAAATGGATTAACCATTAAATTATCATTCATTATGCTTTCATGATTGATAACGGTAACAATATCATCGTCCTCATTAGTCCCATCATCATTATCTGTACAGCTTGGCCGAATCGTAATCGTTGCCGATTGATGATGAAATTGAACAAATACAACACGAACTTCGATCACAATCAATGTTGTTATTAACATATCCATAATCATTGTGGTCAACTGGGCCCAGAATCCTGGTCCACGCCATACTCGATAATTAATTTGTGCCATATTACCAAGTAAATCTGTTTCTCTTAATGATTGTTGTGGTGTCAATGCTCCAGCCAATGCTATCATTGTTGATAATACTGTGGATGAATGATTAAAAAATTTTTATTTTTTTCACTATTTTCATTCCAAACATACCTGCTATACTTATGGCATAAAGTTTATTACGAATTTGTGTCCGTAAATAATATTCTTCATCATTTTGCATTTGAATTCGATTGGCCATCAAACGATTAACAATGATGAAAAATCTTTTCAATTTGGTTGTATTCATTTCAAGATCATCATTATTATTATTATTATTCCATGTATCATAATATGATTCAATCAAACGAAATGAAACCATTGAACAAAAAATAAACAATGCCATTGTATGACAAATAACAAAAAATGAAATAAAAGCTCTTGGATGACCGGGTATAAAATATGTATCGATTGAATCACAATCTGAATCCATAATGATATGGCCATCATCATCAACTTGTGCTGGAATCAATTTACGATATGTACACATTGACCATAGGCCATAATGGCCATGTTCTTCAATCAAACCAAGTTCAATACGTGATTCAAATGATGCCCATCGTATGGAACAAAGAGCATAAAATTGTATCAATAAACAAGTTAATGAAAATGTAAATTGAATAATTAAAACAATTTTGGTCATTTCCATGATTTGTTTTGATGTTGAAGATGAGATGATTGTCTTTGTTTTTTTTTCTTTCGGATTAATAACACAAACTTGAAACAAATTCATTTCAAAATGAAAATATTCTCATCTGAAGATCTGTATAAAATCACAACGAATATTTTCATCATCATCGTTGAACACTATGAACGAACCACTTGTTGTTGTCGTTGTTGCCCAACACGAAAGCAATGACGCGTATCACCGCTAGAGTCCGATCCAAAGTGGGAACAAAACAAAACAAAACAAAGACCCAAAGGCCAGTCAGTCAACCTTGTCGTTGTTGTTGTTGTTGTTGTTGTGGTCTAAACGATTTAAAAAAATGAAACATTAAAAAGCTGAAAATTCACCACCAAACAAAAATTACCTATATGAAATACACTGAAAAAAATGACACGACAACGAAATGTCGATGAAATTTTCTGTGAATTAAAGTTGACATCACGAAAATAAAATAAAAAAAAATACGAATGAATGAACGATGACGAGCAAGTGGTGGTTATGATGAGAAGACGAAAGAAAATAGAAAATTAAATCATCATTCGTATATCTTGAGGTATATCATGAACGACGATTTACGAATATGTTTAGGCTCTAAAAATATAAATTGAATTAATATAAATCAAACGAATAAATGAATAGAAAAAAAATCGAATTACAAAAATAAATATATTTTGCCAAAACGAGATAGATCAATTTAGCTTGGGACTTGTAAACGTAAACGTAAACGTGAAACACATGAAAACTTTTTTTTTCTGTGGGCAATACTTGAAGCAGTTTACCTTATTTCGAGCTAAATAACGACGATGAGCAACTTACTTGACTCATTGATCTCGATCATTTTGAAAATGCCCACATTACATTTTCTATATATGACTATAGGCTGACCATTAGTATGATGATGATATGGTAAAGATTTCGTTCTTGAAAACAATGATGATAATCTCTACAATCATCATTCATTTTATATTCATCGTCAAAAAAAGAACAGGATACAATTTGTTGTTTTTTTCTCATTTTCTCATTTTCCATTGTTTTTCAATGATGATGATGATGATTTTAAACGATTTGTATGTATGAACAACAACAATTTTCATTTCAATGTCATCATAACATTATATCAACATGAATAAAACAAATATATATTGTTAGACATCGCCCTGATTTGAATTGAAATGAAATGAAAAACTATTGTTTTAAACAGATAGTCAATGTGTGTAATGTCAGTTATGAAAGACCCTCAGTAATAGATAATACTTTGTGGTTACGTGGTATATCGTCATCAATGATGAACCCCAACTCGAACAGTTGAGTGGAGTGAAAATGTGCTTATTGACAGGATATTGAGTAAATGATTTTTCGATTATTTCTCTCTGTGTAGTTAGTTGAATAAATGTGGTGATGATGCATACGCTACACAACTTAATAATTTTTTATCCGACAATTAATTGATTGATTTTATGAAAACCATTATTATGAAATTGTGTTTAATAAAAAATTATTGATCATAATCCACTGACCCAAATTGAAAAAAATACCTACATTTGGGTCAGTGGAAAATCGAATTTCACAAATCCTGGAAATCCTGGAAAATATATTCACAAAGATGATTGTTATTGTTCAGAATTTTTGACAATTTGAATCTCTTCAATAGCTTTACTGTAATGAGATGATCCAATATTGGAATATGACTTTCGTTAATCACGAGGTTTTGTTTATTCATCTTTTTTTTTGATCATCAAACATTAAAATTTTTATAAATTGAAAAAAACAAATAATTAATTTCAAATGATAAAACAATTTTTTTTTTTTAAATAATGTGCTTGTGCGTGATTAGTAATGAATTGATGCAAATTATGAATGATGAATTTGAATTGTTATTATTATTAATTGAATTTCATATCCATTGGTAATGTAATCTGAACAAAACGATTATAGAAACGATGAAATGCCCGGCCAACGGCTTCAGCCACATCACGAGTAGTATTTGATGGACAACAATCAACACCTTTGAAAACATGACATGCAAATCGTTGCTGTATGGTTGGATGACGAGTGATGAATGCAAAATAATAGACATTATTTTTAAATTGATAACCACAATAGGTGATCTGCACTAAAGCGAAGAAATAATCATGTTTATTCTGAAATTTGTTTCCATTAGTCATTGTTGTTGTTGTTGTTGTTGTTGCTGCTGTTGTTGTTATGGAATTATCAATCATACGTATACCGATATCGGATATTTCAAGTAAACAATGAAATGGAATATTCAATGCAATGGATGATTTCCATGTTGATTGATGTTGTTGTTGTTGTTGTTGTTGTCGGACACCAATCGATACACGTTGTATAGCATCATCAAGTACATCTTCACCTTTTGCTTTGAAAACTTCGATTGATCCAAGAAAATCTAAATTATAACGATCACGTTGTATACGAAAATCAATAAATGGATATGGAAAATCTTGATTATTGATCTGGTTGCCATCTGTTGTTTCAAACATAAATTCTGAATAATTAACATCAATAATTAATGATGATGGAAATATACCACGATCACCGGTTCGTAGATTTAGTCCATCGGACCATTGATCATCAAATTCTTCATACAAATAGATTGCATCACCAATTTGTAGATCAATTTCATCTGAATGTCGTGCACAAAATTTAAACAGAGCTCTATGTGTTGCATCAGGCAATTCGTTCATTGGCTTTTTGCAAATTTCTGATTGTAATTTCTGTTCATTATCAGCGAAATTTTTACCACAATCATCCATAATATTGCCAGTACTTGTCATTGATGATTTAGATTCAAAAAATTCAATTTTTTCATTAAATGATGGTATTGTAGATGGTGAATCAATGTTGGATGAAACACCTGAATCACTACTAGTGTTAGTTAATCGAGAAAAATGTTGTCGATGATTTGAAGATTGATCCGTTGTCGTCAATGATGATCCATAATCATTCGATGTTGATGACAACATTGTCATTTCCAACGACATTGTATCATCATGACTCCAATCCAATGATGATGAATGATCAAATATTGTTGAATTTAGATTCGTTGTTTGTGATGGTTTTTGTTCGGTTGTCATTATTTCGGTAATTGAAGATTGTGGAGAGAAGAAAATATTTTTTCATCTTTATTACAATCATCACCATTTTTCTCTTCTTTATCATCATCATCATGAACATAATCACCACCATCATCATCATTGAGCATCTTAATCGAAAGGGTTTTACCGGTATATGAATCTGTTTTAATTTCTAATAACATATTTGCCATTGTTAATTTCCAACGAAGATTTTTTGCTAAATTTTCATGATGATGATCATCATCATCATCATCTAGGTTCATTTGCCATATTTTTCCAAACGCTATATAGTGATGAATGAATGGAAACAAACCAGAAAAAAAAGTGAAAGATAAATCAAAAGGTTTAATTTATTTGTCAATAATAAAGAGAAGATATATAGATTTACGTTTTTTATCCAATGGTATTTTTGGCAATTGGCGACGTTGTTTTTTTTGTTGACAAAAATTTTTAGATTCACTATTGAACATTTGTTTGTTGATGAATTTTTTTGTTAGATGATCATCATTATTATTATTATTAGAATTATGATGATTATTGTCTTTGACATCATTTTCAGCATCATCATCATCAATGGGACTCAATATAGTATCAGGTACAAGACGATAACATTGATGTTTCATAGAAACTTTGGCCTGAAATGAATCAGGTATCGTTTCTATATTCAATTGCATAAATGATTTTGATGAATTTTTTTTCCTATTTTCTAGATTTTCATTGAAATTTTGATGATTTCCTGTTGTTGTTGTTGTTGTTTTGGTTGAATTCATTGGATTTTCAATTCCACTAGTCATTGTTGTTGTTGTTGATGCCATTCTAGTTAACGAAGAAATGAAAACACAAAAAACCTTATAATGATTAAACTATATGGATCTGGTCACGTTTTTGCTGTATGTGTATTCTACAAATGTACATAGTGTACTCTTGCTTCACTACTCTGTTGCTGCTGCTACGATGTTTTTTTTTCTGGAACAGATGGAAAATCAAGACACATACACACACACAAACATACCGACAACTACCGATCCAATTGTCCAATATGCAGCCAAGGTCCAATGGTTTTCTTCACTAGGGTAGAACAACAACAACAACAACAACAAAAAAATCCTTAAACCTTAGTGACAGGCAATGTGAACGTGTAAAATTTTGTCCATATTCATTCATTTGGTAAAAAAAAATCAAAAGAGACCATACCAGACCCATACTTCCGATTTATTGTTCTGCAGAGGTAAAACAAAAAACAGAACACCGGTGAAAAAAAAAAATTTCAGGCCATATTGAATCTATCAGATCTGGAAAACATTTTTTCACTTTCTATTCACTTCAAATCTGTATATACGCCTTATATGAAACGGTAAAAAAAGCTGGTGTTTGGGTGAAAAAAATTAGCCTTGATGATACCACACACACACACACACACAAGATTACCATTACATTGGTGTAATCAAATAATGAATGTCAATGACAAATTAAACAGTTGATTCCAAGTGGACAACAACAAAGATGAACAAACACAACTCGTCAAGGTTGGCTATCTTCTAATATGTTTGCATTAGACAAGCCGAAAATGGCTTCTCAGCCATAATTAAATTAACTGTTATGTAATAATGGTGTGCTGTGTATGTGTTGGATTGTCGTATTAAAAAAAAAAATGAAATAAAATGAAGAACACACCCGAAAAAGTATGAGATGATTTTTTTTTCTGGAACACTTGTCAATCCAATTCAATGATGATGATGATGGACACAGAGTAATAATAATTACCAATATAATTCAGGTGAATCATAAAAAAAACGACCAAAAAAAATTTTTTTTTTGTTTGCCTCTTGGAACACTTGTGTGTAAGTCATAAAATTATATAACCACCAGAACATCTATACTTGAATAATAATGAAAAGAAAGGTTTTCGTTTCCTTATGATGACCAAGGTTTCAATTGGAATTTTTTTTTTTTTTTTTGCTGCTGTTGTTATTGATGTTGTCCTTGTTCCATTATTGTTGTCGTTGTTGTTGCTGCTGTCCCTGTATGTGAAAACCCGGTTTTTCAGCATTTTTTTGCCGTTTAGCCTTGTGTGTTATAGCCGAATTGATTCCAGTGATATTCTCACTATATAGAATGAAATTTATTTATTTATTTCTTACGTAATAATTGATTCTGCAAGAAAAAAAAATTGTTTATTTTTGTTGGCAAAAAAATTCTTATTTGAAATGGCCAAGATCAACCAACAACAAATTCAATACAAGCGACTATGACTATATTATGGTCGCTACATACATAGCAACAAATCTTATGGATTCTTGCATTTGGTTTCCAAAACCATTATCATGGCAATTCCATATGTAGAATCTTATAGATCGATTTTTTTTTCTTTGGCTAATTATAGACGAAAAAAAAAATCGTTACAGTCGAAAAAATAGAATTATAAACGTTTTTTTTTGCATTCAAACAATTCTTTGGAATTAAAGAATACTGCCACGATCACCACCAGATATATAGTATTTTAATTTAATTCTCTCTCTTTTTATATTACCATTATCATTACAAATACAGATCGATACAATTAAATCGATTTTGAATCAATCAATCAATCAATCAATAACATAAACATATCAACTAAATTAAACAGCTAAAAAAAAATAACTTAATTATTATTATCACAATGCTTGGTTTGGCACACACCATCATCATCATCATCATCGTCATTGTTTACCTATATAGCTGCTGTTGCTGCCGCTATTGTTGTTGTTGTTGTTGTTGTTGTCTCGGTATCTAGGAGTTATATCCTGTTACTTTATTTCTAGCTGAAAGTACGAATAGCAGTGGTATTTTTTTTTATTATTATCTTCATTCATTCATTCATTGATGATGATTGTATTGTGTATAGATTGCATGTGTATTGTATTGGGTTGATTGCAATATTGCAATTTCCATTGTATATGTGTATCTGGTGTGTGTGTGTGTTGTACAACAACCAGAAAAAAAGTATGGATCCATTCAAGTGGATATATGTCGCCTTTGCCTGGTATATCGTCGCCGTCTTCGTCGTCGTCGTCGGTTCTGTCTTTGTTATCATCGTATGATTTATATTTATATATATATACTGGTGTGGTGGCTGTCTATGCTCAACCAAAAAAAAAAAAAAAAACTTCTTGTGGCAGAGTTTTTTTTGTCGTTTCTGTGTTTTTATTATTTTCATAATTCTATAGAGAATCCCAACTATTCAGTCCAGTTGTCTAGATCTTTGGATCTTTGGATCTTCTATAGTTTTGTTTGTTTGTTTGTTTTCTGTTTTTTATTACTGTGTTAAAATGGTCATTTTTTTTCTTTTGCTATAAAATTCATCATCAACAACAACTGTTAAAACAGTAACCACAACTGTAGCTACAACGAAAAATTGAAATTGTTTCATTCGCCATGTTTTTCATTGATTGATTGATGATAAATCAATTTGTTATCGATTTGTTCTAATTTTAAAAAATTCATTTACTTACTGTGATCGACGATGATTTTGTGATTGATTTGTAAAAAAACAAAACAAAACAAAGTTATGCATGTGACATAGATATACAACAACAACAACAACAACAACAAAAAATCTCATATAATCATTGTTATTGTGTCAATTTGTTTTGTTTCGTTAATTGAAAGATCCTGTTTTGTTTTGTTTTTTTTTTGTCAACGTCATCATCATCCAGAAAAAAATGAGAAAATTTTCATTTTATTTGTTTTTTGTTATTGTCAAAAACGACTACAAGACCGAATAATAACATTGTTTAATATTCGTTTATTTCACTTCATCATTTTCACATTATTTCATCAAATTTCAGGTAAATAGATCTAAACGAACGATTATCAATGACGTGTGTGTGTGTGTGTGTTTGTTTTGCATTCACCTGTTGTTGTATGTAATGTCGTCTTGATATTTCTTTTATTTTTTTTTTTTTTTTTGTTGCCCGTCTGTTTGTAATCCATACAACGTGTTACATTCAAATTACACGTACACTTTTGGATTATTTTGAAATTGAAAATCCAAATTTCCTTATGATGCTATGAAACTAGCCGGCCTGTTTGGTTGATCTGTTGGCGCGACTGGTGGTGGTTGGTTTGTGGTTAGTGTGTGTAAACACACACACACACACACACTGAATGAAATGATTGTGGTGGCCACCTAGCTCACCTTGAGAAGAAAGTGGAAAACAAAACACCTGATTTTTTTTTTCTTCTAGATTCACCAAAATGTGATTCAATCGTCATTCATTTGTTGGTGGTCGTGGTGGTGGTGGTTGTTTTATAGAAAAAAAAGAGTTCTTCATCAAATACAAAAAAAAAAAATATTCGACTCGAAAAACCAAGAACGACACCCATTATTTCGGGCAAACGCCCAATCACAATGATTTCATCATCAGAGTTTTTTTTTCGTTCTTTCTTTCGTTTGTTGTTGTTGTGTAAATACAGACATTTCATATCAAACCACCAAAATCCTTTTTACATAGTGATGATGATGATGTTGAGTCGATTTACAATGTAATCATCATCATCATCATAGAAATAAATAAATGTCAAAAAAGAAAAACATTTCGTAATTATCGTCTAATTGTCGTCATTTGATAATCATCATCATCATCATCATCATCGTCGTCGTCATTATCATCATCGACATCATTCTTGAATGCAATAAAATCTCATTGTAAATGAATGGCAACAAACAAACAAACAAACAAACACATACAAAATGTTTAAAAAGAAAACGAAATGAAAAAGTTTTTTTTTCCATTTTATTTGATTTGATTAAGGTTCGATAACGAAATTTGGCTATTTGTGTGTATTTAGTGCCAATTTTGTTTTTTTTTTCATCATAATTTTCAAAATTCTGGTCATTCTGTCTATTTAGTTGTAAAAAAAATGAAATGAAAAAGGTTTGTATTTCATTTCTGGCCAACATTACATTGTCCACTATATGATTCTTTTTTTTATATTAACTTTCTTAATTTGTATATATACAAAAATTGATTGTGTGAAAATAATAGCGACAATGACAGAATTATAAATTCCAAATTTATTAATACATACCACAACGACAACGACAGCGACGACAACGATAATGATTATTCCGGACAACCGATCTCAAATCCAATTGAGATACGATAAACGAAAAATTTTGTTTCGAAAAATGTTCGGTCTCTGCACGCACTGAAAAAAAACCGATTTAGTCATTTTCATATATTATTCTGCTTTCAATTGCATACTAATGAACCATTCATTCATTCATTCATTCATTCAGCACTTAATCGAGAAAAAAAAACAAGAGAATCGAATTGAATGAATATATTCCTGGAATGTCATTGTCGCTTATATATTATTATTATTAGTTGTCTAACGTCAAAATTTAACTGCATATTTTTTTTGTATTCCTCATTTTTATATCGATATTATCGACAATATAAATGAGGAATATACGCACACACACACACACGCAATCACGAAAAGAATTTTTTTTTTTTTTTTTTTGGTTCTTGTGCATATTCCATAGTTATTTGTACCATATAATGATTTGAAAGAGAACAAAAAAAAAGAAGAAAATTTTACAGGTCTCTAGGAGCTAATACAACAACAACTATAGTTGCCAATCATTTCCACTAAGGAAAACTTTCGATTTTATTTTATTCTATCGATTATCAACAAATTTTTTTTCTCATATAATTTATTATTATTATTATTATAATTATTGATCTTCAACCTTTTCTTTTCATCGATTTGGAAAATGTTAAACATCTACAATTGAATTTGATTGAATTGAATTATCGTTAATCATCATAATGATGATGATGATGATGATAATGATAATTTGACAATTTGACGTCAATCAAATGGAAAGAAAACGAAAATGAACAAAAGAACTATGCATGCATGCATTGAAATGTCAAATGTAAATGTTTTTTTTTTTTGAATTTTCAATTTTAAAGTTGAAAAAAAATTTTGATTCTCAATTTTGGTTGGTTTGTTGTGGTTGTACTCATTAATGATTAATTTTTTTTTGTTGTATTTTCCATTTCTTTCATTAAGAATTCATAACAGACACAGTCATCATCATCATCATGATTTCATTCATCAACAACAACAACAACAACAATGTGCAGATTAATATCAATCGGCAAAAAATAAAACAGTCAAATCATCATCATCATCATTAATTTTCACGATTCAAACTTTCATTTTGAATATATATATATTCCATTTGCATGAATAATGAAAAATAAAAAAATGGACAAACGTGTGAGCATTAAATTTACTCCCACATCGTCACAACAGCAACAAAATCGATCATCATTATCACCACCAGATACGCCCACAGAATTATCATTAATCGGTAGCCCGATGTTTGATGATTTTACAACAACAACAACAACAACAACAACAACGGCTTCCGAAGATGATTTTGGTTCTGTACAATTATTTTCAATAATTACTGATGAAGAAAGTGAAGATAATTCCGAATCAATTGGTGGTGATATAGAATATCAAAGACAGCAAAAGCCAATGAATAATAAACAGCCACCAAAAGTGGAAGATGAAATCGATATGATTGATGCAAAAATCAGACAGGAAAAGAAAAAAGTTTCCGGCAATAAAATGGATAAATTTATGAAACATTTACAGGAAGCATTAACACCATCGTCATCATCGAATACGGATTCTTCAAAAAATGTCAACAACAACAACAAACATGAAACAGAAACGGCGGAAACAATATCATCATCATCAACATCAACATCAACATCGACGACGACTAACAATAATCAAAATTCAACAAGTTGGTTAAATGATATAAAATTTACAAATCTGGTCAATTTAAATAAATTACGTAATAATGAAAAACAGCAACAGACAAAGATGACACAATCAGAATCGGTGGATAATTTCTTTGATAATCAACAGCCAACAACAACAACAGGTTCATCATCATCATCATCATCGAGAAAAATGTCTATGGCTTTTGGTGTAAAAAATTATAATCATCCAATTTCATCATCATCATCATCATCATTAACCACAACAACGACGACAGCGACAACGATTGTAGCAGACGCTCCTCCAACACCACCACCAACAACAACAACGACGACGACGATGATGATGACGAACACGTTTTCTTCAATTGTGGACGCAAACGGACAAATTATGGTATGATTTAAACAGAAAAAAAATTTGCTGTTGTTGTTGTTACTCATTTGTTGTCGTCATTATGATGGTGATTAGAATTATATATTGGAAATTAAAATGACAAAATAAAAAGAAAGAGAAGGAACGAAAGAATGAACGTGAGAGAGTGAAAACACATTTAATCATTTTCCACATGTGATGACAACAAATCCTTTCTTTTTTTTTTGATAATTTTTTCAATTGAATGATGATAAACTAATGAAATTTTCTGTTTGATTGATTGATTGATTGATAGATATCATCTTTATCGAATGACAATAATAATAATAATGATGATTATCATCATCAACTAAATCAACAAGTGTCCAATGAATTGGATATTATGACAGCCGATACTAGTGTTAGCAATATGGCTAAAGAATCAAAAGATAGACCACCACAAAAATTAAAAGATATGTTTATTATTGGATTAAAGTCTAATAATTCCAGTGAATCATCTACAACAACGAAGAAAAAATTTACATTATTTGACAAGAAAACATTTCAAACAAAAATAAAACAACAACAACAACAACAACAACAACAACAACAACAACAACAATCACAGGATACGCAACAACAAGATTTATTCAATAAATTGATCTCACCAATACGTACAACAACACCATCACCTATGGTAGTATTACAATCATCATCGATTACATCGGCCTTATTATCACCATCAACGACTATTCAATCGAATTCAATTCAATCATCAGTGTCGCCTTCATTTTCAAATTTTCTTGCTACATTCACAAATGCATCATCATCATCATCATCATCTGGTGGAAAAGTATCAATAACGACAACAACAACAAATAATGCCAGTGTTGGTAATAATTCAAGATCTGCATCAACCGAAAATGTTGATGCGATTGGTAAAATTAATAACAATAATAATAACAAATCAAATAAAATGACCAATAGTAAATCAATGATGACATTTCGTAAAATGGCCAAATGTGAAGATAATAATAATAATAACGTCAGCAACAGCAACAACCAGAATAATCAGAATAATAGTAGCAACAACAATACAATAATTAATGGTATCGACGATGATGATGAAAACCAAGAATCATTGAATCAATTTGGATTATTATCTAAATATTTACTATCTAGCAATATAACAACACAGAATCCAACATTACGTCGTAGACGTACAAAAAGTTCACCATCATCAAGAAAACGAATGAATCAAACATCATCATTATTGCCTGATGAATCAATTAATCGACAAAAACATGATCGTCTATCTGATATTAGTCAATCATCATCATCAATATCATCATCTTCATCCTCTTCATCATCGGTATCATTACCATTGTTAACTAGAGAATTGATAAAAGGAAAAAATTTTGATACAAATCTTGTCAATAATGAAAATATTTATCATCAACAACAGCAGAAAGTACAACATAAAAAAAGTGATAAGAATCGATCATTATGGTCAAAAATGACATCATCGATTCGATTTCAATATTACATTTTTCTATTTATGGCTATATCATCGGGTTTTTTTCTTTGCATATCACCATTACCTTCATTTCTAAATGGTTTCATTTTTGGTTTTTTAATGACATTTTTCATCGTTACAATGGGTATTGTTTATTTGGTTGCAAATTTTTTCCTAATCAAATCCAATGATGATGATGATGATTCAACAAAACGTGGTGCCAGTATCATTGATCAATCTGGCCGATCTGGTGAAGGTGTTGTTGGACTTAAACGTACAAAATCAAAACGATTACCATTTAATGTATCATCATCGATGTCGAATTCCAATGATGGTAATAATGGCAACAGCAGCAGCAATATTTATGCTGGATGGGTATATGAATTCATTGGTGATTATAGTGAACGTGAAAAAAATGGTTTTGTATCACGATTAGTTTATCTGGTTTTAAGTGGTTCAAAATTGAACATTTTTGTGCCTAGTCAAGAGATTAATGAAAAAAAATTGAAACAAATTTTATTGGATCCTACATCAGGAAATAATCGAAATTTTTCACTACAATCACAAAAGGTGATTGATTTTTCTCACCTTCATCATAAACGTATTTGTCTTTATCTGACAAAAAATGTTCGTAATCAACGGAAATATATTTGGAGTAGAAAATATCCAATTTGTATTGAATTCAATGAAGAACTTCGTATGCAAGATGATGTGGCCGTGGCCGATAATTTATTACCATCATCGACTGCACCAACACCAATCATAACGAAATTGGTTATATTTGCACGAACATGTCGCGAAAAAGAAGAATGGTTTTGGGCAATAAAAACATCCATCGATTCAATATCATCAATCAATTATCATCATAAGAATTCAATATCGGTTCGTGGATCAAATAATTCATTGAATGATTCACCAAGTGATTCGAAAACCTATTTGTTTGTTACTTCTACTGAAGAATTGAAACAAACCACAATCGATCAGGATAATACACAACTACAACAACAACAACAAAATAATCATCAACAACAACAACAGCAACAATATCTTCATATATTGACTCGTCGTTTGAATTATCATAATTTTATGCGCACAAATATATTGAATGCTGAAGGAATTGGGCCAGGTAATCCCGGTATGATGACAGCGTTAACCTGGTTCAATGTTCTTTTAAATCGACTTTCATTCGATATCCTGAATAAACCGAATTGGAGTGCATATATTGCAAAAAAATTGCAACGTAAATTACGTAGACTTCGATTACCATATTTTATGGAATCATTAACGATTACAGAAATTGATATTGGTACAACATTGCCTAAATTTAATTCAGTGCCTTCGGTGCCCAATGTTGATGATGCCGGTCTTTGGATTGAATTCGATGTAAACTATTCAGGTACACAAGTTATTGTTTTGTATGTTTTTTTTCATATATCATTTTTTTCCCGTTATTACAGGTGGTTTTACAATGACTTTGGAGACAAAGATTAATCTACTTAAATTATCGGCCAATGTAGAAAATCTGGCTGATGTTTCACCATCATCCACACCGAATGATTCACCAAAATTGACGCAAAAAATTGGCGGTAGATATTGGAGTGGATATCGAGCCAAATATCGTAGTACCGCTATTACTGGTACACAAAGTCCAGCACCACCTGGAATGGAATTGAATGATGAATTTTGTGATGATGATTCGGATCTGGATTCAATTGTAACCAGTTCGGAAGATGAAGAACCAGAAACAGCTCCAGCAGCACCGGATGATGCTGATACGGATGAAAAACAAAAGAAATTGATTAGATTTGTTGAAAAAATTGCTTCTAATCAATATTTTCAAAAAGCAAGTCAAATGAATTTTGTAAAAAAAGCATTGGAAGGTGTATCGAACATGTCTATCATGTTGACTGTTCAAATTAATTCATTAAACGGAACATTAGGTACAGTGTTTGTTCATTAATTTGAATTTAATTCAAAAAAAAAATTGTTTTTTTTCATTTAGCCATCAATATACCGGAACCACCGACTGATCGTCTTTGGTATGGATTTCGTAATGATCCGGTGCTTTCAATAACGGCCCGTCCAAAACTCGGTGATCATGATCTGAATCTAAGTTATGTGACCAATTTTATTGAGAAAAAACTTCGTACCGAATTTTTTAATTATTTTGTGATTCCAAATATGGATGATTTTTTCATTCCATCATTGAATACTAGTATTGAACAGTATATTAATGTTGTGCCTTAGTTACATACACACACACACATATATACAACTTGTTAAAAAAAATTCTTGAAACAACAACAAGTTTCATCTTTATATTTTTAGGAATATTGTTCACCATTTACCGGACACACACACAAACACACACACATATACTATGTTAAGTTTCATTCTTTTTTTCCCCATAACACTGACAGATAAATTAGTTTCATTCTTCCACACACCTATTATTATTATTATTAATTATTAATTTTCATAAAATTGAAAATGGGCCATTCATTAATTCAATAATAAATGTTCACCTGTGATATTTGAATTTATAAATATTTTATTTATTATTTTATCATTCCATTTCATTTAAAAATGGTAAATTTTTACTATCAAACTCGATCAATGCACACACATATAATAGACATGAAAAATGAACAAAAAAAACAAAGAAATCTTGATTATAAGGAAATATAAGAAGCATGTTTGACAATGGAATACAATGATAATTTGGTTTGTGACTAAAATTGAAACAAATGATGTGAATCACATCATGGTAAACAAACAAATTAAAAAAAAATGTTTGGAATAATTATTCTCACTGCAAACAAACAAATTCATGGATGATGATGATCTGGATAAAATTAATAATAATAATTGGATACAATAATTCAATGGTATGGTGTTTGTCTGACTGTTGTTTTTGTTGCTAAATTTCTCAAATACGAAGATTTATATGCAGTTTTGGCTGTACATCGCATATAACACGTGTAAGAAGATCTTTAATGACAATTTCTTTGGCTCCAGTCACTGTTTTTGACATTTGTTCCAATTTGACCAATGTATCCTGTTCAATGGATCCTTTAATTGTATCCCTATATTTTGGAATCATTATAAAATAAATTACAAAATTCACATGAACGAATGAATGGATTACTTACATTGAACCCATATGTTTTGATTCATATTCACGGAATGCATTTTCACGTTCACTACGAAATCGTTCAATCTCGATCAATGCTTCTTCTTTGGCCTGTTTAAGACGACGGGCTTTCTTTTTTCGTGCTTCTTGAACCTTTTGACCAAAAATTACATTTACAATTTTTTGTTTGGACTTTGAAATACTTTTTTTTTCACTTACTTTTTCAGCTGCCTTTTTTTCGGCCATCAAAAGCTGTTGAATGCCTTGTGTTTGACTAGCCATTGTTTTTGTTTCTAGTTTGAATTGAATTTAATTATTAAATATCGTTGAAACAAGGTTCACTTTTTGGTCACAACGGAATAACAGAGAAAAAACTCGTCGTTGTCCAGCAACAGAAAAAAAAATAAAAAGAAAAAACGAGAGCACAAAAAATCTTTCAATAATAATCAATCAATTTATTATTTCTCAACTAGAAAAACAAACACATCACATACAACATTGGCAAAAAAAAATTAACTCACAAAAAACCCCAAAAAAAAAAAAAAATATTTTTCGGACAAAACACACACACACACACAGAAAAAACTAATCGGAGCCATCAATAAAAGTTGTAACATTTAAATATTCTATACATCTCAGTAGTGGTAGTAGTAGTAGTAGTATATTGACATAGTGGCATCTATATTTATTGAAAATTTCTCTTTTCATTCAATTTTATGTTACTACTACTACTACTACTACTACTACTACTACTTCATCATCATCATCAACATCGAACATTCTGAAATATTTTTTTTCTATTATTTTTTTTGGGCGCCGTGTTGGCTACTTGTATACTATTGCTGCTGCTGCTGTTGTTGTTGCTGTTTTTTGTTTTTCTGATATTTGTTGTCGAGTTTTATTTTTTTTTACTTTTTGTTTTGCATAAAAATACGTTAATTGTGAAAAATTTATTGATTTTTTTTTTGAATCGAATCATTTGTGTTGTCGTTTTATCAATCCTGTTGAAAATATTTAATCCGAATTTGTGACAAACACACACACACACACACACAAAAAGGTAAGCATTCCATTTTTGATTTTAATGATAAAAAATTTAGGACAAAAAATAAAATAAACCTTGAATTGTTGATTATAAATGATGATGACTCGATATTCTTCTTTGGGAATATAAATACCAGAAAAAAAAATTTCCATCGTCATTGCAATCTGCTGGCATGATGATGATGATGATGATTGAATCAATTCTATCCCTTTTGTAATCATTCGAGCATTTTTTTTCTTTCTTTTTTTTGTTTGTTTGTTTGTTTGTACATCTGGCCATATCTGCTGAATCTCTATCTCGGTATTCATTGTATTGAGAAAAATTTCCAATTTTTTTGTTCATTTCAAAAAAAAATTCTCATCTTCTTGCTTGGATGATTTGATTTTCTATTCTTTTTTTTGCATGAATTCTTTGTTGTATTCAAATTTTTCGGTGTCATTTCACATGAAAATGATGATTACCACAACCACAATTTTCAATCCACAATTGATGATTGATATATATTTTTAATGCACTTGTGATTTGATCACAACAAAATGTGTTCAATTCAATGATGATGATGATGATGATGACGAATAACAAAATCCGACAGACAACAAAATGTTTTGACGACGACGAAAGAAAATGAAAAACAAAACCGAACAAAATATTTCCAATTTTTCTGGTTGATTTTTTTTTTTGTTGGCTGTTTTTGCGCAAATGTAACAAAACAAAAATCAATTAACTTTTCGCCAATCAAAAGTCAATGAATGATTTTTGATCTTTGATAATAAATCTCATCATCATCATGATCATTTCTCAAGCCTTTGATATCATCAGTTCCGGTTTGCTAAATTTTGTTGATTATGATGTAAAATGATTAATTTCTTCGATGTCATTGTTAATTATAATCATGCGAGAAAAGTAAAAAAAAAAAATGATTATATTCGATCCGGCGATATTGAGACATCTTCATAACAACAACAAAAACAACCTGTTGCTCATTCAATTTTTTTTTTTTTTTTTTCGCTTGTCATTTTACTTGTGATGATTAAATAATAAAAAAATGTGAAAAAAAATCCGCTTAATCGGTAAAATAAATTTCTTTTTCACGATTTTTCATGGCCTATCATCATCGTCATCGGTTTGTGTGTATTCACAACATCGACTTGATGATGACTTCGACGATACGCCATTCATCATCATCATCATAATCATTTGAAAATTTTGATTTTCCAAAAATCATCATTTGTTTTTTTATGTGTAGTGAATTTTTTTTTGTCTTGTGATTTATTGATTGATTCAAATCATCATCATTTTTATGATCAGAATATTGTTAATGGGCGTTTATTCAGCTGAATAACAATGTTTTTTCTTTGTCATGTCCAAAAGAAAAAAAAACACATTAACATTGTTAAATCATTATTATCAACAACAACAACAACAACGAGAAAAAACCACACACCATTATATATACACTATAGACTTTTCTTGTTATGTGTCTCTGTTCAATTTTAGTTTTTTTTACAAGCAATAAAATCATCCTTTTTTTCATATATTCAGATTTTTTATCACCATTTCTCATCTTTGAAAAATCTTCTTGTTGTTGACCATTGTTGATTTCATCCTGTCGATGATGGTGGTGTATTTCATTCGTTCATTCATTCATTCATTATGAATAAATTGTGTGTTTGAGTGATTGCCATTTTATCTATATCTTATTATCATTTTAATCCATCGATTTGACCATCATCCACCATTTTTCCATTATTATTTTTGACACTTTAAAATTTCTTTTTTTTTTTGTTGTTCCACTCACACACACAGAGAGCTTGTTTAATCACGGTATTTGAATATTTTTTTTTTAATATGAAAACTTCTGACAAAGATAATGATGATCATGGGTTTTGTTGTGTTGTGTTGTGATTTAGCTTTTTTGTTCTCTTTAGAACAAACTGTTTTTTTTCGGCTTGTTGTTCAGATCATGAAATGATTTCAATTTTCTTGTTTTTGCTATTCAATATTTTCAATGATCATCATCTGAAAAAGACCATTGTTTTTTTCTATAATCCATGTTATTATCTTTATCCTGATCATCATCATTTGATGATGATTATCGTTAATTCGATATAACCGACTTTTTGTTTTCTATTTTCATGGTTTCCACTTGTCATCGATGATGATGATGTGATGATGATGATTGACAGAACCGGATCATTAGTTTTTATTTTCAATTTGAAATTTTTCTTGTTCACCGTTGAAATTATCATTATCATTGTCATATTTTTTTCTGGTTGCACATCCCATTACTGATGATGATGATGATGAATTCTATTGATCATTGATAAATTTAGATCATTGAATCAATGAAATTATTGATTGATGATTGTTATTTTCATCATCATCATCATTAATCGATTTTTTTTAGTCATTAGAAGCTTTTTCTCAATAACCATTTAGGATTTAAGAGTAGGTGTGTGTGTGTGTGTGTGTTCGATTTAACATTTTGTGTTTTTAAAGTTCATTACACCAAGTAAATGGCCTTTCATGAAATGAATTGTGCAATTTCTTCTATTAAATTATCATTATTGTAAAAAAAACTTAGTTTTTTTTGGCTTGATTTTAAACAAAAATTTCCATATTTGTACAATCATCATCATCATTATCATTTGTTTGTATGGGCGACTATTTGTTTCCGATTTTGACTGTTTTTTTTGTTGTTGTTCAAAATGAAAATTTTCACTTTTTTTTTTTTTTGCTTACCAATTTTTCATCTTAATGTTTATTTTCTGGTTTCTTTTTTTGTTTGCATATATAGCCAAAACATTGGTTTTCGTTGCATATACATCCGAAATATTGATGAAAAAACAACGACAACGACAACAACAGTTGCACATCGTAACAATAACATAATAAAATCATTGATGATTTAATGAAATTCACTGTTATCGACACAAGCGTGCATTGACAAGTTTTTGTGAGTGTGTGAGTGTAATTTGATTGCTACAAACAAACAAACAAAAAAAAATAATAATTGTGCAATTGTGTTTGATGATAATGATGGACATTATCAACATTGCAAACATCGTATCCAATCATTAGTCCTCGTTGTTGTCGTTGTTTTTGAATTTGTTTTTTTTTTGCAATTTTTACTCCCAGTTTAATCATGGATCGATTTTTACAATTTTGTCGATTCAATCTGGTATGTATTTGTTTTTTTACTTGTATAAAAAGCGATAATAAAAAAAAAAAATCCATTGTTTATATATAGTCCAATGTGACAGCGTTCAAAAAATTATCGATCGTTATTGGTAACGAAAGCTGTGATTTAGATTCAGCCGTTTCGGCAATTGTATTGGCCTATATAAAATATCATGAGCTTACAAAACATCAAGATGACGATGATGATGATCAAGATGATTCGGTATGTTTTTTTTTTATTTTATTTCATGAATATGGATAATCTTCATCATGTTCTATTAATAATTTCTGGATTGTCGTAGCAGTAGTAGTAGTAGATACACATGTATGGTGGTCTATCCATAAATAAATAAAAAAAAAAATACAAATTTTAATGATGATCGTGTTTTGAATTTTTCATATTTTTTTTTTCTTGTTCTCTTCGGTGAATGAACCAAAAATACACACATGCACAATGTACAATATGATAACAAAAATAGGAAGTAATTGTATTGCCCGTATTGAATGTGTTCCGTGAAGACCTACACCTTCGTAGAGAGATTGTATTTTGGTTTGAAAAAGTTTTACAATTTGAACTCGAATGGCTTATTTGCCGTGATGAAATCGACTTTGATGCTATCAATTCATCATCAACAGGTTTGTTCATTCTCGCCTTTTCATTTACATATCATTCCAATTCGCTCTTTTTTTCCAAATAATCTTCATTTTCATTTTTTCTCATTTTTTTCTTTTCCAATTCGCCCATCATTCATTATACATTGTGATGATACAAACATCAAATAATAGTGCAAGTATTCATATCGTTAGTTGATCACAATGACAATAAAGAGTTTCAAAAACTTTTACCACGAGCTCAATTTGATGAAATCATTGATCACCATCAACCACCACAACAGCATTCATGTTCCGATCAGTCATCATCATCATCATCATCACCCCAATACATTCAATGTGATCCATCAAAAGTACAGATTGATACCGGTGTTGGTTCTTGTTGTTCGTTGATTGCTTTACGTTATTTTAAATCAAATATCACTAAACACAAGTTTGGTTCACCGGTCAAATCATCATCGGAAACGTTTGATTCACAGATTGCCTTAATTCTATACGGACCAATACTATTGGATACTATTTGTTTTGAACATTCTGCATCACGGTTCAATGCAAAAGATTACGAAGCAATAAATAAATTGGAAGATCTGATGAAACATCCAGCCGATAGTGAGCCGTCACTTTACGATCGTAATGAAGTATATCAACGTTTAGTGGCGGCCAAAAATTCACTTGATGGATTGTCGTTTGAAGATTTATTACGAAAAGATATGAAAATTGTCGAATCAATTTCAGATAATAATCTAGCAATATGTATTTCATCGGTGACGGGAATTTTATTGACCGAAATGTCTTTAAGAGATAAATTGAAGGAACTAAAAAATTATTCGAATCAACCGCCGAAAACAGCTGTGTTTTCCGATCAATCACGACCACGAACGTTTAATGCTATCATATTGATGAGTCTTGATAATCGTATACCAAACAATCTACGACGACAGTTGGCAATATTTTGTTCTAATAAACATCTGATGCGAACGGTTAGTTTGGTTTTTCTTTCATATTTCTCGTTGTTTAAATCTTTTTATTTTACATTTCATTTACATAGATTGCAACCTGCATTGAACGTTCAGAACAATTATCACTTGAGCTTATTACTGCATTGGAATCATTAAGAATTTATAATCAAAACAATTTGAAAGCATCACGTAAAGTTGTCCTTCCAATCATATCGACAATATTGAATGGACCTGGTGCTAGCAATGGTACTATTGGTGGTAAGTCAAATGATAACGATAATGATGTCCCACCAATGCTTTCCGCTTTCTTTTGATCTTTTCTGTGATCTAATTTTTTTTTTTGAAATAAAAATTTTCTTTTTCTTCTGTTGTTGAAAAAACACTACTAATCTAACCACTATCTAATATATGTCCGTGTGTGAAAAAAAAAAAATTTTTCTTCCTTGATCAACAAGTGATTGTTGAACATGAAAATAAAAGACATCCATTATTCATTTATCCACCACCGAAATCAAAATCGTTATCATCATCGAAACATGAATCATTTAAAATTAGTACAGCTGAAGTAGATCCAGAATTTCTTCTTAATTATAAACCAGAAACTGTTGTTGTTCCAGAATTTGAAGAACTTATTCAAAAGGTTTTTGTAATGTTTTTTTTTCATTCATTGTATAGTTGAGTAGTAGTTAGTAATTGAATGAAATTTCAATTTTTTTTCTATCGAACAAACAAACAAACAAACAACAACAACAGTATCATAAAATATCATCATCATCAGGAGAAAATTTATTCAATCAAACAATGCAACGCCAAAAACAAATGGATAATCTACCCAATTTGGTTTGTATGTGTGTTTTTTTTTTTTTTGTACTTTAGTAGTAATAGTTGTTGTTGAATGATTGATTTGATTTTTTTTGGTTGTTGTTGTCAAGTCATTCTTCTCTTGTGTGTGATATATAGATAATTTATCATTTTTTTCCGCTTTTTATTTCCCTTTATTATTAATTTCATTTTTTTTCACATTCTATATGTCGCATGTTGTTGTGTTTTTGATTTTTTGTTTTGTTTTGATTCACTTTCTTGATTGTGCTTGATTGTTTTTGATTTTCATTTTTTTTTGCTGTTGTTGTTGTGGTGGTGGTGGCCCTCTCGAATCGAAAATAATTTTTAATTGGAAAAAAAACTCGTTTGCTGCTGCATTAGAAACAACAAAACGTAATGATCCAGTAACAATCACGAATGGTAACGGTGAATTGACGATTAATACTACAGCAACAACAAGTGCACCATCATCATTTATACAGCAACCAGATTCATATTATGGTTCATTTATCGATGATTCATTTGTTGGTGAATTTGTTGGTGATTATCCAAATGTCACTGATTCAATGGAACATGAAAATATACTTGTAATGGATGCTGATGGACAAAATCTTGTTCTAATGAATCCAGTTGAAAATAGTTGCCTAAGCCATACGCATGAAATTGAATTTGATTTTGAATCATTTGGTCCTGAATCAATTATGTATGCAGGAAATGTTGAACAACAACAACAACAACAATCGCAAACTGAACAACAAATAAATCAAAAGAAAGAGATGGTTGATTCAGAAAAAAACATGAATGATGTGTCAGCTGTTGAAAATGTTAATGATGATGATACTGTGGAAACAGTACAACAACATCAACAAACAGGTTTGTAGTATTATAATGATGAGAAGTAATAAAATCAGTTTAATTTTTTTTTATTGTATCACATATAAAAAATGTTCACATGTACAGATGCCGATGATGAACAACAACAACAACAACAACAGCAAGTAGATGAAAACAAAGATCCAAATGTTGTTTTGAATTTTTCAAAAAAAGCGGAAGCCAATGATCAAGAAAAAATGCAAAACAATCGACCACCAACCATTAATGTTGAAAATCCATCACAACAACAATCATCATCACAGGAAACTGAAGAAAAAAAAGAAGATGCAGAAGAAACAAACAACAACAACAAACAATCAAATGAACAACAGCAACAACAATCGTTGGCATTCAATCGTAATAGTACATTGACAAAAAGTCAACGAAAAAAAGTTGTTCCACAGATGAATATAAAAAATTTGGTTCTCGCAAGCGATGCATTTTCACCGCCAGCTTTGGAACAAATTATGACACCACCATTATTAGTTACTGGTGTTTCATCAACATCGCAAGATATGACAATGATGAATGGCAATAATTTCATCAATGATCATCAAAGTTCAAATAGTCCTGACAATAATAATTCTAGTCAAACATTACCGAAAATTGTTTTAAATGATCCATTAGGTGTTAGCAATTCATTTGTGAATAATAATTCCAATCCTAGCCCTAGTACCCTAGGTATTTGTTTGTTTTTATTTTTGTTTATGTGCACATTGCATGATCATTTTTGATGATATAACATTTTCATTCAACAATTATGATTTTTAAATTTTTTTTTTTGCTTTTTAAACAGGTCGTAATCAATCAATGAAGAAAAAAATTGAAGTCAATTATACCATGTTCTTGAACCAAACTGGTAATTATAAATGTGTATCTTTTATATTCCAGGACATTTGATATTTACATTTTTTTCATGGTTTTTTATTGTTTTCAGATGTTGATGATAAAAATGCTTCAATCGACCCGAATATCAATATAAAAACAAATGGTGACGAGTCATCTTCAGATGTATTGAACACTCAAAGTGACATTGATCCAACTAATGATAATGGTGATGGTGGTGATATACAAAGTGATCGTCGATCATCTTTACCTTTGAGCGCCATAGAATTTCGATCAATAGATCTAAAAGTGATTGAACCTTACAAAAATGTCCTATCACATGGTGGCCATTTACGGCCTTCATCAAATGGTGAAGCGGTGGCTTCTGAATTTTCTAGTCCGGCAATCATTCTGTTTTCAGCATGTTATTTGCCGGATCGATCACGTATCGATTATCATTATGTAATGGATAATCTTTTCCTGTAAGTTTAAAAAAATGTCATTTTATTTAAAAAATAAATTTTTTGTTTTTAAATTTTCATCATCAAGATATGTTGTGAGCACATTGCACAATATGGTGGCCGATGATTATATACTCATCTATCTACATAATGGCGGGAATGTTCACCAATCATCAATAACCGCTACTGGTCAACAGCAACAACAACACTCTGTCAATAATATGCCCACGTTTAGTTGGCTTAAACGATGCTATCAAATGATTGATCGTAAATTAAAGAAAAACCTGAAAGGTCTTTATTTGGTACATCCTACATTTTGGCTAAAAACATTGATTATAATGAGCAAGCCATTCATTAGGTAATTTCATTGATTCATTAAAATTATCATTATCTAATGCCATTTTCTGTTGCAGTTCGAAATTTTCTCGAAAATTGAAATTTGTTCGATCATTGGATGAGCTAAAACAATTAATACCGATCGATGATCTGGATATTCCTGATTTGATTAAAACGTAAGTTTCAATAATCGAATGATACAACAGATCCAGATTTTCCATGCCACATATGAATGTATTCGCCAAATGCCAAAGCCTTGAAATTCTATTAGGTTATTTTTTTATGAGTTTTGTTTTTGTTCTCATTCTGTATGCATTCATTTTTTTTTCATTTTATATTTCATGGATTCATATAATATGATGATGATCCGCGATACCTCATATATATTATTGTTTATTGTTTAAATTTTATTTTTTTTTCAAATTAAAATTTCTTTAATTATTTTTTGTTCATTTATTTGGTTTTGGTTTCATTTTGTTTTCTTGTTGATCATGAAAAATTTTGTTTTTCCATTTCACAGATATGATCATGAATTACGAATGTCCAAATCTCGCGAACAAAACACCTGATGGCGTTACTTTCAGCAATTTCTTTGTTTTTGTTTTTTTTCTCAATCTGACATGTGATTGTTGGATATTTGAATTTGACAAACGAAAAATGATTATCATGTTGAAAAAATTTTATATTTTGCATCATTTCATTTTACCACTATTATTACTGCCATTATTGTCGAATTATTCTGATGCAGTGAATCATGACACATGCACTAGTAGAAATGATTGGTCAATTGTTGAAAAGAATAAATATCTACCTGAATTCAATATTGAAGATGATTTGTATCGAAAATGGTCAAAAATTTTTGACACTATCCAATTGGCATATCAAAATTATTCTGAATCTTTTGCGAATAAAAATGATGCCACCAGTTGCGATTTGTTTATTCCATTAATCAATTCAGATTTAAGGTATTTTGAAGAAAATTTTGGTTCAAATTTTATTACCAAAGAATTTATCGATAAAATGATTGCTGCTAAACATGGTGTTCACTATCAGATTGTAGGCAAACGTCTTTATCGTCAATCAGATTGTATGTTTCCTTCTCGTTGTCAAGGTATTGAACATTTTATTCTTGAAATTATTGATCAGTTACCAGATATGGATTTGATTATAAATGTACGTGATTATCCACAAGTTGGACGATATTTTCCTAAAGAACAACAATTTCCAGTATTATCATTTTCGAAAGAAGTTTCTTCTTATGCAGATATTATTTATCCGGCTTGGACTTTTTGGTCTGGTGGACCTGCACTTGATATATATCCAAATGGCATTGGTCGATGGGATTTGATGCGCGAGAAATTACTCAAAATTCAATGTAAACTTTCGTGGAACAAAAAGAAAAATGTTGCCTTTTTCCGTGGTTCACGAACAAGTTCACAACGTGATCCAATCGTCATGCTCAGTCGATCAAGACCAGATTTGGTGGATGCGAAATATACAAAAAATCAAGCTTGGAAATCAAAAGCCGATACACTAGGAGATGATCCAGCCAAAACTGTTTCATTTGAAGATCATTGTGAATATAAATACTTGTTTAATGTTCACGGTGTTGCAGCCAGTTTCCGTTACAAACATCTTTTCCTTTGTCGATCACTTGTATTGAATGTTGAATCCGAATGGATCGAATTTTTCTATCCACTTTTGAAACCATGGATTCATTATATTCCTATTGATAAAAATTTTGAAAATGTAATTGAATTGTTGGAATTTCTAAACGAAAATCAATTGTTAGCATCAAGAATTGCTAAACGTGGATTCGAATTTATTCGCGATCAACTTACAATGAAAACGATTCGCTGTTATTGGCAACAATTATTGACATTATATTCTGATCGTCTAATTTCATATCGACCGTTGAAACCAAATTCTAGTTTGATTGAAATTCATTAAAAAAATAAAATAAAATAAAAATAAACTGTGATAAATTTCATTTCATTGATTGATATTTCAAAAAGAAAAATGTTTTTATTTACAAAGAAATCAAATATGATTATATACGAAATTTTCTTGCCAGACATTTTTTTATAAATAAACAAATCAAAGAAACAATGAACTGAGAACAGATTACATCAAAGTATAATGAATATTTGAGATGAAATCGATAGATGTGGCTATCTAATATATAAATTATATATCATTATTATTATACATACATGAAATATAAAATAGAAAAAATACAAAAAGAAAAGAAAAAGAAACAAATTCTAGGATAATATATCGTTATTTATGAATGAACATGAATATATTTTTGATTCGAATTTGCAAAATAGATTTTCACACATTCATTTCAATAATTGAAATGTTCTTTTAATTCTTTGATTTTTCGACAAATTTTCAATGCTGGACCAAGTTTTGTATTCAATATATCGATTATGTGATCCTCTTTTATTAACATCAAGGCTTGACCATCGATTTCTTGTGATTTAAAACCATCAGCAAGATCTGAACAACCATCACAATGGCTCATAAATTCATAAACTTCTTGCACCTATGAAACGAAAAATTTTTTTTTTATTGATAAGATAAATCATCATATCATGTTACAGTTGTACTTACAGTCCATTTACCAGGCTCTTTGGTTCCATTAGCTGGAAGCCACATTTTATCATCATTTGTGCTTGCTGTCGTTAATGTTGTTGTTGTTGTTGATGATGTCGTTGCTAAAGAATCTAAAGTCTTTCCATTGGTTGTATTAACATTATTGCCATTACTTACAGCAACATCACCAGTTGTCTGGGTCTAATATCACAAAAAAAACAATCAATCAGTGTCTCATTTGAAATTTTTTTAAATTGTCAAAAATACCCAAACATACCGAATTTCCGATAACATTTGTAGGTGAAGACAGTCGAAGTCTTTTATTTGCTTGTTGCTGGTCAATGTTTATTGTAGCTGCTGCTGCTGATTGTTGATTCAATGGACGTTTGGCCATATTTTGGCCAATATCGATGCTGATGTTTGATGTTACAGCACCCGATGGTGTCGAAACACCAATTACTGATGAATGTTTTCCACCAACACCACCAAGGCCGTTGACTATCGGCGTTGTCGGCAATAATGTAGAATTACTATTGGTGGCTAAAGTACTATTCATCTTGGTGGAACCAACAACAGCAGCAGTGACTATTGCTGCTGTTGTTGTTGTTTGATGTGTTTGAATAGAAGAAGTGGAAGTTTTCATCGCTGAAGAATTACCAATGAAATTCGGTGGTTGTTGTAGATACTGCTGCTGTTCTTTAAAGTTTTTCTTTTTATTCAAGAATCTATCAATACAAGTTTGACAAAATCGTTTCCATTTCTTTTTCTTTGCCTGTAGTAGACGTTTGTTTTTCTTACAACTGACACAAAGATCATCTAATATTTGGCTATTTGGATCATTGATCTTTGAATGATCAGATTGAGGTTGATTACCGGGTTGAGAATTAGGCGGAATTAGGCCATTCTCTTTCAATTTTGCTGAAATTAAATCCTTATTATCGGGATCTAATTCCATCTTTTCAACAACAACAACACCATTAGATTTTTGTGGATCGAATTCACTAGATGTTAAAAATCCATTGATTGGAAATGGATTGGCACTTTCTTGAATGACATAACCATCAATGACATGCGTTAATACTTGATTATTTGGATCATTTTGTTTGGTTTTGTTGTTGACCACTTGAGATCCAGTATTTGTCGTTGATGGTATTGTATTTGTTGTATTCGATTTGGCCAATACACCATTTGTTAATCCACCACCACCACCACCACCATTCATCATCGTTAAAGTTTTATTGGCGGATGATGTAGGTGGAGTTTGTGTACCATTCACTGTTTGATGATTCGGTATTTTACCCAATTGATTTGTATTGTTTGTAAGTAGAGGACCAGATGACAAAACTATCGGTATTTTATTCTTTGTATTTGTTAATGAATTGTTTCGCATAGAATTCAAGGAATTAGGTTTCATTTGAGATTTGAGATTCAAATTGATGGTTGATGTTGATGATGAGACCAATGTTGATGACTTATTATTATTCTCCGTACCACTTGCAGCATCTTTCTTTTCGGTTTGTGGTTTATTTCGATTTAATTTACCATTGAATGAAGTATTAGTTCCTGTTGCAGTCATACCAGAGACTAGATTATTATTCTGTGGCGGTACAAACGATTGTGTACTGGTACTAGAAGATACCGATGTATTATTATTATTCATTATTGAGGTAGAATTATTAACACTTTGAGCACATGTAATCATAGATTTTTGTATTTTACAATTCATTGTGATAGCACCATTTGTGATATTTTCTGCAGAAGTCTTTGGAAGCACAACAGGCAATGGTACTTTTGCCGTAGAATTATTACCATTGATAGTAGCAAGAGATGATGGTTGAGCTTTTGGAAAATTCGATACAATTGATGGAGATGATGACAACGATGACGTTGATGATGATGATAATGATGCAGAAGTCGATCCTTTGGGAGCCAATTTAGGAATATTATTTGCACTTGATTTTGATTTAGCCGTTGAATTCTGTATAGCATTGTTAGTTGTCTGAACTGTTGTTGTTGTTAAAGGAATCGATGATGCAATCGATGCAGCCGGTCGTAACGGACGTTGTCGTGATTGAGCCAAGGTGGTCGCTGTTGTCAATGTCGAAGTTCCTGATGATGATACCATCGTAAGCATAGTTGTGTTCGGTAAGGAATTGGCTAGTTGTTGTTGAGAATTAACCATTGCTGTAGACATGGTAGCTACTCCTGGATTGGTTTGGATCGAAATTGGCATTGTTGGATTGATAGATGATGTTGCCATCATAGTAGGTTGTCCGGTTGGCGTTACTTGCATTGGTCCGGCATTTTGTTGATGGTTCTGTTGTTGATCACCATTTGTGGGTGTCATTTGCATTGGAACAGCTTGAAATTGATTATTTGATGTTTGAATCAACATGTGTGGCGAATCATTTGGACCTTGTGTTCGAATCAAAATCTGGCCATTCGGCGCAACTAGTTGTGTTGGTGTTTGATTCAATTGTGGTGATGTCGTCCACGTGATACTTGGTTGTAGTGTTTGAAACGATGTTAATGGTGAAATAATAGTCGGTTGATTTGGAGCCAATTGAATACTGCCATTGGGACCTGTTTGAATGCTTTGTCCATGTACCATGATGGTTTGACCAGGAGCTGGAGAAGTTGTATTCGATGTTGTGCCAAACGATGTATTTGTTTTGAATTGAGCCTGTGTCAATAATGGTGATGTAGGTTGAATTTTTTGAATTAAACTTGTGCCCTACAATTCAATCAATAGATAATAATAATGATAAAAATAAAGAATTGCAGAATACCAAAAAAAAAATAAATAAATAAATAAATAAATAAGGCAAGAAAATCTAACACAAAAAAACGAACAAACAAATCTTTCAATAAAGGGAGTAATGAAACTAACCTTATTGTTTGAACGGCCAGAGCTCTAATAAATAAATCCGCAAAAAAAATTTGGGTCAATTAATAATGGAAAAAACCAATGCGAAAAAGGGGAGATGGTGATGAACCCACGGGGGTATTACGGGAGCAATATAATTGCAAGCAAATTGATGAAAAAAACAAAGAAAAAAATTGTCGATTTTAGACAGATCAAAAAACAATTTTAAAAATATTATAAAATGTCTAACTTGGATCATGTCAAAGAATCAAATGAATGAAAGAATGAACTGTTGATTGTTAAAACAAAAAACTACTCAAATTTTTTGTGAATAAAAATAGATTTCCTGTGTGTGTGTATCTCATTTTTCATACAACAACCCTATGAATCATCTTTTCAAAAACACACAAAAACAGTCATAGAATTTTTTCATATTCTAAAAAATGTTGGCCGGAAATATGATAAATGACAACAGATCTATACACACACACACACAATCATAAAAAGTGTTGTTCATCTCTGTAATCTAATTATTACTGTTTCGCTACTATTAACACAAGTGTTGGGTGTATTCTAATATAGTTTTTAATTCTTTTTTGTTCAATGTGTTCAACTTACCGTTGTTTTACGGGCATTCGTAACTGATGATGGTGGTGTTGATGTCGGTTGTAGAATGGTTGTTGTTTGACCATTCTGTGTTGCGGTTGAATTATGTGGAGCAGCTAATCCAATGACAAATGTTGGATTGGTAGTATTCTGTTGAAATGCGGCCGTAGGTTGTATTACTTGTTGCTGATGATGATGTTGTTGTTGTGTTTTCGTTGCATTTGTTGATGCGTTTGTTTTATTTGCCTGTGTTGATAACGTATTCTGTTGTGGCGAAATGGTTACCCCTTTCATTATGGTGGTTTGATTAGAATGACCTTTAACGGGTGTAGGTTGATTTGCAGTTTGATGTGTCATCTGTCCGGTTGTTGTGATCATTGTTGTACCAGCATTAGTAGGTGTCGTTGGCAATTGAATGGCTAAACCTTGACTTGGATTTTGTGCCGGTATTGCCATACTCAAATTATTCAACAACATTGTTGGTTGCATTTGACCAGCCGTATAGAATTGTGGAAAATATGCTGGCTGTCCATTGGCACCAATCACTTGAACCTGTGTTGGTAATCCGCCAATCATTTGCATTCCGGGCGCTGCTTGAATGATCTGACCATTTGCCGTTTGAAATGTTCCAGTGGAAAATTGTTGAGTCATGGCACCATTAACAACTAAACTTTGATGTGGATGTTGTAATGTTTGACCTGGCGAGGTACCTTGTTGTTGATGGACAGTAGCTTGTGGTCCAGCCGTACCGGCAATTGTGGCCATCGCCATCGTTGGCGATGTAAATACGGCCACACTGCCCGGCTGTATTTGTTGATGTACAGAAGCCAATGTGAGACCTGGTTGTGATGGATGTTGAAAAAATGTTTGTGGCGCTATTGGAAGAAAATGATTGGCGTTATGATTATTTTCGGTAATTGTATTCGGGTTATTGTTGTTGTTGTTATTGTTATTGACAACAGATGAATTGGATGAATCGTTTTTACGTGATTTTTTGCCACTTGATGATGATGTTGATGATAAAGATGTTGATGATATCGTTGATGTTGAAGATGCTGGCAATAATGCTGTTGCTAATAATGAACTTGATGTTGTCGATTTAGCTGATGTTGTTGTCAATATTGTTTGATGAGCAAAAGAACCGGATGAGACTGTATTATTATTATTATTATTCGTATTATGTCCAACAATTAAACCACCGTTGGAAGTTTTAATTAATCTTGGTGAATCTGTTAATGACGACATTGTTAATGGTGTTGATAATGATGATCATGATGTGAACATTTTGTTTGTTTGTTTTTTTTCAACAACAACAACAATCACCACAATAGATATTGAAAAAAAATTCACATAAAATTAGCCAAAAAAAAACATTAATGTCAAGTTTTTGTTTTCTTTTTTTTGGGGGGTGTCAATATAGTCAAAATTCCTTCACCAAAACAAAAAGGAAATGCAGTAGTAGTAGTGGTGCAATGTATGAACCATATGGTGGTGAAACCAAGCCAAAGTGATAGAGAGAGTGAGCGGAACGGAACGGAACAGGAAGTAGGACTTTGAGGAATATATTATTGAGGGAGAAAAAACCAAACCAAACCAAAAAAAAAACTTCGGAGTGTATTGATGAACAGAACACTAAAACTACAATTGGAGAGGGATTTTATAAGTGATGAGATGAGTACCATGTATATAATCCAAAAAAAAAAAAGAATAAAATGAGAAATGAACCAAAAATAAAAACCAAAAGGAAAAAATAAAGTTACACGTTGATATATTATAAACAACAACAAAAAATGGTCAATCACCATCATTATCATTCAAGGCATGGAAGAATTGGTTTCAATTCTATAGCTTTCTTTTGTTTGTACATCACACACACACACACACACACAGAGTTGGCTAATTTATTGCCAAAAAAAAATGATCGTATGTTTTTGTAAACAACGTGTACGTATTATGGTCGAAATTTGAAATGATTGCACATATGTTTCGGGATTTTTTTTCTCTTTCTATCCATCTCTTTAACTAGCTGTGCTACGAGCTAATGCACATACACACACACAAACACATGATCATCACCAATACACATCTAAACATCATCATGATCATCATAAAATGAATTTAGTTCAAACCTTCTTGGTTGGTTAAGAAATCTTATTGATCAAGTTTGTCATTATGAAATCAAATATAACGTCCAGATTCAATCTTGTCATCATCATCATTATTGCCTTCTTTTTTTTACTTGTTGATTTTGTGTGTGTGTGTGCGTGTCAATGATAATCAGGTTTTCGAGGTTCAATTCTCATTCATTTCTTATCATCACATTCACATTCCGTTGCTATTTTTTTGCTAATTATTTTTCATTTCTTCATTTCCATTTTTCTCTATGCTTTCAACAATTTGCAAGCAATAAATAATTATCAAAAATTGATCAACATTGAAATAAAAAATAAATAAATAACAGAAACATCATTAATGAATGAATAAAGGTAAACTTTAAATCTACCAATCACAAATCATCATCATCATCTTATTATTATTATTAAAATCAATCATTATAGGTGGTATTTAAAAAGAAAAAAAAAGGATGATACATCTATTTACACAGATATATACCGTAATAATTTCAACAAATCAATTTCTTTCAACTCATTGCTGCTGCTGATGATGATGATCAATCACAAATAGGAAGGCTCATATATGCTACTAAACCAGAAATTGTATAAAAACCTCTCCAAAAAAGAGTCGACATTGTGTGTGTGTGCGCGTTATATTCGATTGCGGTACAAGAAATAACACACACACACACCAAAAACAACCAACAACAACAAAATCCAGAAGAAAAAAAAATAATTGAGAAAAAAGAAAGGACCAGTTCAGTTATTATTTCAATTCATACAACATCCATCCATCCATTCATACATACATAGCATTCAAACAACTACAGAGCCATTTATTTTTTTTTTTAAATAACATTCCTTTGGGAGATAATAAATGTGAAGTAGAAGAAAAAGGAGCGATAAAAAAAGAATAGAATAAAAATGCTCAACATGGCGTCCTGGTTCACTCATACATTCGTTTGTAGCATATTATAAAGGTAATAGCAAAAGAAGGAGTGATTTTTTGTTGTTGTTGTTGTTATTCCTTCATTGGATTGGAGCCATCATCTACACACACACACACACACATCACATAATATTTAATTTCAGATGACGCCTTTTTCTTCTTCTTCTTTCAATCTTTATTATCATCATCATCATCGTTTTTCATATGTGTCCATTCATTCATTTGATATAAAAAAAAATGTGAATCCAAATCCAAAATATTTTTTATAGTTGAAAAGAAATTTATGGAGACAAATTTTTTTGTAATTTTCAATATAAGATATATACAAAGATAGAGAAAAAGCAATCAATGGTTCTCTTTTTATACCATCTACATCCTCTATCATCATCATCATCGTTTCTCGTATACACACAATCGATGCAATGATGATGATTATTATTATTATTATGGCTATGTCTGATTGCCAGCCTAGATACCAGAAAGAAAGAGAGAGAGACACAAGGATAGTATTTTTTTTTTATTTCATTTATTTGTATATACTTTTGCTAGCCCGCTGGTTGATGTTTGGCTGGTGTTTGACTTTTCTTTCTCTCTATCTTTCTATTTTTCATGCAAATATAAAAAATCTCACCAGGACAACACCACACCATCCATTTTCGAGCTTTACGAATAATTTGCAATCAATTGATGTGACTATATGAAGAGAATGATGATGATGCCTATCGCCATCATCTTTGTCATTCTCCTCATCATCATCATCATCATCAGTAACCAACCCATCATAAAGTCGAGCAGGCATCGAACCCGAAAATCGAATCAAACTGGAACACAAGAGAGTGTGTACACACTAGATGATGATCAAGTTTTTTTTACATACAACACAAAGCTCATCCAACCGAATATTCGGTATGGAATGAGTCAAAATTTTCACTTGCTCGATCTGATTCTCTAAACAAAAAAAAATGAATGAATGTTTGTGAAATGAATTGAAAAGGCCCCAAGAGACCAACAGAGAAAGGCAAACATTCGAATAACAGTCAAAACTCTCTCACCATACAACAAAAATAGATTTTGTTGTTGAACCTAAATCTTTATCTTGGTTTAATTTGTCAAAATAATCCATAAGGATTCAATCTTGATCATGTGTGGATTATTAAAATGGGCTCCAGAAGGAGGGACTATAAAAATGACATCACTTTTTGGAACACTAACCAAAAAAATAAAGAAATTTTACTGTAGATTTTTTTTGTTGTTATTTTCATCCAAAAAAAAAGAAAGATAGGAAACACATACGAAAAAGCAAAGCAACAGCTACACACAAACACACACACACATTTTTATTTCAGTTCAAAATTATCGTGTTACGAAGAAACGATAAACGCCAGAATACCAATAAACACAAACACATAATAATTTGAACGCATGCTCAAATCGAATCAAAACAGAAAATCGACAAAACATTCGGTCGGATTTGTGGTGATGGAAGTGGCACATAAATGTACAAGAGAAAAACACACTCGAAAAAACTACAGTAAACACTCTCTTTCTCTCTCAATTTCTCTGATTTTCTTTAAATCTCTGTATAAATTCAAATTCTTTAATCCAAAGAAAAAAAATTTTGTCCTGGAATTTTCAATGAATTTTTAACGGAAAAGGAAATATAATCAAATATCATCAAGATAATTTGACGAAAAAGGCGAAAAATAACTTGACAACGCATGCGTACACACAAAAAAATTGACATATCATCCACATACACAACGATCACAATAACAACAAAGAGCAATAAGAGTGAGATAGAGAGAGAGAGAGAGAGAGAGAGAGGCAAAAGTTCAAAACGGGCAACTTACCTTGTGATTCAAGTTTTTTTTGTCGATATTCTTAACGCAAAATATAAACAAACGTTCCAGAAGTTTCTGAAGAATTGTCGATATTTATTCTTCTTTTTTTTGATACAAATGACAATACAGCAAAATTGTAAAAAAAAAAAACAACATCAAAATGTTATAACATAAAGCAAAGAAAAATAAAATGACGATGATGATGATGAAGAAAAAAAGGAAAAAACGTTTTTGCGTTACTATTATCGTTGTTGTTATTGTTGTTGCCGCCGTCCTTACATTGACAGAACTAAAACATTAAAACTGAATGCCAATTGGACATATACACACACACACACACGCACATACACAAAATAAAAGAGTGCACCATACATACATAGGGCGGCTGGTTATCACAAAAGCAGCAGCAGCAACAAAGCATGTGCACACAAAACCAATTTTCGTTTTTTATTGTTAGTTAATACCGAAAAAAAAATCAAATAGGCGGAGCTTACACACATTTTCTCTTTGTATTTATATATATGTGATATTTTACAACAAATCTCTCTTCTCTTTCTTTCTCTCTCTCTCTGGGTGTGTATGTTGTGTATGGAATGGATATGAAAAAAATTTGAAAATCAAGTTGGGTGAGTTTTTTTATTGGATAACATTAATAACCAATCAGCGGCATTTTTCCATAACTTTTACGCCCATATAAAGTTTATATGTTGGAGTCGTCGCTGTATATTTTCGATACTTTTTTTTGTGTTGTATGTGTGTGTGTGTGTTTGGTGGTAGTAGTGTGAATGTAGTTTTGTGTGGTATGTGGATCCTGTTTTTACACGATTATTATTCACATTAATGGTGGCGCTTCATATTTTTTTTTCTTTTATTGAGATTGCGCATTTCTACTATATCCTGTCACAACAGTGTATTTTTATGTGTTTGAAATGAAAATTGAAAACAATCCGTCCTCCTACCGAGTGAATCGACCAAACCATCATCATCATCATCCTTGTTTTTCATTTCAATACAATCTCTCAAACTGCTGCTGCTGCTGCTGCTTGCTTGCCGTTTGTAATAAAAGTTATTACGACGTCTGTTTGTTTGATATGTGAATGATGATGATGATGTTGTTGGCTGTTATTTTGTTATTTTCATTGCTGCTGCTGCTATTTGTTGTATGATGATGATAGTAATATTTTTCCTCTGTTTCTGTAACTAACAGTAACCAACATTTGACTTTGATGATTTCGTCAAAAAAAATAAAATAAAATAAAAAACCCAGAACATTTGAATTAAAACACGACCTATGAATGAATTAGGGAAAAAAGAATATCGATCACCATCACAAACCCACCATATTCCATATCTCTCTCTCTCTGTTGATGCGATTATATAACGGAAAAAAAGAATCGAGAATCGCGTATTCAGAAAAAAAGCGCAAC